GTACAGTATGATGTTTTATTGCCTGCTCATCTTCCTAGCGGTGGCAGCTCCTGTCAGAGGGAGAAAAAGGCCTTCCATGGCAGAGCCTGAAGAAGAAGGCGAAGACTTTCCAATTGGGTACTTGTTTCATTTATTTGTGTGATTTTAAATCTGTAGGACTGTGATGAATAGCTTGCTTCCACGTGCCTTGAGAAGTATTTCTTCATTTCTTTTGCATTGTTTCAACAGTTTTGTAACTTTTTTTTTATAATTGACGAGGAAAACAACAGTTTTTTTCTCTTTACAGGGGAGATGTGAGATCTATGCTTGAAAGATTTGGAGGTACAGTAAGCTTTGCAATTATTATTATTTATTATTAAAATGTTTAGAAGCACAGACAGGCATAGTATATCTTCTCTCAGAGGAATTTATAAGGGTTTTGAACCATCTGTTTTTTTCTGGTAGCTGATATTAGGAAAGCACTTCTTGCAAAAAGAAAACGCCTTGAAAATTGCAGCAAATCTTCCCTGAAAACAAGTAATGAGAAGATAGAGCAGATTTGGAAAGCACAGCAAAATGACAGGTGAATCAATTTGCCTTTTTTAAAGTTGGTGAATGTTAGTCTGCTTGAACAGAATCTATTAAATAGAACATCTAACATCTCTTTATGCTCCAAATTGGTAAAAGATCTCAGTTTGCAATAGTTTCTGTAGGTAAAAACAAATTCACCTCCCTTCGTCAGAATTTAAACTATGTATAAGTTAAGACTGAATAGGTGAGAAAGTTGTAACTCATCCCCCCACACCAACTGAACTCAATGTTTGGCATGCACTTTGTCTTTATTTTTGTGCAATTTATCCAGTTTAAGGTCAAGTTGCTGGTTTTACTAAAATAGATGTGTTATGCCACTTAATTACAGTAGTTTTTATGAAACATTCTGACACAGTCCTTACTCTGAAATCACCACTTCTAGAGGAAGAAGAATATTTAAGTCTGTGGAGGGGAAAGTGGTCAATCCAACCTAATAACATTGGAAAATAATCTTTTAATTGTTTTAGAGCAGAGTAGAACATTTTAATGTCAGTCTATTACCATGCTAATTTCAGTCTTTTTTTTCCATTTGAAGGAATAAATTGAATGATGACTACAGTAAGCAGTTCACAGCAGTATTCCAGCAGTGGGAAAGTGACATCCACAAATCTAAGGATCAGGAGGACAAACTGGAGGTGGGAGTTTACATTAAAGATCTATTAATAATCAATGAGAAGATCTTATAAAATTTCTGGGCAGTTGACAATTTTAAATTTTCTGCAATTTTATGATTGTGTTAAAACATAAACATGACATACTGGCAGCAGCTAGTGCCCTGGCCAAATTTCTTCCTGGCCTTTACCAGTCATGGACTCCTAATAATCCCCATCTATGAATTAGCTTCATCACTCTGCTCTCCTCCCCACTGAGAGCTGATGTGTGGTGAGTGTTCTGGCGCACTTTGACTGCCATCACTTCACCCAGGTGGGGCTACACATTGGTGGTGGTGGAGGGGAGTCTCCATTATCTCTAAAGTACTTTGAACAGAGTGTCCAGAAAAGCACCATTTAAGAGTAAGGAATTATTTTATTATTAAACTTTTGCATGTGACAAATATGCTGTCCAGAATACAGTGCCCTCCAAAAGTATTGGGACAAAAAACTAAAATTGGCATTTCCCTGTTGTACAGTATGCATAAGAAATTGAAATTCACATAAAACAAATTATTCAGAGTCAGAATTCAGGAGGTCACCTTTTATTTTAAGTATATATTTTGCAATCACACTTAATCATTTTTAAACCAAAGCGTATGTTGTGTTCAGTCCCCCACAATTTAGGTGATCATAAGTATTGGGACACTTAACTTAAAGCAAATTAAAGAAGTGAAAAAGTCAGTATTTTGTTGCAGATCCCTTGCTTGCAATAACTGCATCAAGCGTCCATCCCATTGACTTCACCAGACTCTGTTTCTTCACTTGAGATGCTTTGCCAGGTTTTTACTATAGTCTCTTTAAGTTGTTGCTTGTTGGTTGGGCTTTCTACCTTCAGTTTCCTTCGAACAAATCAAATGCATATTCAATTGGTTTCAGATCTGTTGATTGATTTGGCCAGTTTAAAATGTGCTACTTTTTTTGTCCGATTAACTCCTATGTTTTAGGGTGCGGTATGTTTCATGTCATTGTCCTGCTGCATAAAGAACTGCAGTAAGTCCAAATAAGTCTGGTATAATTTCCTTACATTAGCAGGCAAGATCTGTTTGTATATCTCTAAATTCATCCCACTGCTGCCATCTTCAGTTAAGTCATCAATAAATAAAGACCATTGAACCTTTTCCGGAAGCAGCCATACATACCCAACCCATGACACTCCCTCCCCCATGCTTTACAGAAGAAGTGCTACACTTACGATCATTGACTGTTTCCGTTTTCCCCCACACTTTAGCCCTTCCATCACTTTGATGTTTATTTTGGTTTCATCTGTCCATAAAACCTTGTTACAGAACTCCTGTGGCTCATTTCAGTATTTTTTCGCAAAATCCATTCAAGCCCTTCTGTTCTGGTCGCTGATGAGGAGCAGTAATTTTGTTTTTTTTTTTTTACATTCACTGCATTTGTCTTTTTTGGAAGCCTGGTTCTCTGCCTGTTCTTGACTCCTCCACTTGTTTACTTTTTCTTAAGCACATTCCAGATTGTTGATTTTGCAATGCCAAGACTCTTAATTTCTCTGATGGTCATTTTCTTTCCCCTCATTTTCAAAATGGCCTTCTTTTCTGTCATAGCGAGTTCTCAAGTCTTTATGTTGGCGTTTCCTGACTAATTCAAGGGAAAGATTTCAGAAGTTGTTTCAAAAGAGCTCAACCATGCCTAGACCTTCACAGCTCTTTTGTGTGTGAAATGTATGCAACGTGTAACATCTGGGCAATCAGAAATGCCTGTAAACCTGTTTGTCCCAATACTTAAGCTCATAGAAAATATGGGGGGTCAAAAAAACAAGTGCTGTTGTTGTATAACTGTAAAACATTTATGCATAAAACCCATAGTTACCCTTCATTAAAAGAGGATATTCTCTGCTTTTGTCTCATATTCATCTTGTGATTTGAAATCCAAATCATAGCATATAGCTATAATGGTCTAATTTGAACTCTTGTCCCTATACTTTTGGAGGGCATTGTAGGTTTGGAAAAGAAAAGTACAGTATGTGTAACTTGCTGCAGACACCCCTGGATAGGACAGATTCTTCTAAATAGAGAGATATGCCATGAGAAATTAACATGAATCGTATAATAAACAGTGTAGTATGTAACCTCAGTTAGCTCAGTTAAATATCAAGATATTTCCTTTCCCTTCTATCTTCTAATGCTTTCTTGCATTGCAATAGATGAGATTTCATGTTTTGTGATGCAGAGCTTGTTCCGGCAGCAACAGAAGCTGTTCCAGCAAATGAGGGTTATACAAGGGCAGAGACTGAAGACACTGAAGCAACTCTTTGACCAGTACATCAAGGTAGAATTACACTATTTTAAATAGCTTCTCAAATGTTCTATGGAAAATATTTTGTAAACTTTAACAAAGGTTTACGAAGTATAGTACTGTATTTACAGTACATATTCTGTCATATTTTACTAGAGTTCATAACTACAATCATTACTACACAAGGCTATTTCATATTATCACCAATATGCTACCACACAATACTGCTCTTTATACTTCAGCATGATATTTTAATTGGCTAAGCAGTATTTTAAAATAAAAATTCTGCTGGGCTCCAAATATTAAAACCCAGTGATTAACAGATGTGGAGTTATTGATCACACATAATCAATCTGTTAGAAAAGTTATTTCTCACACTTCATCTAACTAGAAAAAAAGTGTATAACCATATTAATCAGCACCTCTGATGGCATTTTCTTTTATTGTAGGCTTTTGAAGAGATGGAGAAGACACATATCACTCAGCATTCTGCTGTTCAGAATGAGTTACGCAAAGAAATGGCTCTCTTTCAGAAAAAAATATTGATGGACACGGTAAGCATAAACAGATTCTTGTTATTCGGTTTGGCAAGTTGAGACATTATATGTTTCAGTGTGAATTTTGAGAGTCACTGTTGTATTTACACCTCAAACACGGTGGAATTAATTACAGCCACCCCTAAGACCTAAACATAACTGGAGGTGCCTACTTTACTCTTCGAAGTTCGCATTGAATAAAGCAAAGAGGACATCCATACCCTGTATTAATGGGATGTTTTTTTATAACACAGCAACAGCAAGAGATGGCTACAGTCCGCAAGTCCTTGCAGTCCATACTGATGTGAACACTGCATGCTAGATCAGAGAAAACAGAAGTTAAAAGGGCAAAAGGATGACTTTATTAAGTTTGAACTGTTCAGGATTTTGTTCTAGTTCTTTCTTTGTAGCTTGCCCTATTTGAACTTCACTGTTAAGTAACACTTTCTTGTAGAAATGCAATCAATTACTTTTTATTCCCATCTTCTGCTAAAATCAGTTGACATGTTTCATGTTCTTTACTACTAATCTTTACATGCATTTTGATGTATTCTATGTGGATTACATAAAAACAAGACATTGTAATAGAAAAAAGTCCATACAAATGACTTGTATATAAAACAATTCTACAAAAAATAAAAATCACCTGTTATCATAAATATAACAATCTTTATTTTACATAAGCTTTATTTAAAAATTAAAGGTTTTTACAGAGGTTAAAATCAAGCAAACATATGGATTTGTATGCACTACAAAGGCAAGGAAAATCAAAGTGAAAATAGTTTTTATTCAGACGAATTGTGAAACTGAAGCAACACGCCTTTCAAATTGATTAAATACCACTGCCCGAATTAACAAGACTAAGAGAAATTAGTTTTGAGTTATTTTAAATATGAGTTTATATCCTCATTATACTTACTGTGATGATATCCAAGTGAGAATTATAACAGCTTTGGTTACATTTATATAGTTGAAGGGAGTTTCTTATTTAGGATGGTCCACTCTTTTATTCAATAATGTTTAGATACAGCAAGTTAAGATTCTGGGCAAAGGTACAGTGGCCACACGGTTGTGTGAATGTAATTTTAATTAGCTTTCAATATGCCTTCAAATGAGACTTATCAAAATACCCAGTTTAAAAGCTTGGTGCTATAGTCTGTCAACACATACGTATCATGTGCACAAACAAAAGCTAATTTATAACTCATTTTAAAGTTAAAAAGGGTAAAGAATTTTATTGATCAAGAATTATAGTGACCTAAATCGGTAAAACCGATTGAGTCGTACCAATTTTAGGGAACAAAAAATTATGAAGCAATGATAAATGAATGCACAATGTTTAATACTCTTAAGACAAACTACAGATGTTCTGCATTTTGTTCAAGGCATCATCTGAATGACAGTAAGAAGCAGGTGAAACACAAGGTAGCCAGCACTACTTAACATAAAAGAAAACTGGGCACTCAAGCACATTTAACCACTATGTGAAAAACACAATCATGATCAGAGACAAAATCATGAATAAAAGTTAGCAGCTTTTGTTTTGTGTAAACCTGACTTGAGTTGTGGAAAAAAAAATAGTTGGAGATTGTCTACTGACCCTTTTCACTATTATGCCATTTTACATCCTAGACTGACAGTCCAGGTAAAACATAATACTAACCTTTTCCAGTCTAATTATAGCTAGGGCAGACTTTACTGTGCCCAGATAAGCACTGCAATTCTTTGTTAAATCCAAAACATATCTTTGAAAACTTAAGGCAACTTTCATTTTATCCATAAAAGATATTGTGTGGGGAAAAAACATGGGGCAGTCCAAACAAGTTAAGACCTGTTCATCATAGAGACATGTGACATGCATATCAAGAGAAATTTTCCCTCATACTTATATGAATGCATTAAGTATTACACACAGAAAAAAGATATTTTAAAGTTAAAAGGCAACTGAAGATGTAGCAACAAAGCATCATTACAGCACACATCTTGGATAGACAATCCCTTAAAGGAAACAAAGAAGGATAAATTGAAGCCTTTAAAAGACGTAATAAAAGCAATAAAACTACATGACTGGCCTGTTACAAATGTTACAAAATTTTCTTTAGCATTTTGTAACGTCTTCCACACTGCTCTTGCAAGCACTTAAAGTGCAAAACATAAGCAAACAAAACATCATGGCATTTAAAACAGAAAATATCTAATATGTTTACTGAAAGATAAGTGTTCTATGGAAGGACAAAAAAGCTCATTCGCTTAGTAGGTAATTTGCAAGAAATAACATTTGTCCACTGAAAAAACAGCAAGTTAAGAAGATCCCTTTTCCTCCAGTTACACTATCAAGAAATGAAACTCCTGTCTTTTATAAGGACGTGAGAGATGACTGCACTGCCATCAACAGTCCATAGGATTACAATTCAGAGCTTTCCGAGTTTTATATCCCACCAATCAATTTACTGCCTCAGATTCTATCCTTTATTTCAGCCCAAGTTAAACAAAAGAAAAATAAAGTACAGTACTGATGAATCTCTTTTTAAGGCAAGAGTGAAAAGGAACAGCCAGCATCAAGCAAATCAGTTTTATTACTTCTTGTTCCCCATGCTTTAATTAAAAAAATCATAAACCCACTGGCTCTGGTATTATTGTTGGCTAATGTGCTTCCACTGGAAAAGGTTAGCATTAAAAATGCCTACACAGGAGTAACTAATGGAGTTTCTAGGTTTAGGTTCAGTTGAACGGAAACTTTTGTGTATAAAAAGAGATCCAGTATCTTTTGTCTGAACATGAATGTGTACTGGAGCATGAGAATACATAGCTACCTGTGTCTTTTCCACATCACACTCTCAGAAATAAAAAAAGGTTACCATCTTAATCTGGTATGTAAACAGAATAGAGAACTTGCCTTATCTTAAACACAAATCATTTTCTATAATACAATTTTCCTTTCTTTAGAATTCCCCTCCATGGGTGAAAACTAGGCAAGTTCTTTTTTTAAGATACACATTTAGCATTTTAGACAAAAGGCAAGACTACGTTGTCTTTTGACGTTAGGCTGCATTTATGACCAGCGAAACAATACCGAGTGCACCATATACTGAAGCCCATTCTTGTCTCAGAAGCAGAGGGTAAAAAACTTTCTTGTTCTGAACTATTAGCAATCAGATTAAAAAAGAAAAACCCTTCTGGCTAGAGAATCTCACAAACACAGGAGTAAACAAAATTATAAAGAAATTAAAAAGAAAGATGCAGCATATTCCTGCAAGCAGGATTAATGGAAAACAATCGGCAACCCCTGTCTTTTACTGAAAAGTAACACTTCATAAAGGGACAGATTTATAAATACTGCTTTGAGGAAGTCCAGTTAAAAAAAAAAAACATTGTTCCATTTGGTATCTGTGACAATTGGATACACACTTGAGGTGAAATACTTCTAAAAAATTGTTTTTAAAACAAATAGTGAGCTAGATGATGAAATTTCAGGTTTTTTTTTTTAAGAGACTTAATGCAGTGCAGGGTGTTTATAGGTCTATCAAGTGTGTCAGAGTAGTGGCACAATATAAGCTAGTTTTTTTACTTCCTGTTTCAATCTCCATTTACCCCACCCCACTCACAGATAAACTGCTGCAAAAAAATCAGAAATCAGTACAAAAAACAACGTTCCTTGACAATTCTTTCAACTAGAAACACTACTATTGCAGTCTGTAATGAGACAACACTGGACATGGAACATTGCACACGACAGCGATTGAAATAAATTATTTTCATACGTCAGCTCTCTCCTGGGTTCGTCTGTGATCCACGTTATTGGTTTACATTCACTTGGTGAAGAGATCACATCTCCTTTTCTCAAACAAGAATAAACCCAAAACAGTCACTAATGGTGGTTGTGCCCTTGCTGATTTGGGCCTGTGGCCAGCGGCTTGATTTTGAATACAAAAATGTGAAGATGAGAGGCTATCTGATTGCAAACACTGACACAGTAACGCACAAGATCGAAGAAGGAGATGACCTGCAAAAGTATAAAAAGGAACACATTAAAAACACTTTAATAGTAACAAATCAGCAAAAAATACTTTTGTAACTTTTTTCCTCCAGAAATGTTATATAAACAAGTGATTTTTATGTTGCCACCAATGTGAAATTAACAATCATCCCATCAATATATGTAGCACACTAACACTGGGAAACAAAATCGATGTACAGACATCTTCTGAAATGTGTGTTTGCCAAGCCATCTGCTTCTTACACACACTGCAAGCACCACAGCAACAGCCACAGTGCTAGGGAACCACATGAAGCTTTCGCCAGTAACCCCACATCCTGAACAGACCCCCACTTACCTGCCTGAGGAAACACATTCACAGCTGGTTAATCCAACAGCCCAGGACTCAACCAGCAATGTGTGCACTGCGCAACCAGTGTTGCGGTAGGGGAACTTTTATCAGTTACACCTCCTGCTTTCTAAATAGCATTCTTATTACGAGAGCTATTTATCTTTGTGTGCTCAAGGCGTGCACCATTTCACTGATGGTCTCTTAACACTTCCTCACACCACTGCAAACCTACCAGAGCAATCCAGAGAACCAGATACTCATCAATAAAGCTGTTGAAATACTGGTCCAGAAACAGCAGCCCAGGCCCTAAAAAGGCCAGATCATGAAGATGCATTTCACTTTTTGTCATATGTGCAACCTAAGGGGGTAAAAAAAAAAGAGATACAGAATTGATCACAAAATGAACTGAATTACAAAAAGTGGAGTATGCTGTTTGTGTGGAGGTGATCACAGTTAACTAAAGGGTGGGCACAAACCTAAAGGAGAAAACCTCTGTGATTAAAGGCTCAAGTCCCTGGAGCAAAAGCAGACCAGAGGAGGGCTAGAGCAACAGAAACACTCACCACTAATTTGTTGGTTATCTTGGCCGACACAAAACCAAACGCCAGGATGTAAAGACAGGGATGCTTCTCGAAGAGCTGGACAGCCGACTTCTTGTAGATCATGACTGCCAGGATTATTACAGACCCAATGTGCAAGAAAGGTGAAAGCACACTGGTCCCCTGCAAAATATCAGCATAGAACAATACAAAATATGGATCACTAAAAGTGTCTGCCTTAAATGCTTTTGACAAATTATACAGAACATGCAAACTGTAATTTAGTCCTAAGGGCTTTTGTGAATTTGGAACAAGATATCCAGCTGTCTTGTCCCTCTTACAGAACAGCTTTCCGAGATAAGTCATAATTCCAATGCCACAGAGGCGGGGCTACTAGAAAGTAGGATTTTTAAACAGATTGTGTGATATAGGTTATTTCATGCACAGAAATGTCTACATGGATCTTATACAGGCATTGAAAAACAGACATGCAAGCTGTTTAGAAAGAGCTTCTGGACACTTTCCAAGTCTCTGAAGGGTTTTAACATTCAGGTTTTTGTTTTTTTAATATGGAACGATGCAGTAGCTCACGGTACAGGAACACTCCCAGAGAAAAGAGTATGGGAGTTTTTACATAGGTGGCTAAGAGCTTTCTATCTGAGAGAAACAATATGAGCAGAAAGAAAGTGAGAATTACTCACTGCTATTGTGGAGCCGTTTTTTCCAACTCCTCCTGTGAAAATGACTCTGAAGTAGTTTGTGCAGGAGAATACAGCTCCCACCACTGTGCAGATAGCAGGCACAATCTTCATTTGGATGTTTAACACTGGAATCTTGGGATTGAAGAAGGATCTTGATAAAAACAGCACTTGCAACAGTGTAAGCATGCAACTGCTGCAGCTGAGCTTGACTAAAATCCCCACAAAAGTCGAACAGAGGCAGAGGTGCTACACTAATCCAGCACTGCTTAAACTCTGCAATATGAACTGGGCGCTGCAGAAGGTGACAACAGAACTGATGTATGAGGAATGTTCTCAGCCACTGGACTGAAATCAATTCAAATGAAGCAGGTGCATTAAAGACATTCTATTGCCACACACTGTGACCAAATGATAACGGTTTTGCATGGGCTTCTCATGTACAGACTATACAGCAATTTCTTAATGGGTACAACAACAAGCCAACTGGATAAATAGATTTAAAAGTTATCAAAATTTCAGATTCTTCCATCATCATCATCCCAAATATAGAATGCAAATACTGAGGACTAAGGTTCTACTGCTTCAGCAAATAGCTGGACATGTTACCTGATATAAAGTACTCTATTGTACTATTGCACAGGTAAATGAAAAAGGATAGAGGGTGTTTTTCAGTGCTCAGGCCAGCATTCCAATTCATATCGTGTACAGCTTAGTTTTCAGTTAACACTGCACAGATATCTCTAACTGAGCATGCATAACAACATGCTTGTGAAAATCAGAGAATAAGGATTAACAGTGCTTTTGGCTTCCAATGTGCCTTCAATGTTAGTGGCCTGCAACGTGCCTCCAGTTTTACTCCAATATGGCTACAATGATATAGGACGCTAGGAGGTGCTTCTATAGCTGAACAAACTGATAAGGAGAAGATGGCTGTGGGTATCAGTCTGATATCTAATGGCCTTTTAATCAAGACACAGGTACACAACAGCCAAAGCTTAACACTGTTAAGTATGTTGCAAGAAAGGTAAGTACCTCAAAACCCCAGCATAGACTTCTTAAAGATAATCTTCCTAAAGCAAGTGAATACACAGACTCCAATCAAATTAAATTTATGTTTTGTTCCACTGGATCAACTGACAAAACTCTACCTATAAAACTGTGCCAACATAAAAACCCAAATCACATTCTATTGGTACTTCGGCAAATGCATTAAATCTTGCATCCACTTAGGGTGGCCTGGGATACAACTTTCTTGTTTTAAAAAAAGATTCTCCTTTAGTGAACTGAAACAATATAACCTACATATACAGACGCTGCCTCTGTAAAACCTGCAATTCCATCAGTTATTGCAACTTTGTGTCAAAATGATTCACATGCAGTTAACACTGACCTGGATATTACTGGTGATTCCTTTAATTAAAAAACAAAAAAAACTTTTCATTGGAAAAACAAATTACCGGAGATTGCCAAAAAGCCGATCCTCCAGTCGCTGCCAGCAAATACATGATTATTATGAAGATTTGTACTTCAGTCACATCAATTCTGATTGAGCAAAAAGAAGCAAAAAAATTGAGAGCAGAATTAGAGATTAGCAATTATTTCCAACTCCATGCAGTGTTATTCCCCTCTGTCATGCACAGACTGTCTCACTTTTCAGGTGTTTTTTTATATAAAACACCATCACCTACTTCATTCTGCCCCCACCAAGACTTTTTGAAAAACTTTCTGGGAAGCTGAAATATACCGGTAGCGCCTGTATTATCCTACTATATTGCGCTATGCCAATTTTAAGAAGCTTGAACCACATTTTGAGATGGACCACCTCCTCCAATCACGTAGAGGTCAGCAGCGACGATGTGTGAATCTAAAAGCTTTGCAAAGTTGAGTCTTCTCGGCTGATCCCCACCCAAAGCAGTCTGTGCAAGAAGAGGCTTTTGACTGGTTACACCGCAAACCACTACTGCCTGGTTAGAGAAACATCTGGTTACCGTCAGATTCCAGAACCTCGGATCCACAGTTGCTGTGAACATCTGTAACAACACTATACAGATCTGTAACTCTGTAATATCAAATCTGTGAGTCAGGGAAGAGAGAAAGACATTACACTTAACAGCATCAGCTCCTCACAGTTACACCTACATCCAGCCACAGACATAACTTCAGCTACTCTGCTTACGGAGCACAAGAAGAGCAGGAAGAAGCCGAGCCTGCGCACTGCAGTCTCACAAGCTGATGGAGATACACTGGTGTGTGATTTCAGTCAAACTTTCTAAGGATGACACCCTGTTAAAAGTGCTCCATGTGGTATTTGCAGTTGGCCTTACATATAAAATGCCCAGCCAGGCTGGAACACCTCAGGGGATACCGTGGCACAGTATGCCCAAGGTAACCCCACCAAACTCAGCAGGGGAACGCTAGTCACTGCCGAGGATCAAACCTCACCCCCCTTCTACCCACCCTGCGACTGTGGCGATTTGCTCTTGACAAATTGGTTCTTAAGCAAAAACAGGACCAGGGTTCTGTCCAACTGGGCCCTTTTGCTTGAAAACAAATTGATCTGCTTACTGGTTTAGACTTCGGTCCCCAGTTTAAAAAATGCATCATGACCAACAAGTTTGGCACGCAGAATTTTATGCAGTTTCTCCTCAACGTGCTAATGAAAATGCGCTCCCTTATTTGACTAAACAGCTGGGAATGACACTATGACACAGGGAGCCCGATACACTTGTTCTTGGGCTGATCTGATGTATCCGACAATTGAGATCCTGTGATCAAGATCAGTTTGCTCAGGAGTGAAAACTACTGCTATGCCCAGTGAAATCCCACCAGGTATTTAAATTCACTTGGGACTTGCATTTAGGCTGAAGGTTTGTTTTTACCAGGGTCTTGTATCCATTGAAGATACTTTCTGATTAATTCTAAAAACGTTTTTAAAAAAAAGAGCAACACCATTTTTTTTTAACAGAAGAAGCAACATTTTTTTTCTCAATTCTGAATTCCCCTCCATGCCATTAACACTTAATGGCTTCCCCTTTTCCTGCTTCCGAGTGCCAAGTCTCTGGTCTTGCACGGTGCAGACAGACACCACAGTGCTTTCCAGGGGAAGTTACTCACATGCCGAAGCGCAGGGTGCCCGAGACGTACGTCTGCCAGTGGGCACAGTAGAACATGAACATCCCGGCGAAACAGCAGAAGAACATCCAGTCCGGATTGGTGCCCAGCTGCACGGCGATGCACGTGCCCAAGACCACGAACACTGCAGGGCAGAGGAGAGCGCGTCTGAGGTCGTCTCATTCAATTCTCCTTCCAGCTCGCGCACACAGCCACCGGCACGAGACGAACACGATGGCAGAGGAGACGTCTCATTACCAGGAACTGGGAATGAAAACCACGCGGCCCCACCAGCCGCAGACGCCCAGTCTCGCGCGAAATAAACACTGTGGGAACACCTTGGTGAATACAGGCGGGAGGCATTGACAAAAGCTCACTAAAGCTCCAGGAGAGAAGACTCTATGCACATCGAACATGAGTAGAAAAAAGACGAGGCACACCGTCTTGAAACTTGCAGGAGGCTGCACGTAGCCAGACTTCGTAGTAACTGTCAATGTAGAAACATGGTTTTTCAGAGCTCCAAGAGGATAAAGTAGTAAAAAGACACTAGCACTGCATGAAGCCCAGTAATCCTTAACATGTGGAAAGTTTTCAGAAAGTCTCATGCTCTCTCCCTTGAAAGTTATACAGTTTACACACAGTACTGTGATGACTATTTAGATTTCCTTGGTTATTTTATGTTTAAGATAAAAGCCCTCAAGTACACAAATGGTGTTGTTCCAGCTCTGTGGGAAATCAATGGTGAAACAGCATGCACAACGAGCTGGAAGCACAGAACTGTGAACTACTTTGACAGAAGATAAAAGATTTGCATTTACAGTCCTGCTTTGGGTGTTTTATTAAGATGGGGCAAATGACAACAGTGCTATCTTAATTATGCAGATCAAATGAAAATCCTCAGCATGCACACCCTCTTCACTCGACACGCACTGGGAAGAGTGAAAAGGCCTCCACCCCCCCCCAGCTCCCGTGTCACAAGCGCACCACAGCCGAGGGCACGAGCAAAGGAACGGATCTGAAAACAAGAAACACGTTCTTCGGATTTCTAAAACTCATTTCTTAAAAACACTTGCACGCTGAAAGATCAGGGCATGCACCTGCCTCGTACCCCAGCGGGTCTAAGGTTAACTTCCCTCCTCCTCAGCACGGTGGGGGTCCCACCTGAGTTTGCACTCACTTCTGGAGAAGGAGTCACAGGCCTTTGTGTTAACAGTGCTTTTCATTTACAGATTTCTTCATCTAATTTAATGACATATACTTATATCAGCAGTACTGTATTTAGAAATATTTTTCTAACAAAAACTTCTAAATTTAATGGTAGTGCCTTCCCTTTTTACTGGCGGGACATAAGCTCCCCTCACAAAGCCTTCTCGTAACAGAGCCTACGTCAAACAAATCCAGAAACACCAATGTCATGCATTCAAGCAAGGGCCACAGACTACAGCACACACAGTCTCGGGTTTCAGGTTCTGCTCTGTCACATGGGGTTTGGAAGGAATGAGTTGCACTCAAAACCAGGCAGGTTAGCAAGAGCTGTGATCACCCTTCCTGGTGAGGGTGCGATCAATCAGAGATTTGGCAAAGGGTACAGCATCAGCATACCTGTGGAGAGAGAGTCGCAGCCGTGGTCGAAGAGCTCCCCCAGTGGAGAGCTGCTGTTGGTTCTCCTTGCCTGCTTTCCATCTATTGCATCCAGAGACTGGTAGATGAAGAGACCCACAGCACACGCCAGGTATGCCCACAGAGGTGCCTGAAACAAAGTGCTTGGATGAGAGCTCACCAAACCATTGAAGCACACGATCCACTGGAAAGCCTGATCTAGCACTCCGTTTTGTTTATTTCCTTAAAATGCTTTTCCGAACCCGAGAGAGGGCCGGGAAGCTTGGACTGGACAAAACTCACATGCAGGTTCTACTACAGTGGAACTGGTCAGGGCTCTGGATTTGTAACTGAAAAGATGTGGGTTCGAATCCTGGACAGGCACTGCTGTTGTACCCCCGAACAAGTGATGTTCCTCAGACTGCTTCAATAATGTGGGTCTGTGTAGAAATCGCTTTGCATAGTCTTACATTTTCTGATCTCTTCAGGTACAAAGTGAACTGGACCTGAATACCTCTCCATCCTCTAGAGGGGATGTCTTTTGATTGTTCCTGGGTCAGAAAGGGGGAGCCTTTGTGTGCCCCTGTCTGCAGGGGTTCCCAGACCTGGAGATCCACACTGGGTGTTATTCCAGCTGAATGCTTCACTGACTTAATAATAATGCAAGGATTAATTTGAAGTACTATTTAGGATTTTTTGGAAGTGGCTTTTCAAAGAATTATTTGAAGTGGCTATTTAACATGTCCTTTTAATTGCTGCATTTCGCAAGTGAAATAATATCCCTAACATTTGAGGAACACTTTTGGGTAGTAAAAAAAAAAATGATTGCAGATATTGTAATCCATCAACTTGTTTGCTCAATGAAGTAGTTAGCTAGGCTAGGCTTGAAGGGGAACCAACAGGTGAGCGGGCCTGCAGGGTGAGGGATGGGAAGCCTCTTTGTTGGGCTCAGCTGACACTGCCAGACTACTGCACGACAAAACACCAGAGCCAGAGTTCACACCACTCCTTCTACCGATGGTGCAGAACCACTTGCAGGGCCTGCGACTCCCATTACGCTGGTGCAGAGCCGCCACCTTGAGCCTTTTACAATAGCGTCACGCTGTACAGCCTGGAGAGCTCTGTGCGCCTCCTCTTTTTCAAGGCGTTCGGAATTTAAGCGGAAGAGGCCGCAGATTAAGAACGTATGACAGGCAAGAAATCAGAGGAGGTTGCTCGGGCCCATCCAGCCTCCAGCCTGTTCAACAATCAGCCGCCAACTGATCCCAGGGTCTCAGCCAGCCAGGGTATCGGCTTCAACCACATGGCTGGGCAGCTTGTTCCACACTCCTGCACCCCCTTGTGTAAATCAGATTTTTTTCCATTTCTCATCTCCACAAGAATCCAGCTGCTTGGTTCAATCCCGCCTTCCACAGAAACCACAGAAACATCTGACTTGCAACACTTAAGACTTACGAGCACCTGATTTAAGAAACTTCAAAAATTGGAATACTCTAAAAAGCAAGACGGTGCTTTTAGAACGAAGTTCAGCTGAAGATTATGTTAAAAAAAATTGTTGCTCTATTGAAATGAAAATAACAATGACAGCTACTACAAAAAAAGAAGAGCTATGCAGATGTCTATGCACACTCCCTGGGTAACTCCACCATGTGCAAACTGATCATTGAGAAAACCAGAGCACATCTGACTGGTTAATTTACAATGTAATCTGCATCTGTATCCTTCTAGGTAGTTGAAACAAGGTTATTCGCTAACTTATTAAGTGCAATACATTGTAAATATGTGCACACAAGTCATGTCATCTCTCTTGTAAGTTCACTGAACCCTCACACTGTGACCAAGTGCAAGTTACACAGCTTAGGTTAAATCTGTAAAATACTCAACAGTCTCACAATGTTTCTGACAACGAGAAAAATTAAAGAACCCTCAGCATGAAATAACCTCTAATATGTGGCAATTCTGTAGGATTAGTAGGACTTCTTCTACACACTTATTGCACCATTTTTTTCCCCCAAAATGGCCACTGCTGAGCAGCCAGACCCAATCCCTCTGAGCTCTAAACAGAGGTGATTTGAGACAGGAAATTGAAACCCTGAAAGGTACCAACACCTAGAGTCCCGTGGGCCTCTGCACCCGCAGCAGGGAGGTGTGGCCCCAGAGGACACAAGAGAAAAACTAAAAAGTTATGCATTAAAGACTGAGAACAGCAGGCTTGTCTCGGCGCAAGAGGTTGTGTGAATCTGGGACAAGCAGTCCAACACGCAGTAAAGCCTGATTTTCCTAAGTTATGGAACCTAGATGGCTGCTTTCTCAACGAAAGGAAAGGAAATAAGAGGGAGAGACACAAGCAAAAGTGTGTAACTTCAATGGGATGGCTAAAAGCCAGCGTATAATTATGAGCACAGATGGCGTGTAAGGGACGCACATCTAGAAGCCTGGATGCACCTGTGACCCTTTGTAACACACACGGCCCCAGGGAAAGCCGCGCCCAGGGGGGCTCTGCAGACACCCTACCTGCTCAGTGGCGGTGGGGCAGTAGTAGACCAGCACCAGGGTGGTGAAGATGTTGGTGACCAGGCCCACGATGGTGATGAGGTTGGGCGCGATCCAGGCCGGCACGCAGGCGACCAGCCACTCCCAGTAGCGCTGCATGAGGGGCTCCAGCAGGGAGCGGCCCGCGCTGCTGTACCGGTGCTCCTCCAGCCGCTTCAGCTGGTGCCGGGACAGGGGCGGGGCGGGCAGCTGGATCAGCTTGCGCAGGACACACCCCGCCCCGCCGGCCCCCGCGGCCGACCGGCAGCCCGAGTCCAGGGGCCGGTCGGGGTCCCGGGCGCGAAGCCTCGCGGTCCGGTGGCTGCTCATCGGGAGCCCCTGGGTACTCGCGCAGCGCTCACTGACAGCCTAGCCTCCCCCCCGGCCTCGCGCAGGGGATCCACAGCGCAGCCGCACCGCTCCTGCGGGGAGAGAGCCCAGCGTCAGCACTTAACGCAGCGCTGAGGAGGGGTATGCAGAAAAACGAGTCTTGAAAAGCAGGAAGAGCAGCGCCTCTAGGGCGACTCCGGGACATTCACACGCCTATCAAGAACTCCGACACGCGGATGACACGTCGGGTGTGATTAAGCGGTTCCCGGACGAGCAAGCCCTCCGTGTGGCCCAATGTGAACTCTGGCTGAAAGCGGAGCTCATGTGAACCAGCCACTCCGGTTCTGTTGGGGCTGCACAGACACGGCCAGTCCGGATACCTCTTGCACGAGCACGTTCCCTCCGGGAACCGCGCGGCGCCCCAACGACACCCCGGCCGACTACTGTCAGAGGAGGTTCAGTGGGGCTCGGCCGATCCCTGCCTCACTCCACGTGCGCTCGTTAAACCTCCCACACTGGTCCTGCGGTGCCCCAGTCCAGCAGGTTTCACACACAACCTTCAAATCGACTTCCGAAGGCCAGGAACAATTTAACAATGAGCGAGTATACATGTGGCAAGGTGGGAAAAAAAGTCACTTAAGAGACCATTTAGAAGAAAAATCAGAATATCACTCAGCCAGGGTTTCCCCTCTCTGAACCATTACTTGGTTACCTGCACAACTGCTTAATTGGGAGCTCCTGATGTTGAAATAAATCATTTAGAAGGGACCTAGAAGAAGAGCCGGATTGGGGCTCTGCAGGACCAGGGTTAGAGAACTCAGCTGGAAGGCAGTGGTTCCCAATCCTGGCCTTGGTCATTCCCGCTGGTCATTCCAACCCACCGAAGTAATAGATTTCAAGCCATACGTGATCTAAGAAGCTGATTCAATTTCATATTTGCATGTTGTTTCCAGTCACAAGTTTGGGATTTTATTTCAAGTTACCAAATACACCAGTTAAAGCTCCAACACGTTTAGGAGCTGGGAACAAACAGCTCAGATTAATCTTATTATTCCATCAATGAAGGGCTTGATTGTGTAACTGAGCACTTGGCTGGAACAAAAACCCAGCAGGTGTGTGGGTCAACAGGGCCAGAACTGGGAACCACTGCTGTGAGGGGGAGCATGTACCAGTCCACCTGGCCTGCCCACCACCTTCAGAGGACATACCCAGCTTCTGGGAGATGAACACTTGCACAGCAAGGGCTCGAATGCTTTAACTGCAAGAAGTAAAAACAACAACTGCTGTTGCAACGACCAAACGTTAGAACCCACTCACGCCAAGAGCACTGATCATTCGTGAACAAAAAAAACTATAACCCCATAATCAGAAGGTTAGCGTCCCCCCCAGCCCTGGTCCCAGAGTGGCGGTGTGACGACAGGATTGCAGGCCAGCTGGGCTCTTAACCCGATTCAACTTATTATTGGCTCAGCTGGACCATAGGTTAACAGCTTCCTTCAGCTGTTTTAGAGAGATTTAGAAAACCTGCAGACACACCACCCCTTCAGATCCAGCACCTGGGGCTCCTGCAGCAGATTTGTGATAAACTGTCCGATTGACCTGAGCAAAAATATACACATAAAGCTGATCACAACCTGCACCTCTGACAAAACAGGCCGGTGGTAACAATAACAACGCACCCCTGTAACGCAGACCCGTTACAAAGCCCATATTCCCCAGTTTTTTTTCTTCTGACGTGGACTCAACTGTGTACGTACCTCATTTGTGCTACCACCGCAATTTGAAGTCGCATGTTTAAATGCAAGTATGAAAACGAAAGTAAAAACGTTATACAAGTGAAAATGTTGCTTTCAAACCGGATGCAAAATGCACAAATCGGAGATGATGAGCACTGGCTGGGCCTTGTGTCTGAAGTCCCTAACCAAACCTCGGGGTCTTTTTTCACGCGTAATCGGGGTCGTTTCACATAAAGACTGTAGTATGGGAGTTCATTTTCCTGCAGTCTCGTTTAGAAACTACAGCCAAATTACAATTGTTACCTACTATTCTTTATAATCGCACTAAGGACTGAGTTCGGACGTGATTTAAATGGAATTTAAAACCAATAAAAACAAAGATGAGAGTGTTATGTAACTGTGCCCAAACAGTTGCAGATGTAAAAAGAAAGCCTCTGTCTGAACTAGCTCCTAAAATTTATGTGAACCCTTAAGAATTAACAATTGTTAATATGACCCGCTGTATGCACAGCCCCGTCTATCGCAAATAACGTTTTAAAAACAGCACAAACCCCACTGCACGATCATTCCTTATCTTATTTCAACTCCTCGTGAGGGGGCATTTTAAAAGGCTTTCAAGGCAACAACAACTCGGCGCAAAACATTTCGTCAGTACAATTCGGCTACGCCAGACACCGACGGTCCGATATTTAAGACCCAAATTTAAAAATGCACACATTCGCAGCACCGCGTTTGCTGCCAGTTGTTGTTTTTTCAAATGGGCGGAAAATGCAATAAATTGAAATCAATTATATATATATACATTAGCGCGCAAATAGCCCTTTCAAAATCCTACCTTCTCAGATTCCAGAAACGACCCGAAGCTCCGGCCTCACACTCTCTCCCCTTGTGGGGTCTTCAGTAGCAAGAGTGCCTAGAAATGAGGGGTGGAGTGAGCAAGGCTGTACAAAATCAAATTCGTTCACCGGCAGACGGAAAACAATCGCCTGCAGGGAGGTTCCTCTTCAGTGGGGTGTCGCTGGGGCTGAGGTGCCGCTCGACCTCCAGGAAGAGAAGGAATACCCCTTCGGTGCTCTTGCCGGACGGACTGACTGAGACGCCTTGATACCGGATGGAAAATGCCCAGCACGGCGCCGCCTGCCCCAACAGGTCGGAAAAAAGGCCCAAGTACTTCCGTCGCATGCTGGAGGACTGACTGACTGAGAGTCGACCTGAAAGGCGCAGGGGGGAGCTGTTCGACTTTTTGTATTAAAATAAAAACTAACAAATATACGCCCGATGCGGATTGCCAGTTTTTCCAGGCTAGTTGTTACTTTTCAAAATCATGTTGGCTGTCAGTACAGTACTTTGTATATATTTTAAAATATTTTTTTTGTTTTTATTTTGTATAGGGACTCTGTGATTGATCCCTGATGCATTTGATCATGCATTAAACTAAGTAGTAGTGTAACTGAGTCTTTTTTTATCGTTATTAGGTGAAATGTTTTGAATTTGCTTAAAATTGCACAGCATGTCCCTTTTTTAATACGTTGTGTCTGTGAGTAGGTCTAGACGCAGTTTCTCTACTTCTCGTCATTATAGGCATCGTTTTAAAGTATGGCCTCATTTGTTCGCCTTAAAGCATCTCTTGTTTTAGTGACCACAGAAAACACGGTAGCAAAAATGTGTATCACATAAAAGCATTGGAGAGGAAGTTCCTAGATATTTAGTTAAATACGTAAGAACAGAAAGACATTTGCAACAGGCTGAATTCTTTATTTTTGGGGGGTTCCGAAATCAATACAAAACATGTACAAATCATCCGTGTATTATTAAGAATTTTAAATCGTTTGCCTGACACAAATTGTTATTAATTTTATATGAACTAGGCCTTTTATCTTATGGTTTTCGATTTGCATTGTATACAACCTTTCTGCTGTATTTACATTTCTAAATAGTAATGACTACAAGGTTTGCATAAATATTATTATGACACTTGTATGAAACTTGTAACAGTAAGAATGAATTTCTAACAGTTCAACAGAGTGAACAGTAAATAATGAATGACAGATCATAAGTGTGGATTAGTACAACACGTTATTGCTGATATTTTTAATGTTTCATCATGACAGGCAACATCACAGTTCCCGAGCGACGGAAACCGGCTATAACACGTTTAACAAACCGAAACCGAAAAGACGCCCTTTACAGGAACAACATTATTAATTTCACCTTCGCTTGTCGTGTTTGAGTTCAGCACAGCAAAAAAAAAAATGTCACGGACCGAGCCCAAAAAACTCTTTGAAGACGAACTGAGGTGCCCGCTGTGCTTGGATTTCTTCTCCGAACCGCAGTTGCTCCCCTGTGGACACAACCTTTGCGATTCCTGTGTTCAGAAACTTATCCAGCAGGACTCGGGGGTACCGCGGCACAGGTGCCCGGAATGCCGGAGAGAATTCGACGGGAGATCTGCGCTAAAACGAAACTTCAAGCTCTGCAACCTTATAGAAAGTTTTAAGTCCAGTTACTCGGAGCCTCAAGTGCTTTGTGATACGTGTCTGGGGAACGCAGACCCGGCTGTGAGGACTTGTCTGAAGTGCGAAATCTCGATGTGCGCCCTTCACTTAAAACCGCATTTGGAGCGGTCAGCTTTTAAGAGTCATGTTCTGGTGGAGCCCACGGCGGACCTCAGTGCTCGTAAGTGCCCGCTGCACGAAGAAACGCTGAAATACTATTGTTTTGAAGATAAGACTTGTATGTGTGTGTCGTGCACCGTGGAAGGGGAGCACAGGAATCATAATGTGAAGAGTTTAAAGAAAACTCGTGATGAGCTGAAGGTTGACCTGAAAATAAAAATAAACGACATCACGGAAACCCTGAAACTAGCCGAGGAGCTGTTTGACAAGGGGAAAGCTTACGCAACTTCAGTCAAGGGTTCAAATGCGCACATGAAACTAAGCGCGACGGATGTTTTTGACCACATAATTGAGCTTGCTAATACGTATAAAGAACGTATCGTGGAAATAATTGAGAAAGAGCATCACGTTCTTGAAATGAGCGCGCAGGAACACGTCGTCGCTCTCAGTGAGAAGCGCGAAGAGCTTCAGAAGATTAAGCGTCAGGCGGAATCCGTCTTGGCCGAGAAGGATGAGTTCTTGTTCATTCAACAGCACCTGGACACCCAGAACAGAGTGACACAGGCCCTTGAGGAATCTCTAAGAGGCCTTGAAGAAAAACCACTGAACAGAAAATTAATCCTGGAGGTCCTGGGTGCAATGTTCAGCCAGTTTCAAGCTGAGGTTGGAAAGGGGCACCAGGCTTTAAGGAATGAGGTTCATCCTGCACAACTCAGTCTGGACCCAGACACTGCTCATCCTCACCTCATCCTCTCTGAGGATCTCAAGACCGTGCGGTACACTAAAGAGAAACAGCCGTACCCAGGGCTCCCTGAGAGGTTTGATCGCTGGCACCAAGTCCTGTCTCACCAGGGCTTCTCGTCTGGAGAGCATTACTGGGAGGTGGATGTTGGAAACGGTGCCTGGTCTCTGGGGATCTCTTACCAGAACATAGGAAGGAAGGGAGACGGAAAAGATGTATGTTTGGGAGTGAATGCAGTCTCTTGGGCTCTCAGATGGTGGAATTCTAAACTTTCTGTTTGGCATAATAACATTTCGACTTCCCTTCCGTCTACATCTCAACCCGCAAAGATTGGGGTTCATGTAGATATCAGTGCAGGGACTCTTTCTTTTCACAGTGTAGCTGATCAGTTGGTCCATATTTATACATTTAAAACTAAATTCACACAGCCAGTGTACCCTGCATTTTGTATTCTGTCTGACGAACCATTGTTCTGGTTAACTGTGAGAAGTGTGTCATCATGTAACTTGCCGAAAGTGGGAGCTGTTCAGTAACACTTTCTAGAGCAGTGCTTTCCAGTCCTGATCCTGGGGGACCTCTGTGTCTTCGGCTTTCTGCGCCACTCAAGTTCTGAATCACCGGCAAATTGGTTTAAGTCTTCAGTTTGAGATCTATTTTTTAAATTTCTGAATTTAAAGACTACCCTATTTCAGGCGTGCCTCCTGATATTTGACCAACTGGACCACAACATGGGAAAAAACTCTGTGTTTTTCCAAAATCAACAGACTGTTTCCAATTGCTACTATGCATGCTTTCTGGAATAAGATATGCACATAACAAAATGTGAGGTTTTCCATCCTAATGCATAAGATAGATGCTTTCCTGATTTAAAACAAGATTTTCTGCATTACAGAAATAGCAGCTTGTGATACATATTCCTAAATGCCTTTTTATCTTAAATTGATCACCTCTTAGGAGCCATCTAACAGATCTCAGGGTAATTAAGCATGTTGAGAAGATGCCTAAAGTATACATTTTTATTAGGTTATATGTCAGAACAAGCAAGGAGACCAATAAAAGGGAAACCAAAGAAGGAAATCAAGATATAACTGTACGTCTGCTTGCGTGCTTTATGTGGGTGGGAGAATTGACTTTTCAGACTCTCCGATAAACAGGGACCTCACAGATCATGTGTGCCTGCTGTCAGCTCCTTATTTTATCCACAAATATAATGTTTGTGTCAGCACTCTCCTGATTCCTGATTATGTCAAGACAAAGGAAGAGTAAGAATAATACCTCGACATAGAGCAGCTCTGTTCATTTCTCATGATCCTCTCTCCCCATCTGTGTGTCTGTGTGTCTCATGGAGAGAAAGCTGGGATATGCAGAAAGACAAATTCCTGATGCAAGCAATTGTATAGGGCTAACAAAGTGATCTGATCTGATCTAAAAGGGGGCTGACACTGATATGACTTTTTTTTTCAGTCTTTCGAGTTGGTAACCAAGGACTTAACAATACTGTGCTTTAATGTTTTACATGACACCATGATGTATTATGTACAATAATATGGTCTATAGACTATTGCTCAAATGACAAAATAAAAGAGAAAATAAACAATCATGAGCTGTTCTTGGTTTTGATTACTACGTCATTGTGAGACCATATGAAGTGGCAGGTCTGGACTAGAAATTGACAACAAATACTAAGAGGAGATGGGGGTGACGTTACTGTCAGACAGGGCTTCCTAAATCTAGTCTTGGGGGTCCCCCAAGCTGGTGTTTAGGACAGCTGGACTCTCACATACATAATTCAGCCCTTGATTGACCTATTAATGGGATTCATTTCAGCTCTTTGTTTTTAGCTCTTAAATGGTTTAAGGGTTGCCAGATCCTCATTACTGTGGTTCGTGAGTAACACAGAAGTTGGAAGCTTTTTACTGGGGAAAAAAAGATTGCAAAAATTAAGATCAAGGAACCGGTTAAGTCTGTTTAATAAAGTTACAACTTCGGAGGCAATGGAAGCCAGTGGGTGTGTGGACTTTCAGGACCTGGAGTGGGAGTTCAGTAAGAGAATGCTGGAACTTATCATTCAGGCGCTAATCGCGAAGCCTTCATGAAGAAAAAATCCGGATTTCTACTTCTGCTCCAGGAGAGACCCAGTCCGGCAAGGCCTACAGTTTAGAACGTGCAGAAATTCGTCTGTGGTGCTAAACAAGGAAGTCTCAATTTTATTCGTCTTTATAACTTTAACTTTAACTTCTTCCGCCGCAAGAGGTCACTGTAAGGACACGCAATGCAATGTTGTTGTAACAGAACTCGGAATGTTGAAGAGGCTGGTTTTTGGCCTTTTCATAATTTTGATAAACGCATAAAGCGCATAGAGACTTTACGTGACCTTATAATCCCTAGACACTTAGAGATACAACAGGATGACAAGAATAGAAACCTCTCTGTAAAGAAATCACATTAAATGCCTTACTGCATGTACTGTAAATGCTTTGCAGTCTAGTCTAATCACTTTCTCGGAATGTTTTTGTGAGTGTCTTCCTGCGTTGCAATTTTCTTTGTAAAACGTCAACTTTCAGGTTTGGTATATAACTTCCTGAAATGCTCGCTATTATTAGCTGCAACATTGCTGTGTGTGCTAGATTGCACCCAAGCAAGGACTGCGTTACATGTGCGCGGATGATTGTGACGGGATGCGAATTTGATAACTTTAAAAATCATATTACTGCTTCTTTGAAATGACTTAATAACATGCTTCACAGATATCTTAAAACCTTTAGTGACTTTTGAAAGCAGGGATCTCTAATTGGGCTTCAAAACCAGTCCAGTGATTTCTCAACTTTTTACCAAACGTGTAATATTTATATTAATTGATACAAGTTTAAAGTGTTTAGTTTAACCGCTAAATGTACTACGTTGTGATGTGACCCCTGCCTGAATCTCTCCCATTTTCCTGTGCCTTCGACTAAACGCTATCGAGGCGTTTGGAGTCCGTAGAGAACGTCCGGGGGACGTAACTTGTCACCCCCAATTTACCTGTGTGTAAAACCATTCATAGTCGAGCTCATCTGATTTGCGCATACGGTGCATCTCTGAACTCGCAGATCCGTCATCAGAGTTTCATTATTAACCGTAACGTTTTTCGTATAAATTAAAAAAAACAGAATTGGATATTCATTTTCAACTGGTGGTGGGATGTCTCATTCATTTATAAAGGGAGCCGTCCTGTTTTGAAAAGTCCTGTCAGTCCCCAGTGTGTACACAGCATTGCTTAATAAAAAAGGCTTTTAAAGAAAGAGCCCAGCCAGGACGCCTAGCGCTCTCTGCACGTCATCACGTCGAGTAGCGACACAGGGGGAAGCGGACAGAGGCGAGCCGTGAGCCTGGGGCCGAGCAGGCGGAGGTGAGTGCACTTAATACCGTAAAAACTGACTCCCGAAGGGGCAAATACCCCGGTTTACACACACACAGATGTTATCTAAGGCAGTTCGGCTTCGGTCTGACCTAAAACGGCGATCTTGTTCTTTCTGCAAGGGCCGTTTTGAGAACTTTTTCTCAAGTAACCGTTAGCCAAGTGAAGTCTGGTGTTCTCTTTTTTTTCCTCCCAGTTTGTCTGTGGTAGAGAGAGTTGCTCTACCTGGGTAGCGTTAAAAAATGAAAACTGAAACTGCTGCTTATTCCTGTGCTTGGGAAAGGCGCGTAGGGCTGCTGAGCTATTTGATTAAATTAACGCTTTTTAAAATGGATACAATTGCCGTTTTAGGAAGGTGTAGTTACAGATCGGTGTGGCGAGAGAACAAAGCGCCTGTCTTGGCTGTTAGTAGGTGACTATACTGCAGGACGGTGAGCTACTGTAAGTGTAACGTATACTTACAAATGTGAAAGTGAAGGAAGTTGTTAATCTTGTTAAAATAAGCTTCTTAAGACGTCCACTTTTTTCATGCGTTTAAGTATTGCACCTTTCCAGTTATAGCTTTTTATCCTCCTTTGACACGGATGGAAATATTGACCCTGTCGTTGTTTATGTGGGTTCGTGCAACTTTTTTTAGCCTCTAACTTGACAATTTAGACCAGGCGCCTGCCTTAAATACGCCGCTGTTGTGTTGGTGTTACTTGGGTGTAGGTGACGCCTTTGTTCAAGAAGGGTTTAAACTCGAGACAGTATCGAACTGTTAATGAATTCGTAAATTTACAGACCAACCTATAGTGTAAAGCCTCAGAAGGTAAAACTAAGTACAGTGTATAAATGCTACTGCAGTAGGTCGATGAATCCTATTGTCTCTGCGGGAGGTCCTTGAAAGAGGTCTATGTGATATTTTCCTTTTCTCCGTGTTCTTTAACTGTAAGGCTTGAATGGGCTTGAATAAGTTTAAAGATAATAAGTTGCAACAAAAGGGGGATTGTGTTGCAGTAGCGTCAACCGTAGCCTCGGTTTTATAACTTAGCCTAAAAATGCGTCTGAGCGATGCATGCTTCTGACACCAACCACACCCAGCATTTTAAAGAGCATAATTTTCTTTTCTCTTTTTTGTTTCTCAGAGCTGTGGTAATTTAATAAATGAGTTCGCAGAGAGGCTCGTTTTAGCTTGTTTAAAGTGGGGGCTGTTAGGTCTTTGCAGTAACGTTGTCCTGCGCACACGTTTCTCTGATACTGTATGCATACGTGACTGTACATGTACTGTATGTATATAATTTGTACGTAGGACGTCTGTCTAATTCACAGACGAGAAGACAGGCTGTGAAGGGTTTAGAGGAATAGTACTCACGCCTAGTGTTTTAGTTCTTTTGTGCAGGAATGGGTTAAATGGATTCAGTGCGTTCAGAGGAGGAGGCGCTATCAATTAAATATACTTAAAGTAGGTTTTAAACTTGGTAATTGAAGGAAAAGGAGAGAGCAATTACTCAAGTTGTCCGTTATGTAATGACGTTATATTTATCATAAACTGCACGAATTTAGATAGCGCGTGTTAGCTGGAGGGTTATTTCAAATATTAGAATAAAGAGCAGGAAAGGTTGGCGGTTAGTATTTATTGAACATTCATATGGCTTTTTTATCCTCCGGTTAGCGCGGTAACGGTACATCTGTGTCCCAATACTGCTCATCACGCCGTGAACTGGCGGGACAGGTTTTGGTCTGTACTGTGCGTCCTGATCTAATAGTTTCACTTGCATATTTACGTTTATGCAAGTCGATATTCTCGAATCTTTGTTATTTGATGCAACTACGATGAAGCGAACATGCTCTGGAAGCAGACTGCATCTAGCGGGTTTTGTCTGGACCGTGTGAAAGTGTTCATTTGTCGTGACACTTAACGTTGCGAAACATAACCGCGGCTCCTTCAGAACTTGTTTCCCACGTTTGCATTAAATATCTCATCTTCCTCTGGTTCAGTACTACACATACACATGCTTAAAATAACTTTAAAGGGCGCCGTTGTCTCACTTAACTGTATTTTTAGACTTGTTTAAAGACGGTACAGTCACCACTCCATTTCTGATAGGTTACTGGAGGAGTTAATTTTTGTTTAGTTTATTTATAGTTTCATTGTTTTGTGTCACCCATGATATTGAAACTTATTTGTCCAGCAATATAAACTTTTTTTTTCTCTCCGCATTAATGCATGTCAGGTATATTCACGAAATTAAAAGAAAAACTTTATCAGAGCACATATTAATTTCTGCACCAGCTGCCCCACCTGGGCGACACACAGCGGCCATTCTGTACCAACAGCCCCAGTGCACAGCAGATCAGGGGGAGGAGTGAGAAAATACTTTTAAATTACGGGGGCTAATGTACAGTCTGGCCTCACTACAAACCAAAAAACTGTGGCGACGCCCCTGTTCTCCCGAGCAGTGCCTGTGATCTTCAGTGACACAGGAGTCAATTCCTTGGTGTCGTGTCACAAGGTGGTTTTTTAGCGGATCCCCTCCTGCTTCCTTTCCAATCTGATTAGTGCAGGATGAGTGAGCTTGGACTTTCCAAGAGTTTTTTTTTTTGTAATCCCTGTTCTAAATTTGGGGATAATGGTCCAAGCCATTACTGACCACAAATCATGAGTGAGTTCAAACCAAAGGCCTGTGCCAGAAGCAGTGCACTTTCTTCTGATCCAGCCACAACCTTCCCAGCTCCAGGCACAGCATGTATTTACCTGCGAAGTGGAGCAAAATGTACTTGCCTTTGAGATTTCTACTGTCCGCTAAATTCGACTGGAAGATAAGTGGCCGGTATGTGATTCTTGTTTTTTCGTGGAGTAGTTTTTCCACAAGCCATAAAATGCAAAAATGTTTTTTTAATGTAATTATGAGCGGGTTGTGTAAATGTGTTGTGTAAATTTTTTAAAACTCTTTCCTAGAGTGCATTGCAACTGAGAATCACACTTGTTTTCGGTCTTCTCAGCAGGGCGGTCGTAACACTTTTCCAACAGACCGTCCAGGTTACAGACGATCCTGTCTGGCAGTTAGTGTCTAATTGCTCTAATGATCTCATCCTCTTGTTGTTGTTTTTTTAAAGAAGCCAAGGTATGGACTTTAACAGCAAGGCTGGACAGCCTGTTCCACACTCCCACCACCTTTTGTATAATGAAGTGCTGTTATTGTTTTAAATGTATTACTGGTCCCCCACCGGGAGTTTGGCAAATTCTGAACTTCTGATTGTAGCCCCTTAGGCTTTCAGAATCTTCTACAGCTGGTGTTTGTTTGCCATTCTGCCTCTGGCAAGTTTCCTCCTGAGACTAACGGGGTTAAATGATGTTGTTGTCTGCTATTACAGTGGACTGCAGGTCTCTCTGTAGCAATGTGATGTAGCCACATCCCATCTTGTCAGAGAAATGAGAATGTGTGGATACAGGTAATGGAGATATGGTGATGTTAAGGTCACGGTAAATCTAGAGTTTTGGGGGAAACGGCGTGTACCTCTTTCCTCACACCTTTGATCTTGTGCAGCATGTTTTCCTAACTGCATCACCATCTTCTATCAGTGAAACTGAAAATCATTTTTGTGAATTGGTTATTTTTATCGTTTTCCCATGCCATTCTACTCAGGGCTTTTGTAGCCCTTCATACTAGAAGGTGGCACTGGTCTTGCACAAACCCTGCAGTAAACATTAACCACTTCTTGTGAAGCCCATCATGCTTGAGAGATTTCCTGGGGAGGTGGATTAATTATTACTGTGTTTATGCACTATGGACAGCATTGGGTGTGTGGTCTCTGCTGATGCAAACAATATCAGTTTGTTCCTCTAGATACTGTGGGCTTAGGCTGATTAGCCTTATGTATGACTAAAAGCTTGCCTAGAGACCTTTGTCTTATGGTGCTTACAGAACCAGATGTAGTAATTTGGAAGTGTCTTTATATTGATGCCAGGTGTGGCAGACAAATAACATTCAGAATTTATTCAAATCATTTGTTCAGCTGAATTGTGTGTTTATTTGTTATGCCTTTATTTTACTATGTAAACCCATTGAGAAGAACATTTCCATTCGGGAATAGCAGGGAATTGACTGGAGCAATTTGAGTGACCTTGCTGAAAGTTAGTCGTTCATTTTTATGAATGTTTTCTGTCCCGTTTTCCTAGTTGTAGGTATTTTGTAGTCTTAATTGTTTACTGGGATATGTGCTTAGGATTGCGTCAAAGAATCGAAGAAATAACTGGAATAGAAAAAAGCTGGGTGAGTTGCTATGTGCAACAGTGGGGGTCTCTACATGCACATGTTGGTGTTTGCCCCCTTTGTCTGCAATAAAGGTTTTCTCAGGTTATTAATAGTTAGGCGCTAGTCAGTAGAATAAAGCTACCCATCCTTAGGTACAGCTAACATTGTTTATTTTGGAATTATTTTACAGGTTTATTCAACATTCCTTAATTCTAGAAAGGGCTAATAAAAGACATTGTAATTGAAGTAATGCAAGATCCATGGTTTTAGGAGTGAGGGACCTACTGTAGGCTCAGTAGTAGAACAACTGCATGGTCTCACAATAGAAAAAAGGTCATGCATTTTGGACATAGTATACTGTAGCTATCTTGTCTTTACATAGAATACATAGAGCTGTGGGTGGTGGGAACAGGCTTCAGCCAGGTGGCTGAGGTACAAGCTATGAGCTCCCTGAAGTGGCTGGTTGAGACATTAGGTTTACTAAACTGCCAGACTACCTAAGGAGCAGGGTGGGTCCAATGGCTTCCTCTCATTGGCAGACTTATGGCTTATCTAGCTGTTTAGATACGCTTAACTAAGTGGGGAAAATAGTGGGACACTGGCAAGCTGCAGAGGAACAGGTTAATTACACAAAAAAAGTAACACGAGGGAGAACAACGTTTTCGGCAGTGAAGCCTCTTTTTGTTTTTCAGCATGGCATGAACCTCCACAGGTTTCTCAATGAAGAAAACTACCCAGGTTTTTTTTACAAGGCTTACAAAGTGTGCTGATCTGCTTGGGGCTGCATTAGCGTTGCTTTTCCACTCTTGGCATGTCTCGTTATCACTGGCATGGCTGCTGTTCTTTGGTGTTTGCAGGTAACCATGGCGATGACAGGTCAGACGTCCTACCCTACAATGAGTAACCACACCAAAGAGCGTGTGACCATGGCCAAGGTGACCCTGGAGAACTTCTACAGCAACCTCATCACCCAGCACGAGGAGCGGGAAATCAGGTACCTTTCCCAGAAGTCCATTGTCTTTTTCTCCCCTCCTTTTCTCTGTTGGAAGTAAATGGGGAAAGATACACTGCGTATAAGGAAGTAATGCTTTCACGATAAATGTAAGTAATCTGGAATGCTCGTGTTCTGCTCATATCCTTTGGACTTTGCCTCTGTCTGCAGTAGCTGCAAAACAATTATTCTTGAGAGCTTGCAGCGACTGTCTTTGATTCCTTTAATAGAGGGATTGGAATGTTTTTGCAGATATGGTTGATAGTGCTAAGTTAATAAACTTATAAAACACTGGCATTTGTGCATCTTGTTGTGGCGGTTCTGGACGTTTGTACTACTGTCTTCTACAGAATGATAAAACGTGTCTGTGCAGAGTTATGGCCCAAGCATGAAGCCCCTCGCCTTCTCTTGATTACACAGGCTTGTTTCCCCTTTTCTGAGGGTGACTGACAAAGCATAGACCCAGCCCAAAACTGTGCGGGCTTTCAATAAGACATTGAGTATTGTGAGGAGATTCTGTTTTTTCTACCATATAACAGTTTCTGCTTTTCAAGAACACATTCATCCTACAATAGGTTCCTTAAGGTTGGTGATTGTAGTTTCAAGCCCTGTGGTGAAATGTGTGTAACCTGAAGGGCTCTGGGCCGTGTTTGTCCCCAGCCTGTCACCAAGGTCCAAAGAGGAAGTTGTGCTTGAGAAACGCTGAACGGAGGCTCATGAGTGGCAGCAAGCCAGGGTTACCGGCAGAGGAAGCAGAGACAAAGAATATTGTCTGTTGCCTTTATGTAGTTATAATGGAGCATAAACACCCAATATTGTATTTGGCTTTTACCAATGTGTACACTGTTTTTCTCATTGTGAACGTGACGGTGAATTTCATTTTTAGTTTTCTCTCAAGTGCCATATCTTATCGTGTGAACTACAACAATGTGTGTGACATTCTCTGGCTGATGGTGAGGCTGAGCATTGTCTTTATCAAAGGACAAGTCTACTAGAGCCCATGTATTCTCGAGCAGATATTTAATACTTTTTTGTTCTGGTCCAGTAGTTATGACACAGGTCTCAGTTTCCTTTGCTGTTCTTGAAGAAACCTCTGGTTTATTACCCAGCCTCTAACTCAAGGTCCTAATTATTCATGGCTTCAGGTGTAGGATTACAGCGGGGTTTCAATGCTGTGTCTTGATTGAGACTGCTCCAGAGCAAGAGTCGAAAAGGCCGGGCTGATAAGAGCAGCTGGGCCACAATACTGTGTTTGTAACATGAAACTGGATGGCTAATCCACCTTGTGCCCTCTTTTCTTCACAGGCAGCAGAAACTGGAAAAGGTGATGGATGAACAAGGCTTGCCGGACGAGGAGGTGAGGGAACATGTGGTGGCGCATTCCAGAGGGAGAACCGAGGAAGGAGCAAGTCATGATCCTTTCAGGGCGTGTCCCGCTACAGTCCTGCGTGGACTGCCACCCTGACCTCCTGCATTTTTGTAGCTTCTTCTTTTTTGTGCTCTGGTTAAATGCTTATTTGAACTTCTTGCTTCATAAGACCCCTTTTTTTCCCCAGACTGATTTCAGTTCCTAAATCAGCACTGATTTTATGGAGCTGCTTCTGGTGTCACAACCAGCAGTTGCTCATTTAACCCTCTTCCCGAGGTCTTGTGCCATCGATGTCCTGTAGCAGTGGACCTGTGGATGTAGATGTAGTTGAACTACTCTAAGATGTAGCTTTTGTAATGGATGGGCAATGCATGGGCTTTGCAAGAGGTTTCAACAGTGTATGGCATGAAGGTATTATATGTGCTGAAAGTGGTGCCTCACTAACTTGGTGAAGGGGGGTACAGTGTAATGATGAGACGGGAAGAAGGTTTAAGTTGTGTAGTACTTTGCTTATTATTTTAAAAACTCGTGCTTTCCATCCCTGCACTTCAACAGAAACGCCAAAGGCGATCAGAGCATGCCCGGAAGGAGACGGAATTCCTTCGCCTCAAGAGAACCCGTCTTGGTTTAGATGACTTTGAGTCCCTAAAGGTCATAGGTCGTGGAGCATTCGGAGAGGTAACTTTCAGAACCCCCCCACCCCCTCTACTGATTTCTCACACTCCTGACCCTTTACTGCAGTGACTTTGCAGAATCGATCTGCGAACCCATCTTGAGCCTTTCTGCCTCCACCAGCCTCAGATGAGTTAGTGCTCCGGTCCGATGCCTCATCAGCCAGCCCTGTAATAGTGTTCTGCTGTGCTGACAGTGTGGTTGGTCACTGTGACTTTGGCAAAAGAACACTGAACATGCTGTGTTTCATGCAAACCCTTGCTGTGTGTATTGTTAAGTTTTTTTTCGTTTGCATTAGTCGCATAAACCATATATAATTAATGTGGATTTCATATTTGAAGGATCTAGCCTTTCTTTCTGGCCTGCAGATTGTTCCTGATGTAATTATTGCATCCATTTCATCCAAGTATTTGCACTTTTTCAGCTCAGGGTGAAATAAATAATTAGTGGTCACAGTCACACTGGATTAATGTTGTAGCTAAATAAACTGATCTTTTTAGATTTATGATATTGCACCAATATATCTATAGTTTTCCTGTTCGTTTGTTAAGGCAATGCTGAAAAGTAAGGTTGATTTCCACTGTCAGTGGTCATTAAAATATCCCTGGGCATTTCTTGGTAAGAGTAGGGAGTTCCTGGTGTCCGGGCCAAATTTCCCCCCTCTGCCTTTACCGTGGCCTCCAAATTGTCCCCCTGTATGATTGGCTTGCACTTGCCCTGCGATGGACTGGTGCCCTGTCCAGAGTGTACCCTGCCTTGCACTCGTTGCTTGTTGGGTAGGCTCTGGCTTCCCGCGACACTGTTTGGTATAACGCGGTTTGGTAAACGAGATGACAAATTTCCATTTAGTCCAGGGCAGGAATGATGGGTCCCTTCTCCCCCACCCCAGGTGCGTCTTGTTCAGAAAAAGGACACAGGCCATGTGTATGCCATGAAGATCTTGCGCAAAGCGGACATGCTGGAAAAGGAGCAGGTAAAGTTTCTGTCACAAGATCCCCACTAGTGACTGGAAGGAAAAGAAAGTCATCCATGTTTAGATTGTGGGAAAACAAGGAGCTTCAAAAAAAATACCTGATCATTTCCCGTTGACTTCTATCGGTGATCTCACAGAAAGCGGCTCAACCAGGATCTTTAAAGCAGTTAAACCCATTTTAAAGATCCACCCTCATCCAGGAGAAAAAACACAATGTATAACAGAGTCTGAATATAATGTAGTGACAACTGCTGGTCTCGCTATTCTGTTAAATCTTTTCTGCAGGACCCTCAGTAAAGACTGATTTGCTTCATTGCTTTTTCAAGTCCTGTGTTAGAACATCAAGGCATTAGAGCATACATCTTCCTGGGGTTAAAAGCAGGTGGGGCCTGTAAAGTACAGTTATATGGGTGTTGCTCAAGAGCTTGTTTCAACCTCTTTAAAGAGGAAGTTAAATACAGAATGGCATATAGTGAAACTGCATCTCATAGAAATTGGAAAAAAAGTAATTCCAGCTGTATGTTTACTTTTAATTAGGTTATTGGTAATTCTCAGGTTTCACTTATAGTCTTAAATTGAAGTTCGAGCCTCTGTGTTTGTTTGAAATCACCAAAATGTACAGACTGGGTCTACCATGTGTATAAAAGGTCCTCCTTACTCAATCAGTGATGGAAGCTGGACTCCTGTTGCATAGTATTTATAGCCGCTCCTGGTTTTACAAGCTGCAGAATCTCCTTTAAAAAGCAGCTTTATTTCTGCATACTTTCTTTTTAAAACTGGAATCGCATGTTCTGGAATCCAGCGGGTTTTTGGTGTCTCGAGTTGTACTCGGCTCTTGACCTTTGAGAAGAGTTGATCCAGTTAAGGTTTATCTCCACAGTCTTCAGCTGGTGATGATGTAAAGAGATATGGGACAACCTGCTGGATAATGACCCAGATGAGTTTAAGACTAAGTTTTACACTGAGGGGGACTGAGGACCTGCAGCTTTTTTGTTTAGAATGTGTTAATATGAACATAAAGTGGTTTTCCTTTAGTAAAGGAGCCCCCAGCTTGTAAAACGTGGAATGGCACAAAAGTTACAAATGAGAGGAGGCCATTCGGCCCATCTGTCTATTGGGAAGTTGGTAGCTGAATGTTAAAGCTGAGGTGAATTCCATGCAAAGGGAAAAGATCATTGGGATTGGTAAGAACTGTGATCCCGTGTCTTCCTGGTATAATACTGGCAGGTGGGGCACATCCGAGCAGAGAGGGATATTCTGGTGGAGGCAGACAGTCTCTGGGTGGTGAAGATGTTCTACAGCTTCCAGGACAAGATGAACCTGTACCTCATTATGGAGTTTCTGCCAGGGGGTAAGAAGACACCTTTCAGCTTTCTGTGTGGTTTGTCTGCAGGCACTTGAGATTAACGTAGATCTGTTTACTCCCATGTGTAACAAATTTAGGGTTAGTCAAATACAGGATCTCTCGATCTGTTTCAGTCTTTACCAGCTCTGTAAAGATTGTATGACGCGCTTTGTGACAAACTGTCCCGAAAGTATTAAGAATGTAAAACAGTTTGTGATGTCACGGTTTCTTACCATAGACTTGCACTAGAATGGATTTGTGGAAGACTTCCTCCAAGAGCTTTCAGATGTACAGTGCTAATTAATTTTCAGATGTTAATCAAGAAACAGTTAAATGCTAAATAAATAAATGCACCTAGAATCACACAGGTCTTTTTTGCAAAAATGTCTAGAGTTCCCATGTTTGCGATCAGCAATTGTTAGCTTCTGTTAAATGCCTCCTCTGCGAGCATGCCTGATTCTTGAACAGGAAGTTTTGGACAGCCAAAACAATTTTTCTATCCACTCTTCAGGATGGAATTAACCTCTGCTTGTTCCTCTTGCACGCCCTGTCCCAGTCACCCTAGCCGATCGTCTAGTACAAGGAAGCATTCTCCACTTTTCCTCTCCTCATTGCCTGAGTGATGTGATGCAGGTGATATGATGACCTTGCTGATGAAGAAGGACACGTTGACCGAGGAGGAGACGCAGTTTTACATTGCAGAGACTGTGCTGGCCATTGACTCCATCCACCAGCTGGGCTTCATCCACAGGGACATCAAACCTGACAACCTGCTACTGGACAGCAAGGTAAGAGACTTGGAGATCTTTTCTGGGAGCTCGGCACTCCCGATGGGAAAGCCCTGGGGGTGTCGCTGGAGGGAGTAGAGTGGTGCAGATTGTTATTGTAGATGAGCAGTCAGGCTCCCAAATCATATCAAATTAAGAGAAAATCAGAAGCGCTGTTGAGCTCCTTTCCATTCGCCTTTCGTCATTTCAGAAGCTTCCTAACCTGGAAAAATGATGCATCAATAATATTCTACATTTCTTCAAGGCACTGGAATGAGGTGAAGTCTCTGCAGTTTGCAGGTGCCCCTCTCTTCCTGAAAATGTTGTTAAAAAAATGACAGAGTATTTCATTGCAGCTGGGTGGGGAATTGCGGTGTGTTGGTGCTTTTGTTACACTTCCTGAGGAAGTTAGAACCAAGAAAACAAAGACATGTTGCCAGTAGGAGTGACATTAGTTATTTTTCTCAGTTATTTGCTGATGGTGTTTTTTTTTCTGGCACAATATCTCCTTTTATATTGATTGTCCTTCACTAGGGCTTGGCAGCACAAATACTGAAATTGAAGCGATGATATTTCTGTGACCATAAAGCTTCAGATGTGGAGTAATGTGACATTGATGAACTGCTGACGTGTCTTTCCGGCTGGAGTATTACATAATAGAGATTTCATGCTGCAGTAAACAAAGGGCTCTTAGACAGGAAAGTATGTTTGCATGGATTGTGCTGGACCAGTCCATCCACCCATTATCAGAATCTAAGGACACTTTTCCTTAACATGTAAAAGATTCACTTAATGCAGCTGCATCAAGCTTTCTCCTACTGTAGTGGTGTGTGCCCATGTCTGTTTTCACATACCGCAATATGTATAAAATCACTTTTTAAACATTCATGCACACCTGCGTGAAACTTCAGTATAGCCTGGCTTACTGATCTTGCCAAGAGATGCCCACTTAACACAGAGGGCCTGCTTAGCTGTGCAATGTGAAAAAACGACTGGTGTGAACATTGGTTTAGTACACGTTATGTGCTGCAGCCCACACATGGAGAACGATGGGGACTCAGGCTTCTTGAAGGCTTGGCTATTGTGTCAGGTGTGCTATAAACAGGGCTTTTATAATGAAGACCACGATGTGGAGGTGCCATGTTGTGTTAGAGCTTCTAAAGTTCTTGAAATGTTTTTTTTTATACAAAAGGTGACGCTGAGTTTTTTGAAGCAAATGCCAGACATGAGATTCCACATGGAATGTTCTACTTTGAGCATCAGCCTCATGAAAGAGAGTTCACAGACCTGAGGTTATTGATGATTAACTGACCTGCACCTTTGTAGAACTTGATTTTAACATTAATACATTTTGAAATGGCCTGGTGTTTATCTCCATCTAATGATCTATTTATGTCTAACTTTAAATTGGATTGTTTCAGGGCCATGTGAAGCTGTCGGATTTTGGACTGTGCACAGGTCTAAAGAAAGCACACAGGACAGAGTTCTATAGGAATCTGAACCACAGCCTGCCCAGTGACTTCAGTAAGTATAGCCAACATTGCCTGTACTTTATACATCTTTGACATCTTCACTGAAACATTGCATCTCCCTTCAGGATCATTATAAGGCTACCCTGTCTTCAGAAGTGTTTGCTCGAAGTTGTTTCATGTGTGGTTTTGTATATACAGATTTATGTGCCTGTAAATTCAGACATGTGGTTGGGCTTTTGAATCTCAATTCACTAAAACCTCTTAAGTACCAGTTATTAGTGTTTAGTAAGCTCAGAAGAGGTATCGCTGGCAGTTCATGCACAATTTATAACACGTTGATAGAATTAGTGAATAACAATGTCCCAGATACAGGATGCCAACACTTTCAGTATATATGAAATATAAACTAGACATTTATTTCATGTACCATTTCCCACTGGGTGCATTTTGTGTCAGAAATAACAAAGGAGTGTTTGGATGACATCTCTCTGTGCTGACGTCCAGATTGTGCTCTTCTTCCAAGCCTTTCAGAACATGAACTCCAAGAGGAAGGCGGAGACCTGGAAGAGGAACAGGCGGCAGCTGGTGAGTGTCAGCGGCGGTCTCTCTCCGCATTCCCATGGGACACCGGGACACCGAGAGGGCAGGACTGGAAGACACCGTCCTGACAGGATTACGTCCCTTCAGAACAAAACAGAAACGCAGTGTGTTACACCAGACCACCAGCACAGTTCATGTGCATCTTTCCCACACTGATGAGCTCAACTGCTTGTCTGCTCACACACCTGTCATTTCGGTTCCCAGGGGATAATGGGGATTTGCGATTTCCTGATCCAGAGCAGCGCTCGGTTTTTCTTGTTTTGTGCATCTTTCTAAACCTCACTCAATAGTCTTTGCAAAAGAGGGTTTTCAGTCTTTTTCTGGCTAGGACAGCCCGTTTTTGGAAGTAGTCCGCAGTTTTAACGGAGTCGGAGGTATATGATTATAAGAAGCCACTGTTCATTATTAAATAAGAAAAAACAGGACAGCACTGTGAGGGCTTTTGGAGCAGATCCCACTGACAGGTACGAGTGTGTTTGGCATGGTTCGGGTCGTCCCTTGTTTCTGAACACTTCGAACATGGACCCCCGAGGACACCCCAAGCGTTTGATTGAAAACCCTTGTTCTAGGATATTTTACTGTTCAGACCTTAATAATGATCAACATTAATCTCCCACCCTAATGTTCTTTTAGCAGACTCTGAGCTCATGCTGAGTGAAGTGCGTAGGCCAGAGCCTGAGGCTTTTAAAGTCTAATCTATCTCATTGTTTCTGTTTATTAGCATCAGTGCAGCATCTAATGAATGATTGTATTTTGTAGGCTTTCTCTACAGTGGGCACCCCAGACTATATTGCCCCAGAAGTGTTCATGCAGACTGGATACAACAAGCTGTGCGACTGGTGGTCTCTCGGGGTCATTATGTACGAGATGCTGATTGGTAAGACTTCAGACGGATCTGGCTGTCTGCTTCGTCTCGAGTGCTCGAATCCTAAACGGGCCCTGCCAGGGGTGGGCACTAAAATTAATGCTAAGGAATTGCCCCCAGGAAGAGCTTTTAGTAAAACAGTAGCTTTGCAGTTATCTAGCTGATGTTCAATTCTGCACCTCACTTTTAAAAATGGTACTTTTGGCACAACTACCTGTGGAATATAAGGAGGAATATAACTGTCTGTCTCCAGGGTACCCCCCATTCTGTTCCGAGACCCCGCAGGAGACCTACAAGAAAGTGATGAACTGGAGAGAGACCCTCACCTTCCCCCCCGAAGTGCCCATCTCCGAGAAGGCCAAGGATCTCATCCTCAGGTACGAGTCTCGTTCCTCTGCATTTCCACCCCTATCTCCGGGCCTCTTGCCTAGCTCTCCCATCTCGAATTCAGATTCCTCAGAGCCTGGGGGGCTTGAATTCAGGAAACAGACATGTCATTCCTAAATCCTATCTGGAGTGGTTAAAAAGTTTAGCAGCTTTCTCCAAGTGGCTCGGTTGAGGTATTTTGCTTTGTTTTTGATGGTCTGTCGTCTTTTGTATGGTTTTGGCAAAAGATGATTTGTACAGACTGATACTGGTAATGATAATTAAGAAACATGTCAGTGTCTGTGTTTTTGTTTCATCCCAGTACAATTAAAGTTAATTAAAATGTTTCTTACCTTGCTGGACAGGTTCTGCTGCGAGTGGGAGCACAGAATTGGTGCAGCAGGGGTGGAGGAGGTTAAAAGTAACCCTTTCTTTGAAGGAGTGGATTATGACCACATCAGGTACCTCACCATCATACTCATTGCAGGAAATCCCACAGAAAGCCAACTTCATGGGGGCTGCAGCTTTTCTGCATGCGTACATATGCATTTCTGTGTCTTGTATGTAAAAGCTATACATTAGCCATCTTAAACTCTAAATATATTGAGCCTCTGTAAATTAGATATGAAACCAGTTTTTAGGACTGGTTTTACTCCAGGTTAAAACCATAGGAGGTGCTGTCATTCCTAAACACAAAGCACTCCGTATCTCCTCCTCCTGTGAAGCAGTGAATCTCTTTGGAAAAGCATTTCTTTTTCCGAACAGCCCAGCCTTGTGTTTCTTGTCTCTGGCAGGGAAAGACCTGCAGCAATACCAATCGAAATCAAAAGCATTGACGACACTTCCAACTTTGATGAGTTCCCCGAGTCAGACATCCTACAGCCTGCAGGTAGAGTCTCGGCCACAGCATGATAACGTGATAGTCAAATCAAGGCGACCGCACGCCCCCACACTGCCCTGTCACCACTGCCGGACTGGTTGCTTGTGTGAAGCTGAGATAAGAGTCACAAGGTTGTTTGCGCAAGGTGCTGCCTGGAATTGAAGGCTTTAAAAGTGAAGCTAAAATGAATCAATCAAAGTCGTGACCTGTGTTCTGGAAGGTTTTCGCTTGTTATAAATCCAGTGTTCGCTGTGTGGTTTGTGTCTTAGCTGCCGTGGTGAGTAACCACTCGGAGGCGGACTACAAGAACAAGGACTGGGTCTTCATTAACTACACCTACAAGCGGTTCGAGGGGCTGACGGCTCGGGGAGCCATACCTTCCTACATGAAGACGGGGAAGAGATAGGCCCCCGAGGAGTGGGGCCGACCCGGGTTCGAGGCTGGTGCGTCCTCCTCTCTTCTGGGACATCAGCACTGAAAGAGCTTTGCAAGGAGCCTGGTCTGCCATTAGCCCCTGTTCTGCCGGAGAAGACTGACTGTGAGGGCTTGCCTTTCCGCCTTCCAGGCCTTTTGCCCTCATATCGAATCGCTGAGGTCGTGGGGAAGAGGAGCTCACGAGCAGGGCACACTCTTCCACAGTCAAGCATGGAGCGGCCTGGTGGTCCAGGATAGCTAGAAAAAAGGGCAAAACAATTGGTAAAAAAAAAAGTGTTTTAGAACAGTAAATTCTCTTCATGTCGAACTCTGAAGCAGGCAGAGGTGTGAGCTGGACCCAGAGAGGGCAGGGCTTGGACCCGGAGCTCTGTGGGCTGGGATACTGGAGCGCTGGAGCCCCCTGCAGAGCTCTTCCGGCACCTCCTCTACTACAGTTTCTTTCTCCTCTTCTTTGCGAGTCCTTTCCACTGCTGTGAAATCTCTCCTGAGGTCTCCGTTGTGCTTCAGGTCAGCTGGGTGTCCCCTGCAGTGCGCTTTTTTCAAACCCAGGGTTATTTATTCTTTCCGCCAGTGTTTTTTACATATGCGACTATGTACAAAATGTTGTATGTACTTGGGACCTTTTTTCTGCTTCTGTTAAGTGGCAGATTAACCCTTTTTCTGGGGTTATCGTTTTTTAATCTTTTAAAAATATTTTTAAAGTATCTGGGCTTCATAGCTCATTCCAGAAATGTGCTGGACATTTTTTAGTTTTCTCTGCTTGTGGTAGTCTGGCTTTTTTTTTGTTAAATTTTCTACCATATCGGTGCTTTGTCTTGCACAGTATAGTCCAATTAGTATTGGGTCTCAATGCGTGTTTAACGCGTGTACGTTACCAAAGACCAACAACAGCTACAGTTTTCACCTGCAGGGTCTTACACAGTGGATCTTTGTTGGTTTCAATGTAAATTCCAGAACTAGCATTATCTTCACCTTAAAACACACACAGCTTAGAGCTATGAGTCTGAAAAGACTTACCAAGGACTGTAGAAAAGGTAATTGTGTAAAATACAGCATTTCCTTTTTAATTTTGGGGAAGGGAAAGTCTTTAAGAGGCTCCTAGTATACAGTATTTTAATTTGAAATTTGGTTTCACTGTCAGAAGTCTGACGCAGGTTGTGCCAGACTGATGATGGAGTGAGAAAAGGCAAGAGCAGCAGTATAATTCCATTGGCAGTGTTTGGTAATTTGAACAGATAAGTGTTTTAGCTTCTTGATCCTGGGGAGTAAATACACCTCCATTCAATATTAGACCATTTTTTTATATTAGATGAAAATTCTCTCCATATTATTGTGCAATGGGTCTTAAACTTGGCATATCATGTCTTGAAAACCTTTGCTTGGGGAATCGCAAAGGTGGACAGTTTGACAGTTTGACAGTTACCCTATACATGTGAGGATTATTTCTTGTAAAATGGGAAGCACTGGGATCTCAGAGATGGTTTTTTCCGTGACGTCACGGGCATGGGCATTGCAGTGAATGAGCATCACGGCCACAGCAAAGTCACACCCGTGGAAAAGAGGCAGGAGAGTCGGGACCGAAGCCGGTCCTTAGCAGGGTTGGAAATGAGGATCCGCACACGGTACACCAGGCAGCAAACCAGTCCCAAAAGCCAAACAAACCTTTCCTGAAAATCAAAGATCAAGCAGGATCTATGCAGTTTAAAATAATTTCAGTGGTCTGCCTGCTGAAATAACCGGCATGTTAGATGCATTCTGCCTTGTAATTGTTTCTGGATGCTTTTTCTTTTTTTTGGAAGTAGTATTTAAATAGATGACATGATGCACTTAATGAAAGCAGACTACATGCTGACTTCACCGATTTCGCTTGTATTCCAGGAACCACAGACCTCCGTGGTAGGCCTCATATATATAGCACTTCTAGACTTTTTATAAGCTTATAGGAACGCCTGTGTTTTGAAAGACAACATTTGTGTTTTAGTGTATTTTTAATCACAGGGCTCAGTATTCAGACTTACTTGAAATTTTACACCTATCTGCTTGTGAAGGTGACCTTGCTATCTGGTCAACAGCATTACCCTGCAACACTAGTTTTAGAATCTGCTTGTTCAGACAGTTACGAGATTTTGTCAGCAGTTAAGGCCAAAGCTGAAGGAGGTTGATTCATTTGTTGCTTTTATCCAAGGTGATTTACATTTCTGCCCATCTATACAGCCGAGCAACTGGCGTGAAGTACGTTGCTCAAGGATAGCACCACCATGTCTCAGCTGGGTTTGAACCCGCAACCTTGCAGGCACAAGTCCAGGCCACTGCTGCCACTTCTGTTAAACACTGCCACTTACAGTCACTGGGACTGAACTGCAAAAGCCTGTGAATTATTTCCGTTTCAGTCTCCCTAAGTGGAGTGATTACAATATGGCTCGTACCCTATTAGATAAGGCATAATGCCTTGTTGACCTTTTAATCTGTAAATCAGATATCAGAATCTGTGTATCAGTTTGCTGGCAATAGATTTCTGCATGTGGGCTACAGAGTGATGAGATAACCTGCATTTGAAAAGTATAGTTCAGAAGCATCCCCTACAGGCCTCAGGTATGCCTCAGTCAGGAAAGGGGCTTGCTTGGAGCGCGGGTTGAGCCAGAAGACTAGAGTTTGAATTTGGGCCGTGTCGCAGTTTGACGGGGGCCAAGACTGTCGAAGCGCTGTCAGGTCTTGGAGTTGGAATCGCTTGGACAGGGATTTCTCAGCTCTTGAGTAAATGGGGCGGTCCTGCAGCTTTTTTGGTGTTTGTACCTGGAAGCTTGCAGGGCTGCACTGTTCCTTCAGTCAAGTATAACCTGGCTCGCAGAGGGTCAGAAAATAAGGTACTTGATGGCTGGGAAGGTTGGAGTAGTCCCTCCTCATTCCTGCAGTGCAGTATGTGAGTCTTTGCTTTGAAACGAAGTGAAGGATCGGTGGCGAGTCCCATACTGGGTGAACAACAAGGGGAGAGGCTTTTACTTACGATTAAGTGACTCCGCTATTAAGATGCTCGTTTCCAGGTTGAACTCTGATCCAGATGTCATTTGTTCGAGACTGAGTTTCGTTGCCAGCTGACCGGGACTGGGACTCCTCCTGCTGCCTCGGTGCTCTCTGTGGGATCTTGGGTGCTTGAAGAAAGGCAGTGAGATTGACAAGAGGTGCGTCTCTCCTCGTTAGGCAAGAGATGAAGGGCATATCAACAAATAGAGCACATCTCAAACAAAAAGGGCATTCTCAAAAGAAAAGGGCATGGGGCCCTAATGCACTAAAGCAAAAAAGTTCTATTTTGAAAATCAAATAATGGCATCTCTGTTTCTGCAAGTCTCCGTCGGGATCCTTTCAAGCAAAGTTGGGTTACCATACCAAAGTAAAAGAAAAAGGTTTTGTTGTTCTGTTCCCAAGTGGCTAAAGCCTGGGTTTTGAGTATCCCACAATAGAGGGTCAGCTGGAAGTCCCGTACTGAGGGGAGGCTGCCCCACCCCTGGAGGTGTGTTCGCTGGATGTTTGCAATGGAAAACCATGGCAAGGTGCTTGCTGGGATACAAAGCGCCAACCTGAGGGCGTATGACCTGGACCTTGCGAACACCAGGAGCCGAGGAGACTGGGAATGCCCACAGCTGAAATAAGGTCGCTTGATGCAGGCTTTAAAAATCTGAACATTTTCTTTCGTTACCAGTCGTGTTAGTGACTGCATTACATTTCACATAGAACACTTAAAAGTCCTTTATCTCAGGGGCAAAAACACATGTTCGTCATTGAGTAAAAATGAAATTCCATCACAATGGCTGGTTACCAAGGCTCGCTTTCTTAAAATTGTTTTTTTTCCCCCGCTTTTAACTACTCCATATACAGTATGTACGTGTGTATTTTTTTCCATAAAGGTACAGATGCCAAAGAACTTTATGACCATTGGCACGCTGTGGACACAGGTTTGTGTTTGCCCCACTGAGGCAAAGTGAGCAGTGGGGTGCTGGGCCCTGCTATCCCTGTTGTGATAATACAGTGCAGAATGTATGGTTTTATGCAGTAATTTATGTTGTTATATGATGACACAGTATACTTTGTATTTTTTCTAAAACAACCCTTTTTATATTTTGTCAACTTTTACCAAGATCAGCTTTTATCACCCATCTCTTTTTTTATCCTCCACAATTAGATCAAGAAATTCTAAAAACAGAACATTCAGGAAATTCTTGTGCTTGTCCTCAGTGCTGAGGGATTGATGTATTTCTGTATATTCTTCAAGTAATGTAAAAACGTGACGAGTGAGATATTCAACAATTTTTATTTTGTCACTCAAAGAAAACGACAGACGGCTGTTGTTCGGTGCATTCCCTGTTTGAAGGGGGTGGCCCTCTTTCGTGTTGTCTGGTTTTTTTTTTGCATGTAATTTTATTGTTGCTTTGAAATGTAAAAAAAAGACCTGGGGGGCTTGGTGGTGGTTTGAAATACCTGGGACCACAGAAGTATTGCTCGGCTTATTCTCCTGTCAGTTACAGCAACTGAGCTGTGCTTTTATCAAACAGCGCTCAGGGAACTCTGATGTGTAAGCATTCCATTTCATTTACCTAGCTAGCTGAATGCCTGACAAAAACCGATCTGGGGCTGGCAGCCCCTAATGTGAAATAAGTGATCTTTGTGTTTGCTACAATTTTGTATGTTCTCTTCACTGGTGGGGATATCTCCTGCAATGGGTCTGATTTTAACTGTGTTGTAAAGACAGAAGACTTCAACAGTCAGATCAGTAATAGGACAGTGTCTGCACCTCCACTGCAAAATGTCACTAACTATACAACAACTCTGACCTGTTCCTGATTTTCCAAAAGGAGAACATGGGTCTCGGAGCAGGATACATAAGTGTTTTTTTTTTTTGTTTTGTTTTTTTATTTTCGCTTCACTTTGGCAAATGCTCTGTTGAGTGCGTTTCCTGCTCTGGGTTGGGAGCAATTTGACTAGTTTCCAAAGTTCAGGGGAGGAATCTTCTCTGCTGATCAATGGCTCTTGCAGGGCAGGACCTCATGATGTTAAAAAAAGAAACCGTGTGACATGGTCTTAAAGGTCACGGGCTCTTCGTGAGGGCAGAAGGCCCACGGGGACTGAAGTGTGCAAGGGGATATAAAGTCTCACAACCATCTGTTACTGACTGCAGTAGCCATGAGCCTACTGCTTCTTCCTTCTCTCCCAGCTCTGCCATTAAACCCCTGCACACAGTCCTGGGTATGCAACCTGGGAGGTTTATAGATCTATTCTTCTCAGAGGTGCACATTCTCCCTGTATACGGGGAATCTTCATTTTCTGCTGTGCTTGAATATGAACAGAGCCTCTCTATGCCAGTGATACCTCCTGTGTGTGCTTTTATTTTAAGCTGAAACAGGATCTCTGCCATCCCCAGCCTCCTCCATGTAGTTTTGGCTAGTTATATATAAATATTGCTGCCTTACATAGTACAGGTTTATACGTGTAAATGCAGTTTGATTAAATATTTTTTTCCCCTCTCCTGAGGTTTGTTTCTAGCTATCATTTTTGTTTTAACCTGCTTGGTTACTGGCAGCAGCAGAAAGCAAAGCTTGTTTTTGTGAAAGGAGCATTCAGTGCTGCCACAGCCAGCTGTTTAAAATGAGTCAATAAACCCTTGTACATAGTTTCTACTGCATTTTACTGTTCATGTGCAATCCTTGTTAGTGACAGGCTGTATGCACTGCCAGTACACGTAGTATAAAGAGTAAACAAAGATGCATCTTGACTTGACTACATTGCTTAAAACTTCCAAACTGTAAGATGTGCCTTTTCAGAAAGTACAGACATGCTGTCATGCTGAATGTGCTCCTGGGATTTGTTGATTTTGCAATGTACTGTGCTGTTTATCATGTTTTTTCCTGTCCGATTATCAGCTCATGAGCTGTCAGATGTTTCGTTTTGCCTGCACCCATGGTCTCAATCAAAGAATGTCATCTCGTATGAAAGTAGCCTTAAGCAGTGAATGAGGTAACAGGATCTTCTGCCTGAGCAGACAAGGTTTTTGTGCTCATTAACTTGTATGTATCCTGCTGATCTAAGCCTGCTCCTGTTTTTTTTCTCGAAACATCCAGAAAAGAAATCATATTCAGCAAAATTGGAAACAACCCCTTAAGTTTTGTATTGCAGTGACGTACAACAAGAGGCATAAAGTAACTTTACACTTGTCCTCATAAATGTTACAAATGCACAAGCTTGTACCTGTTCATAACCTAAAACCTAGACTACAAGCTTCATCCCAGTTTATGTAGTTCCCTGTCACAAGTGACAGCAAGCTGGTAGCAGTAAAAGTTACATAAGCAAAACTAAACAAGCTGGATAGAGCTGCATTAATCGTTTACTGCTTCCTAACAATGTACACTTTTTCAGGGGGGTATTGTCACCATGGGAACATACACCACATCTCGAGAATGAAATGTACACTATAATCAGTTCAGCATCACCATTTTCCTTTACAGTCTTCATACTTTCAAAACCAGAATAAACATTTTGATTAATCGATACACAAAGTTTGCAATTAACCAATGACCATGGTGGGGGAGGAGAAATTCCTGCCCTCCTTGTGCACTATGCATGTTTCTGAATCCTTCAGCTTTGTTTTAAAGGATTTCAATGGCTTCTACTAAAGATGCAATGCAGTATGATCATGATCACCGAAAGACATACTTCTCATTTTGTGTATCATAAGCAGACATTTAGAAAGAAATTGCAAAAGGCTTCTTTCCAAAATGCAAACGGTGCCAAGTGAATCTCTTGCATAAATATTTTAGTGGTGTTTAAGATGCAGGTATTCTGCGTCAGTCAATGATACATTTCATCATAAACATTCACGTCTTGGCACAGAAGACCTGGAAAACCTCTGGAACTACAGGAAAGAATATAAATGCAAATACCTCTCCACCCATTTGCAATAGTGTGCTGAATGTTTGCCTTTTATTTTCCAGTTTTAAAAATTGTGCTTCAGAAAAAAGAAATCCCTTTTTTATGTAAAGCATCCAACTGCTCACTTTGGGTGGAAAAAAAAAAGGACTTTGACGCTTAAATGTAAAAGCTTTCCTGAACACCTACTGCTGAAGCAACAGTGTCGGCACAAATAAGGGGATCTGAAAGCAGATTGTAATGATATTGCGGAAAATCCATGGAAGAAATTTCTATGCAGATTTTTTACTATAACATCATTTCTGTATTTTAACAGCAACTCAAAGCTTTATGACCCTTATTCACTACTGAATGCAGTACATTTGCAACACCGTTTTATATAACTTCTGGCAATGGCCAGTCTTTCAGGCCTGGATATCTCACGCACTCTGAAAAAGACAACTTCCTACTTGTTGAAGCTCTTTGAGATACAGTACAATCATCACGAAAGGCGCTACACAAAAGCATGCCACCCATCACACACGTGCCACATGACAGCCCGGCCTGTTTCTGCCGAAGAGGAAGTCCAGGTGCAGCAAGCACGAAAACACTTACATTTTCTCATCTACTTCTCCTCGTTAAGACAAACGCGGTTGAAATTTGCACGAGATGGTACGTTTCGTAGACCGTGCATGGGTGTGGCAGGCGGAGGAGACTCCTGTCATGCCCCAGCTGGCTCCTGCTGAGAGACCCATCTCCAGCAAAAATCAGCAACTCCTCCTCAGTCCCCAGTCAGGCAACAGGCTCTTGAAAAATACCCCACTCACAAACCAGTTAGTTGTCTTGGACTTTTAGTTCATGAGTGAAACCTCTGAGCTCTGCAACGGGCAGGGCTCTGCAGTAGAAGACGATCTTCAAGAGGTCTGCGCTTTGTTTTTTTGCATGTGTTGTCACATACAGTATTTACACTTTGCCAACAGATTCCCAGCTCTTCACAGCCTCCTTTCAGATGCCGATTTGGGTTCAGCTTGGTGAGGCACCCCACCAGTAGCTACCACACAGCTGCTCTGGCACTTGGAAGCATGTTGGCACATTGGCATTGAAGAAAACAGACATTCCTGTTGGAAAAATCCAGACCACTGTTGCTCTCATCTAAACATTCCTTGACGTGAGCACCTAACCTCTGAATCTGTGCATGAAGCAGCAGTGCTGTAATCGGTGGTGCTCGCCCAGGGCTGAGGGAGCTTGGGGGTGAGGGTGGGAGTAGGGATGCGGGCGTGACGGGACTCAGCCCTCGTCGGGGACATGGGAGGAGAGGAGGCGGGGGTAGGGCCCGTTGAGGCGGTCCAGCTCGTCCACCTGTGGCAGGGGGTGGTGGGCGGCCGGGGTGGCCCCCTCGCCCACGGTCACCAGGTTGGGCACGCTCTTGCTGCGCACACACTGGAAGTCCACGTGACGGCTCTTGCCCTCCTCCTTCTCCCAGGAGAGCTGGATGAAAGGGCGCTGCACGTAGTTGTAGATGACCTCTGACCGCCCACCTGGCCGGCGCTTCACCTTCTCCTTGCACGTGGGGTACCCTGGGAAATAAGGAGATGTCGTAATTACCTATTATAAAGGCAAAGGCTGAAACCGGAGGTGAAACCAAACTCCTTGTTTTTTCCAAAGTAGACTTTTCAAACTCCCGGCAGTAGATGGCAGCATTCCAGCATACAGATCTTGCTGGTGAAACGATGCTTTTTACTTTAACATCTTCATCTAGGGCAATTTATACTGAAAACCTAGATATGAATTGGAAATATTAACTGTCCAAACACAACTCATAATTTAGTGGTGTGCAGTCATACAATTAGCTAATTAGTAGAGCGATTATACCCAACTGCTGAACTGATGTTGTGCTCTTTTGAGATGAAAGTCACTGTGAAGGCAATGTTATTGAACTGGGCACTTAAGAGCTAGCCCATGTGGGACCTTGTCATTTCTTCAGCTGGCATTCCTAAGCTATGGCAGCTCACAGAACAGTAGGAAGAGACTGGGCCACTCACCCTCGATGCCAATGCGGATGTTCTTCAACCCTCTTTCCTTCAGCAGGGCTTTGGCCACGTCCCTGTTCTCAATGTACTTGAAGAAGCGGTACAGCTTGGTGCTGTAAAGGACTGGACAGAGAGACCAGGAGAGGTCAGGCATGCTGCTAACACACCACCAGGTGGCTCTCTCAGGTGAAGACTACCCCACACAGAACTTCTGAGAGAGAGGAGGCACTTGTGACAACATGGCTGAGGCCAAACCTTCATTCAGTCTCACTACAGCTCTTTATTTTCTGGCTATTCAATACTCACAACATAACATGTTAAATGCTACATTACCAAAAACCTGAGACATTTCGGCCAAAAATCTGAGACTGCAAATGAGGAATGTCTTAATATATGAAGAGGTGGAACTGATCAATATTTGTTTTACATATCACTGACACAGGTGTGCAATCTTGGCACGCCTTATTAAAAGCTAGCACATGTGGGATTCAAACTCCAGGTGATCTAGTGTCTAAGATCCAGTGTTACAAGGTGGCTCCCAGTTTCCAGGACCAGCTGAAGCAGTGACTCACACACGCGTCAGCCTCGGAGACCTGCTGAACCTCCCTGTGCTTCAGCTTTAAGAATGAAACACACAACTGAGTTCCTGCTGTATGTGATGCATTTTTCCCACCCTCTAACTGCCGTAAGGCATTACCCAACTGTGATCACATTAAGTCTTGTAGCTGTAGGCTTCTGCAGTTCTGTTTAAAGTGGCCAGAGAGTCCTCCCCTTCCTCCACCCCCATTGCAGGTTGACAGTGAAACCCCAGACAAGCTGCTTCTCGAGAGATCTGAATGAGTCAGCATGCTGCATCATGGCTCGGTAACATGTTCCGCCCTGCCAGCACACCCATGCTGTCTCTCTGAGCTTGGGGAAGTTGGCCGCAGACAGTGAAACCCACTGAATTTCTTTGTGCTGTTGAAAATAGCTTGTGCTGCTTTTGATCCGGAGATTTGCTTATTTTTCCAGGGATGCGAGTCATTCGGTGCCCTCCACCAAGAACGATAAGGGTCGCAAGACTCCCGGCAGAAAGCAGGCGCTATATCTTGGGAACGAAAACAGCACAAAAAGAGCACATGAAAATGCGGTGGGATTCATTGTGCTATTTGTAGGGGGCAACTTGACAAAAACACCAACAAAAGTTGTGCTCCGAGTAAACCCCTGACAGAGCTCCGCTGGTGATCCAAGCCACAGCGTACATATCCCTGCTTCCAAGTCCAAGCTACCCCTTCACAGGTAACAGGGAGGCAACGATGGAAAAGCACATGGACACCACGCGTCAGACAGCTGGCGATCCCTCCCTCCAGCTGCAGAATGTTCCAGGATGAGAGGCGGTTTATTAAAGGCTGACAAGGAGACACTGGTGTTGAAAAACACTCTTTTACAAATGTAGCTATCATGGTTAATGTTACAACTGGACTGTTCGCATGTTCTACACATATTTGTACAAAACACTGCGAGATCAGTTTGTTGTTGCATTTTGGAGCAGGTGATCTGCCCTGCTTTAACATCTATCAACCTTTTAGCAAGTTTCTGAAGTTCTTTAGTTTGGAATGTCAATTCAAACAAGATGTGTAGGTCAGCATGTAGCCAAGTCATTTGCTCAGCTCCACAGTCCCAACCCCACTTGCTCCATTTCTCAAGTTAACAGCTCTCTCCAAGTATCTGTGGGTCCCGGCAACTGTAGCCCTAATCCTAAGCCCCCAGTGCAGTTAGACAGCACAGACTACAGAAGTTACAGATGGTCAGAGGATGGATCAGCGTCCCAGAAGCCCCTTACTCTGCGAGTACTCCTCGCCCATGGGCGGCGGGTGCTCCCGGTCCCAGTCCACAGTGTCCTCATCGGTCAGCACAACGATGTGACACTCCCGCTCGCCGCCCTGCGCGCTCGACACCATGGCCGGCAGCACCAGCTCCTCCAGGAAGACCTCGAACTGCCTCCGCGCGCCGTCGTTGGACAGCTCGTGGAGCAGGGCACCTAGCCGAGGAAGAGAGAGGGAGCTCGGCTCTTACACTGCTCGCCCTTGCCCAGGACGGCAGCCAGTCAGAGGCAAGAGATCTGCCTCTGCACAAACGTGGCACAGCTTGTCTTTGCTCCTGCTGCGCCTTCCCCTCTTCTGGCTTTCTACATCCACAGCAGTTAGACATCAGTTACGAGTGACTCTGTATGTGCATTTTCTCTTCTCCACTTGCCAGAACTTTCTCAAAAATAAAGCCAAATAGGAGGAAGAGGAGGTGGAGGCTGGCGCACTCACTGAGGTCACGGCACTTCACCGTGCCATGGTCGAAGTTGATACACAGGTAGTCGCAGGCCTCGCGGAGCTCCGCCACCGACACGCCATCCGGACAGCGCAGCACCCCCGTCCGGTAATAATCCTGGCAGAGAGAGCGAGGTCTGGGATCAGACGGAGCAAAACCGTAACACACCCCCACTCCCTCCTGCTCCAAAACCCTAGGGCTGGGGAAAAGCCTTTGCCTGCCTGACAGTACGGATCCGCCAGAGCCAGGCTCCTCCATCTCAGACTGCTCCTAATGCTGCTCTAACCTCAGTTGTCAGGGAATCTTGCTTTCAAGATCTAACGCACTTCTTTTTTAACTGTACACTCACGTACCACTACACTGATCACCGGAACCGATAACAATTTCTGACAAATTCTAGTTCCATCAAGAAAGTCATCTCTCCAAGTTACAAAAGTAACTTGTTCCTGGAATGGATTCCTTTTTAGAGGTAACCTTCCCCAACACTCCCTACCTCTCCTGTATATCAAGCAATCACACTTCTGCATCACAAAATCTAAAGCACTCCTAGCCCGACACGTGCCGACAGCCATGTGACAGATCATGAGAGTATCACTGTTCCAGGCTGTTTGCCTCCGGGTGTCATCAGTCACACGTCTTTTAGTTTCAATGATTCTGAGAGATCTGCAACATCTCTCTGAGGAGGATGTGTTTCAGATACAAATGTTCGCACCCCGAGTCTGAAACGGGTCTATGCGCAACGTTAAATGTAATAAGTGTTATTATATCATACCAGTTCCTCCAAAAAGTGTTAACTGCACTCATTTCTTGTATCTAGCAGCATGCATGATGTTAAACTGACTTTAACAGAAGGACTCATGTCAATACATACATCTGCAAGTCTATAGATGTCCATCAATTGTCATTAAAGATGTCTCATCTACAAGAGTTTGGAAGTCATCCACAACCTTATGTACACAAATATATACACAACAATAACTTTCTTTTTTGTGTTATATTTTACACAAGGTCTAAATAATTTAAAAATAGATTTTTTAAACAATGTTTTAAAAAATGTTTTATCCATCTTCTAATAGGAGTTTTTCAGAACAAATACATTTATAAAGGTGCCCCGAACGATGCTTTTATTTCAACACATAAAGAGATGAGCTGAAGCTCTCCAGGGGTTTTCGACAGGCAAGTTAAATCAAACTTTCCAAGAGGAAAGCTGGCAACACAGCTCATGTCTTTTAACACCATACGAAAACAAAACCTTTCAATACACTATGACACAAATAAAAAGCAGAGCCTGGTACTGACCAGAATAACCCGGAAGATGGCGGCGCTGATGCCCTCTGCAACCTCATACTCCCCCTTCTCATTGGGCCGAGTGAAGTTGTGTTGGCGGGCCGGCCCAAACATCCTAGACCAAACAGAAAATGGACACTGTGCAGACAACTGCAAACACTGATGGGTACAGAGATTAGCAGGGCCTGTTCCTTCAACAAGGATTCCAGGTCACAAATTTGGTGCTTCTTAGTTGTGTAGTTTTCACCAAGCTCATAGGCACAGAAAACCAGTGGTTTCTGTGAAGCATTTTAGTTCTTCAATGATTTTTCTTACATTAGGATAAGAAAATGCCAAATGATGCACATCTCAGTCAGAGTCTACCATATATCCATTATTGGAAAGATGCTCATTCCACAGAAACAGAACTTTCTCATGCATTTCATGAATATATATCTGTTAATAATTTAAAGGCAGTAAAAGTGTATACTTTGCCCTGTACCCAAACATGTGTGGAAGCGACTCTCTGGCGCTCCCAATGTGACCACCCGCTGCCGGAAAGGTACCCTACCTGCCCAGCATGGTGTCTGAGTGGGCCACGAAGACTGCCGTGTCCACCACAAAACGGGTGTTGTCAACCACCAGCGTCACTCTCTCGGACGAGGCCTGGCCCGTGCCCGCTGCCTTGCCCGACTCGACGGTCATCTTTGAGCCACCCGGACCAGCAGAGTCTGCCAGGGAAGAAGAGGTGGCAGGTCACGGCAGTGCCTGCGAGGCTCTTACACCTTTGGCATCCATGACTGGACAATACAGGCCGGAAGAAGAAGAGTGACATTCAGAGAGTCCTCAATGCCACACTGGGGCTTGAAAATAGGGCTCAAAACACACTCCTCAAAGCACTTTTGCACATTTCTAAATTATTTTAGAAGAACAATTTGCGAAAGTGATATGGAGCACCCATAGTAGGATGGCCAGCTGCTGGACGTTTCAGTTGTTGGCTTGTGCGTGCAAATATGAAAATATGCAGATTAAGAAGCAATGGTTTTAACTCAGGCTGTCCGAGAAACATGTGGGTTTGATCTGTGAAAAAGAACGATTTACAAAGGGGAAAACTGAGACAAAGATAACGAATATTTCACATAAATACGGGCTTAGACTTTCCAGGTATATGGTGGTTCAGTGGATGGAATAAAATGGGGATAAGGGATGGAAAACACCTAGACTCACCTGAGCGATCCCTTTCTCTGATGCACTGCCCTCCACCCCGAGACAGCGCCACCTGGGGGTCAGTGCTGAGAATGCTTGGCTGGTATCTGCAGAAGAAGCGGGACAGGGGATAACGATATTGAGTCTGGCAATTAGCACTAGTGCTTTTGTGGCCATTTGCATTCGGCAAAGCAAAATTCAGACAGCGAAACAGACTACTTGACTGAATCAGGCCAGTAGGCCTGCACTAAAAATACTTTTATTACAATTCCTAATACTATAAATACATAAATGAGCAAACCACCGTACCTTGCAGACAGGCTTTTTTATCTCACAATTGCAACAGTGTTTAACGGGAACTCTTGCTTTTAACAACTTGATAAATTAATCAAATAAATGTATGTAAGATACAACACAATTCTTTAAATTCCAGTACACTGACCTGGTTCTTACTTCATTTCTCAGAAGAGAGAGGGGTACACAACCACCCACACTACTGGGGCCTCTAGGAAGATGACAAAGATATCCAGGCTAATTAACAACAAAAATGTCCAAAACAACTAATGAATTGTATATAAAACGATCAGGATTCATCCTGATCTATCCATGAAGCAGGTAATCTATACTCCCAGCTAAGTGTAGAAAGGCAGGGCAGGGGTTTCTCAGTAAAAAACAAAAAACAGTATGGTCCTAATTTTCAGCTTCAGTGTAAGTATGCATGGAATGCAATCAGCATGTTGTGACAAGGCAAGGTCAGTTTTACCTGCTCCTTCGTATATTACAAACAACAGAAACCCCAAATACTGTCTCTCTATAGCCTGCTTACAAAATACTTTTGGTTTTTTTTCCATTTCTTTAGCAGTGTGCGTGAACGCAGGTGTACATGTGAGAGTGTGTGTGTGTGTGGCAGTGGTGTTTGGGTCCCACTGAGCCCAGTAAATGCCCTGTTGCTGGCTCAGGCCCTGGGCAGCGTACCAGCCTCTCAGCCCCAGGCCCAGGCCTCTGTCTGGACCATTACAGATCCTTACTGTACTCTTGCGCTCTGGCGAAACCTGAAACTGACCTGCTTTTTCATTCCTCTTGCCTCCTTTCACCCTCTGACGCACCTCCCAGTGGAAAGTTTTAATAAGTGAAGTAGAAGCAGAGAGAGGTGAAAGACAAAGAGGACAGTCAGCTGCGAAACTATGCGGCAGCCCGCCCGTCCCCAAACAAGGCCCAGAAAAACAAAAATAGGAAAAGGTTTCATTTGTAAAAAAACCCTGCCCTCCTGCCTGGCCCCGTCACACAGCCTCATTAGTTATTAAATCTCGTTCTTTCCAAGACTTGTTTTATTTCCAGCCTTTTGACAGAGTATCCTTTTCATTTCATCTGTAAGCATCTCGGATTTCAGGCTGTAAGAACAATCTGAAACTTAAAAAAAACGAACAGAAATGGGTTTGCTTACAACCTGACTGGATATTTGAATCTGACGGCTAACCCTATACAGTAGCTTAGGTGACCAGGTAAGTAGGAGGAAAACTCTCAGGAATGAAAGACCTACTGTCATCCTCTGAGCTCCTGCACTATTTTCAACAGAAAAAAAGAAAAAATGTTTTGCAGTCAAGTAGTCCTATACCACAAGCTTTGCGGTTCCTTCAGGGTTACATGTGAGTTTTAAGAGATCTTCATAAGATATGAATCTCAAATAACAGACTGCTACTGTTGTTCCTGGCTTTGACAAGGAAACTTCCCGGGACACGCGTGCACAGGTGGCCAATTTAACTGAACCTTGTTGCCAGTTCTGACAATGAGGAAGCAGTATTGCATTTTCATTTAAAAAAAAAGGAATGGAAATGTGTGTGCTGGGGGAAGGCTGTCAACCGAAAAGTACAGAAAAGCTGACTTTTCTGCACAAGACAAGCGCAAGACAGGATGATCAATTTTTCCTTCAGAAGGCGCACACTGGATCCTAATTAGACGAGACTGCAGACGTAAGAAAAAGGGATCAGTGACAAACAGAGGAAAAGGGAGGGATGCCAGAGTAAGACAGCGTGAGGTTACAGCTGACGGGCACTGCAGGTGGAGGCCCTGATAAAACTGCCGACTGTTAGCAGCAGTGAATAAAATGAACACTGCAGCAAGATGCCTGATCACTTTAAAGTACCCAACCACTGGCGCACATGAGAGACCCATGACTCCTGCTCTGCTGGAAAAGCGACAGGACGTCAGGGGGACTAGAGAGCTGGTCAGTGCAGGGCTGGGATCCACTCGCTAGCCACTTCCAGTGCTACCTGACACTTAACCACCTGTCAGCCACTGCAGCCTTACAATATATTACCCTTATCTTAAAGAAACACACAAAGCTTACACTTTTAACCACTGTGGATTTTTCAGCAACTGACATTTTCTGAAGGGCTAAAGCCATGTCTGGCCGGCTGATGCTTTCATACTGTAGGGCTCTCGGGTTCACGTGGGTATGCGCCCTCGCGGCTGCCGCCTCAGGTCGGCCCCCCCACCACTGGGGACTCGAACCTGGGCCGCCGGCGTCACTCAACAGGGACCCAGCCAGTTGAGCTAAAGGGAAATCTCCCCTCAGCCCGGTGGCTGCGGTCCCTGCCATTCACAGGGAAGGGCGGGGACGTCACCGCGCTGGTAAGCTGGCTCGCACAATGGTGGCCGTATGAGTTACAATACCACGTCTTTAAGAAAAAGTGTCTGATATCAAAACATTGTATAGGCAATGCAGGCAAGCAATAAAAAAGGCAAACAAAATGTTAGGATACACTACATAGAAATTAACATTGAGGGATGCTTTGTTAAAGTTGTATGAAGCCTGGTAAGGCTCCGTTTAGACTACTGTGCACAGTGTTGGTACCTCATTATACAGAAGAGACTGCTGCTCTGCAATCAGTCCAGAGACATTCCAGGGCTCAAGGGAACATCTTATACTAAGAGGCTGAAGGAACTAAACCTGATACAAGTGGACACTGAGACCCTGTGCTGTACCAGCAGCGGTCAGAATCCTCAGAGGCAACCCAGCGGGCTTTTTCTGAATAACAGGGGAAACTCAAACCAGAGGATGGAGGGGGAATCTACATGGAAGTGAAATAAGAACAAATATAACCCACTACTGGGGTTCGAGTTGAATAGTGTTCTGTGCATATACGAACCAATCTAAGATTCATCCACTGCTGCTAGGGGTAGTCATAAAAGTTTGTCATAAAAGAGAAAAAACACACAAAGGTTACAAATAAAGGAAGGTCATTCACCCCACTTAGCTTCATCGGTTGCTCATAATTACTTTGTTCCAGGATCTAATCCACTTGTTTTGTTCTGGTGGACCAGTAAGTGGTGCTCTTCCGTTTGTGACAGACATTTCAAACCTATATCTAGTAGTCTGTGCACTGGGACAATACCAGGATCATCCATCCACCCTCTAACGGCTTCAGCCAGTTATGGGCCACAGGCAAGCCAGAGCCCATCCCAGCAAGTAACGGGCACAAGGCAGGATACACAGATGCGATCCATCTCTTAGATAACGCCTGACTTGTACTGAGAACCTGAGAACATCGGTTCAGACAAATAGGCCATGGCAAGGTTTGAAGGAGGGAGAGCTGCTGATCCCAGGGTCCTGGCTACATTCCACTTCCAAATCAAAGTAGCCTCATAATTCCACCAGGATCCTATTTTCCCCAATCTGGCCCAGTTTTCTTTCCCTAGTGAGGAATTGTTTGCAATATTTGCAAAGTCTACAGACTCCCACCGTTATTCTTTTAAACACAGCGTCTGATAACCGCGCAAGTTCAATCCTGAGGGATGCTCCCCCATCCCAAATAAAAACTTACTGTACAGTATATTAGAACTCCGTGGGTGTCGCACTCTCGTTGTTACTGAATTTTAACTCCTTTAACTCCTGCAGCAATGACTATAACACTCGGACCCGTTCTGGCTCTCTAGACAGTACATAAAATCAGGTGGAGAAGCAAAATGTAGGAAAGCCAAAAAGTCGTTTCAAAAGTGGGAAAAGTGTTGAAATTCTAACCTACAGTAGGTCGCAGATGGTTTGAAGATACATCCCACTGAGCTACCTTCCAGTACTACCAGAAAGTCTACATTTCTTTGTTCTAAGTCATGTAGGTAAACCATTTTTTCTTTACCTCGTCGTCCTAAATTTCGTGGGGCGAGTCCTACACACACAACGAGCTTAAAAACGGACTGACATCGCTTAAATAAATGAAACTCATAACATAAAGCGCTTGAAGTTTGCCGTCTTTCCCCCCTGTAACTGCACCGGCGACCTGTAAGTCTCCGATTCTGCGTACACCTGATCCCGTTTACGTTACAAGGCTTAGCTTTCCCAAAGACTGGCGCTTCACGTTTCCTGAAACAGGGCTTTGACATCGCTAACAAACCGCGTTTTATTAACCAGGTATTAAATACTAAGAAGCCCCCACCCACCCACACACAGACTCAAGCTCTGAAATCGTGTGTTTTCTACATGTTGAATGCTGTCTAGCTAAGTGCCAGGAGAGAGCGAGATGGAAAATGAATGCTGCTGGTACTTACGATCGCCTCATGTCTTCGCCGCTGAACGCATGATTAACAAAGGTACTTCCTCGTCCAGGCAGTTTCTCAATGTAAGAACGTCCAGCTCATTGAATAAGAAGGAAAAAAAACAGCCTAGGGAATTTGAATTGTTGCCGTCGGTGGCTTCTGTGCTCGTAGTCTGATCTCTCCTCCCCTACCCCCGAGCATAGACCTCGTCGACGCCTGCCAAAATAAGAGCTTTCCTAGGAGGCTCTCCCTACCGCAGTCTCGCTCGCTGTTGCAGTGACCCTGCTGCATTGTGAGCAGTTAACGCTTGTTACGCTGCAGGAATGATACTAAGTCTTCGCTTTTTTGTTGGTTATTTATGTGTGTGTGTTGGGGGGTGGAGAGGGAGTTGGACACTTCTCTTAAAAAGCGACGCTACGTTTGATGCGCGTGGGTAGTATGCAATCTTAAAAGGATTCGTTTATCCAATTATTAAAATAAGAATGTTACATTTTCTGTTATTAAATACAAGCGTTATCTATGATCAACAAATTCGTTTAGCTGCAATTGAACCGTAGTTATAACTTACTCCTTTACCCCCGTGTACTCGTTAAATCTTAAAAGCAGTAATAAGGTGATCAGAATTTGGGTACCCTGTTGCACACATCGTCTGTACAGTATACCACCGGAGCTAATCATAAAGTATTTTAAATTAAATAACGCATGGTAAGCTAGATGAAAGAATCTCCACATTTAATGGTGGTGTTAGATGCCTTACCGCCTTAAATTACACTTGTACCCAATATACTGACGTGGCTTAACTACACTGTCTAGGTGATTTATCTTGAATAATTTAAGAATCCCCAGTTTGGGACCGCTTGTGTTAAAGTCTAACCCACCCACCTATGTGGGGAGAATCAGGAAGTACACACAGGAGATTCAGCGCTGATTGGAGGAGAGGCATGTTCCGTTCCTTATGATGTCACCAGAAGGCTGCAGGAGCCCTGGCCGCCGCAGAGGTCGCTGTTGCACCGGGAGTGATACCTACTTTAACTGTTCCCACGGACCCTCAGTATTGGGACTGCTGTTACAAAGTTTTTAATGTTTTAGTCACACCTTTAATAGTATTGTGATAGCTGTATTTTAAAACATAAAATGTCTTCCAATAGTTGTCTTTTTAAAATCTAGTTGTGTTTTTAAAATCTAAAATATATATATATTAATTCTCTAGTATATACAGAAATCAAGGTAAAAAGGACAGGTGAGGTTAGATATTATAAAAATTGAAGGAAATCATGGGCAAGCTAAGCGTATTTGTTAAATAAACATGATAACACTGTAAAACAAGCTAAATGCCAGCAGCCATATCACCCTGCAACTCACAACTGGCAGCCTACTGAAGCTAAGCAGGTGTGAGCCTGGTATGTACAGTATGTGGATGGGAGACTTCCTAGGAAAAACTAAGGTTGCTGCTGGAAGAAGTGTTAGTGGGGCCAGCAGGGGGCGCTCACCCTGTGGTCCATGTGGGTCCTAATCCCCCAGTATAGTGACAGGGACACTATACTGTAAACAGGCACCGTCCTTTGGATGAGATGTAAAACTGAGGTCCTGACTCTCTCTGGTCATTAAAAATCCCAGAACGTTTCTCGAAAAGAGTAGGGGTGTAACCTGGGGTGTCCTGGCTAAATTTCCCATTGGCCCTTTCCAATCATGGCCTCCTAATAATCCCCATCTACGAACTGGCTTCATTTCTTTGTTCCCCTCCCCACTGATGGCTGATGTGTGGTGAGCGTTCTGGCTCACTATGGCTGCCGTTGCATCATCAGGGTGGATGCTGGGTGGGGGTGGAGGGGATCCCCATTACCTGTAAAGCGCTTTGAGTGGAGTGTCCAGAAAAGCGCTATATAAGTGTAAGCGATTATTATTATTATAAAAGGACAGCAGAAGTTAAGAGATTTCAAAAACAAGAAAACATATGTTCAGCTCTGCTCATTAACATCTGTGTCCAATCGTCAGTGTATCCACTTCCAGAAAATAGCTCGATTTTTCTCAACACGTGGGCGACGCTGATCAAAGAACCGACACAGGACTGGTTCTGCAAAAAATCAAAACGAAAAGAGGGGAGAAAAAAGGCAAATGACACACGGGCCAGTGGGAGGGGTGTGGCCGAGTTGCCACACAAGAAATATTTCCTGAATCCGAGCCGTGACTCATTTGTGCTCTGCTGGGAAGAGAGCTCGAATTAAATATCAACGCAGATAAGGGGAAAAGAAGAGATACTAACCGGCCAGGGGCTGTCAGCGTGCTGGCCAATTTGAGTGAAAGACACGCCGTGTCCATTTTCATACAGCAAGGGGAAATAAGCAAAGCCAGAGGAAACACGAGCCCCAAAAACAGTTCAAATGGTTTGCAAAAAAAAAGTTTTATTCACAATTCAGATTATTTCCCCCCATTTCACACACAGTCAACTAATGCAAACAATACAAGCCAGTTTTGTCTTACTACGGGGTCTCTGCGTGGCTCCGGGTTTCCGGGCTCGGTCGCAGGGCGGGCGGATCCCACACCAGCGACGGGCTGACCCGATAGAAACACCCTGTCTGATCCAGGCTCCGAGGTGGAACAACTAAGCTACTCACGACAAAATAAAGAGAAACCCAGAGATGTAAACAACAACTGTAAAATACTAGGATAAAGGAAAAAAATTGAAAACCTGTAACAAGCATTCCAAAAAATGCAGATGGATTTCATTCCGGCAAAAAGCATAAATTCAGTTTCAAACCCTCTTAAAACTTCAAGACTACTCGACTCAACATTTAAAAGCCGATGACAAAGGTTACAGCGCAGCGTATTAGTGCTCACAGCGTGTTTTCAGACTGAGCTCACGGTAACGAACCCACAGAGCAGTCCGACACCAGCACGCAGGTCTGGGCTTGTCGCTTGATGACATTATTTTGATATTATTGGAGGAAAAAAGAAACATTTTGCCCATGGAGGGGATTTGAGTGCTTTTTCAAAGGTCATATATTAGCGATCCTTCACAGGATCACAAAGGAGACTTGAGCTGTTCCAGTTCAACAACTAGAACAAAAGAAGCAAAATCCAAACAGAGCAGAAAAGCTCAGACTTCAGGGAAATCTGACGAAACTGCATCCATCAACACCTTCTCAAGGCAGGAAATGCCACAATATTTTTTTAAAACAGGCAATCCCCAAAAAACACACGTCACACTGTTCCCTAATATTTCAACCTGTGAAACAGCATAAAACAAAGCTATTAAGTTTCTTTAATTGTCATCTTACTATTTATAATACATGCTTTTTGTATCTTTTCTTGATCACTTTTAGCTTCTTTGAATACAGCCCAAATAAAAATACCCTACTTCCCCACCCCAAACTGTAATTCATTAAGGAATACAAAACGTAATTAAAATGATTCGGAAGTTCTAGTTCTACATGTGCAATACACTGTAATTGTTCATTAGGGTGTTTAATTGGCATAAAATGTATGAGCTTGGAGTGTTCAGAACAGGAGTCACCAACCCTGCCCTGGGGAAGTCCTGTCCAGCAGGTTTTCAGAACCATTTCTAAAGATCTGGAATAATTTAAGTGTGATCTGTGAGTTTTTCAATTTTGAAGAGATAATCTGGGACAATAATCTATAGGCTCTTCCACCCTCAGGGAGCTCGGTTCCTTTAATTGCACAAATTACCTGCTTCATCAATAAATTACTTACAAGCGATCCTAATGTTTTTTAGCAAAGAGGTAATTTAAGGTATCCTTCAAGACTAACTGGACTGGGACTCTCCAGGTCCAGGGCTAGAGACCCCTGTTTTAAAAGCTGGGTTAACAGACCCAGCTTTGCAAATAACTGTATTGGTTGTTGCATAAAAAATGTTGAGAGCATAGAGTCACTAAGAAAATCGTCTTCTACAGGAAGAAGGGGTACACCCCTCCTTCCAGTGTTGGGGAACGTTACTTTTAAAAGGTAATGCATTACTGGCACAACTTACTTGTCTACTTGTCTTTACTGTTTAAAATTAACAGCATGTTGGGGGAAAAATAATTTGGAAACACAGAAATTGGTAAGTAATCCATTACCTCAAAATCATTCCCCCTGCCCCAAATCTTATTTACGCATGTACTGTAATTCCCCCTTACATAACTATTTGTTTTCTGTATATCACTGTATTGCATTACTTTTTAATAGTAACTGTACCCCACTCAGGCTATTTGAACAATGACTTCTCAGTCCTGTAGTCATACAAAAAAAGCTCTTATTTCCAAAACGGCAGTAAAAATCCTATATTACACACGGTTACTACAGTACAGAGTAGGATAGGTCTGATGGAATGGTGCTGAATGATGGCTTATCCTGTACTGTATCTGGCAGACAAGAGTGCACTTGTGTACTTTGGCCGTAGAGTAGTTATGTGAATAAACGGCCTTTCCTTGCTGACCCATAAAATAGCTGTCATGTCTCATCGAAGAGAACTGATGACCTAATTAGAATAGCTGACCTGCCAGCAATCGATGAGGGACAAGGATAGGGAGAGGATATTAAAGAGATACTGTTCACTGCACCAGAAAACCTGAAATAGCAATACTGACAGACCCATTTTCTTATTAGTGTTCCACACCCAAGCTGTTTGCTTTGTTGAGCTCATTAGTTAATACCTTAATTTAAAATGTGTCAGAAGTCTAGAAAGGGTAGCTTCAGAAAGCCCATGGTCCAGGAGTGCTGATGCTCCCAAGCAAATTCCCTCTCCGGACACAGCCCTTCTATCCTGGAATACCCCTCTCTCTCAACACACAGGAGATTCATGATACAGAGGACACAAGTTCAAAACTTCATAGACATGTAGTTAAGACCAAGGAAAGGGGGCACTTCTTTACCCTAAGGGTAGTGGGAGTATGGAACAGCCAACCCAGCCATGTTGTTAAAGCCCATACCCTGGAATCTTTCAGGAAATGGCTGGATTAGATTTTTGGATCAATATTTGCAAACTACCAAACAGGCTGGATAGGTCAAAGGGCCTTCTCTTTTCTATCATTTATTATGCCCTTATGAGAAAGGCTTGATTCTTGAGTGTAGGTCTAGGGCTTTGAAATTCTGTGACAGTGCCCATGAAGAAACTTCTCTCAGAAACACCAGAACTTCTTCACATGTATAATCTCAATCTGGCTTCAACCATTCTTGACTTCCTGAATTAGTAAAAACTACACTCCACACACAACAGCAAGCAAGTGGGACAGGCTATAATGGTGAAAAGTGAAACAGAGAGCTCAGCACTAACATTTAGTGTTTTACTATGTAGTTCTCAAAATGGAGGCAGAACAGAATGTATGAACCACAGTCAGCCAAAAAAAAAAACAAAGCCCAAACCAGGCATTCCTGGCTTTTACGCCTAAGTCAGGGAGTTCACAAGCCAGGATAACATTGTCCAGCTCCTGCAGCAAGAAAAATTAAAAATTATAAAAATAAAAGAATAAAACTGGAATGAAAGGGCTATTTGGTCAATTGTAGGCCTGCAGAGCACAAGGTATTTAAATTGTGGTGTTACGATTTTAAGAAGACCTTTTCTGTTTCTATACTGTTATGTTACAGGAAGACATGCTCTGTGGAGTTTTACACCTGCCCCTCACACACACACAGAACCCGCAAACTGTTGCGCAGTTTGGCCTGACGTCTTTAGTGCTGCGTGAACGCGGTGGAATTTGTTACCGCAAAATACAAAAGCAATCGCAGGTGCTTTAAAAAAGGTAAGAATGTTAAAAAGAAAATGTTAAAAGGACACAAAGGAAATAGAATCTACCCAATTTATATTCCTCAAGTAAAGAAAACTCCCCGAGAGCACTGATGGTTCTCGCCCTGAGTCACAGTCGGTGCTCCAGCTCCCTTTAAAAGCTCCAGTGATGTTACCTCAGCATGTGGTCAATCAAGGTGAGCTCACAGCCCTCAAACACAAACGACGCACTGCCCATCAAGATACCAATAACAACGCTCGCTCCCAGCCGCTTTCTCAAGATCAGCACCTTAACAACACTCCAGGAGGAGAATCAGGGCTGCTCTCTAGAACGGCCAGCATGTTTTCTTTGCACAGAGAGCAGGTTGAGCCCTGCAGCCCAGAGGGAGCTCGCTCAAACCCAGGCTATTTCATGAGCACTCATCTGACTGGGATGGCTCGGGGGGGGGGCTGGCGATGTGGCTGGGCGTGTTCGAGCAGGCAACAGGCAGCATCAAGCCTTGAAGGGGTGTTAGTTTAAGACACACGGCTCCTCCGGCAGGCAGAATCTCTCCTGTAAGGCACCGAGGAGACTGCAGCGCATCCAGAACACAGATTACAGACAATCCGGGAGTCTTTCAAAGGGAAGCACTGTCATTCCTGAATCTCTGGCACATCCCAAATAATAGTTAGAACAACATCAACACTGGCAACACTAATAGGGTTAGAGATAAGAACAATAATTCTTATTGTTAATGATCATTCCTTGCGTGTGTTTCACGTTTTTTGTTTCAGGAATCTCAAAGTGCTTTACATAGAGGAAGGGACCCATGATTGCGCGTGGGCTGGCTGCTGTCCTCCGGCCACAGATTGAGGTACCGGGTTCGGGGATGAACTCTGCCGGGTTCACTCTACAGACAGGACCGCCATCTCCAGAGGCACTCTGCGGAAAAAGAAGCTGGAACCTCGGAACAGCTGGCCCTGCAGAAGGGGGAACACAATGTTTGGGAAGGTCTGGGAATATTATACATCAACTGCAACTTTGTTTACAGGGAATAAGGTTTGTATTAGGGGGTGGCACAGTGGCGCAGTGGTTAGTATTGCTCACTCTGCATTGGGGTCCTGGGTTCAGTTCCTGGGGTGCTATCTGTGTGGAGTTTGTATGTTCTCTCCAAGCTTGTGTGGGTTTCCTTCAGGTGCTCTGGTTTCCTCACTCAGTCCAAAGACATACTGGTAGGTTAATTAGCTTCAGGGAAAATTGGTCCTGGTGTGAGTGTGTTTGCACTGTGATGAACAGGCGTGTCATTCAGGATGTATCCTGCCTTGAGCCTATGAACTGGATGAAGCAGTTAGAAAATGGATAGGTGAATGGAAGGTGTGCATTACTTGCATTGCCATAATCTAAACCGCAGATGTTCACTCCTGGTCCTGGAGGGTGGTGGTGTCACTTAATTGATCTGCATTTTCAGTGGTTACAGGTTTTTACTCATTGCTTATTATCACAATACTACAAATCCTGATGGACTATGGCGCTCCAGGAGTGACCATCACCAATCTAACCTCTTACAAGTTGCATTTCTAAATGTTTTAACATTCTTTTGTTTTTAACATTCAATTCATTTTTTTCTCTTTTTTCTTTTGGCTAATTTTCTAATTACCTTTCTCCATTTGTTTAGCCTGGTAGAAACAGGTTATTAGTTTTGCTTATTTGGCATTTTAAGAAAAGAAACAAATATAATAACACTAACAATGATAAGCTTCTGAATAGAATTTTGAAAGTGGAACTCAAGGAGGATATAGGGTGGATGGTGGGGGAAGACAATTAGTGTGACACACTGGTCAGAAGCCCCACTGGCAGAGCACTGCACACAGAAGCCCGTGTTATTCATTTTCTTTCTTCTTATTATTGAAACAGAAGCCACAGCTTAGGTTTATGTGTTTATGTGACCTGGATATTTATCAAGGATGCAAAGACTCAGTGGGATTCCAGCACTGCAAGGAAGCCAGCTCCTTCTTCACAGATGAGCCACGGCTAGCTCTTTGTGCATTTTAAGTGCTGTCAGACCACAGTATGTCTTTACCGGCCGCTAACATGACTCCATGAAATTCTTTTTCATTAAGCCCTACCTCAGGTTAAACTTTGTATTAACTCAATCAATAAATGCAACATTGAGACAAGTAAAATAACAACATTCTAATCTTTTCAGAAAGTTGTCTACTATACATTTCTACATTTCCTAAGACAACATATACAACGGCTTTTATCTGTCAGATTTAAAGCATGGGGAGTGAGACAGAGAGAAAAGGCTTCTATACTGGTTTAAAATCTTGAGATTTTCCACAGAAGCTGCCCCAGCCTTCCCCTCACCTGCACACTCAGATGTCTCCAGCAGTGGGCCCAGGATTTGAAGATGGGGGAGTTGGGGGGGAGTCCAGTGGCCAGCCTGCAGGAGACACAGATGTACAACTGCAGTCCCGGAAACACATTCATACACAGCTGCTAAAAACTGATTTTAAAACATCTCTGAAACCATTAAGGGACCAAAAGCAAACTTTGCAAATTTGGTTGAAAACAAGAAAGGTTTATTTTGGGACTCTGGTGTTTGATCAAGATTTTTTTTTTGCTTCCTTACAATAATATAAAAAAAACGAAACCCACAGAGGTTAGGCGAGGAATGAAGGAGGCAATAACCAGCCGGGGTCGGTTTGCGATGGCGACAGCTCATGACAAGGCCGACACACAGGGACAGGAAGCGTGCTGCAATTGTACCTGTGGGAGGTGACTGACTACAGACTGTAGCTTCTGCCTCACTTCAGGACAAGGATCAATTACAGTAATAGAGCCCTCGAGCCTGTCTGGTATTTACAGGTAAGCAAGACAGTGACGTAAACTTTAGTTCCACTGGGATTCCTGGAAAGGAAATTTCCACTGGCTCTACTAGGGCTCCTGGTGAAAGTGGGACTGGATCTTCCATTCCCTCTCGATTCCTCTTTCACAGTGGCCTGCTCTGCGCACAGTGATGAGTGATGAGTGCTGAACGAGAGAGGGGGCTCACTCACCCGCAGTTATTGACCGCCATCAGGTCCGCCACCAGCAGGAAGGGGTATGTGAGTACGCTGACAGCAATCTGGGAGGGAAGAGGAATGCAGGCTCAATTACTCTTCTTAGTGCACTTCTCACTGTACTGTTTGTATTGTACGTATTGTATTATTATTATTGTATCATTTGTTACACTGTTGCTGTGTTGTTTGTGTTAAGCTGCTGTTGCACTGCAATTTACCTCATGGGATCAATAAAGTATCTATCTAAACTGATCCAAAGGAAGGGGAAGGCAGGGGTGCCGGAGCTGAGCAGCTGAATGAATCCACCTTTGCCGGCCATTTCTTCAGGCGTCACAAGCCGAGAAACACAGCGGCTTGCTTTTCTCTTTTAAAATCAATACATTCAATTACTGTAGAAAGTCAATTACTTTTCACACTATAGGATCGCACTGGGGATGTCTGTAAGCACGTTCAAAGGCTGTTCCGCTGGTTCACACTGAGGTGGACTGGAGAGTGTTGGTCTGGACCAGCAGGCAGCTCACACACTGCAATGCAGCCCCACTGAAGAAACGCAGATCTGTGCAAACCACACAGGAAACCAGGTCATTCTCTCTGTTCTGAAAACTTCCCAACTAAGCCAAGCACTCTTTTTTTACTTGATGGGAAGTATTAAGAATGGATCCTACGTAACATAATGCAAAGCGAGAAGTTTGCAAGAGAAAACACTGAATTCAGTTGCAGCAGCGTCTGTACAGGACTCGACGGGTGGAATCCAGCTGCCTCCTGGATTCAGGGCGGTCTGCAGACAGGGCAGAGAGGGCTTTCACGTCTCTCCTTTGCCACTTCATCTGATCCAACACCGCAGTCCGGGACCATTGTGTGCCAGCAGGCTCCGGAAAGGGCAGGGTGCGGTTTTTCATTCGTCTGGGCAGCGATCCCTGGGAGGCCAGCATTGCTCACATTCCACCTTCCGCTGCCTCTCGCAGCGAGGCCTGCATTCCACACAGGGAAAGCGGGAGGACGCTGAGCGGATTAATTCCGCCGGATTGGCGCAGACCCTCTTAATCAAATTAAAAGGGCATTAGACCCGCGAGGAAATGCTGCCTCCCGAGTCAACAGAAGGCGGCCGGAGACACGGCCACGAGACTCTCGGCAGGGGCTTCCTTGCGAGATTTTCCTGGCGGAGGGCTCAGAGGGCTCACATCAGCACCCATCCATTCCCACTTATCTGCCGTCGCTTTAAGAAAGTGCACACGTCGCAGATGAGAGGCCATTTAACCCGATGTGCTCGTCTGGTTGTGAAGTTACTGACCAGGGGATAAAATCCAGCCATTTCTCAAACTGTCCCAGGGAACTGGCTTCAAAAATGTGGCTGTGCAATTTGTTCCAGGCACCCACCACCATTTGAGTAAAGACACCCTCACACCTGAAGAAGGCTCCACGGCCGAAACGTTGCTTTTTCAGCATGGAATAAACCTATTACTTGTTCCTTTGCAGCCTATGGATGCTGACACAGCTACCCACCTGAACTAAGACAAATTTCCTGCTCTTAGTGCATATAACCGCACATGTCCAACCATACTGACCTTTCACTGGATTGACCTTTCAGGACATTGAGTACTTGTATAAATTATTTTCGATATCTCAGTCAAGGCCTTTCACTTATATGTGTTAGCATTTGATGTCTTTAATACATATCATCACAATTAAAGTTATAGTTAAAGAAGAGTAAGGAAAATAAATCAATTCTGTTACATAGGGTATCTGGTGCAGCGGTGAACATCCTTTTTAGATTTTTCCACCAACTTCTGGCAACTGCACAGAAAAATTAATTTTGCTTGGTAGTGTGTATCCTTTTCCACAGAAACCCCTGCTTGATATACGATGCAGTAATTCAACTGAAATCCCTACAGGGAAAGGATGCCTGTGACACTGCACTTACCCCCATCACAAACTTGGTGTAGCTCCTGACTGCTGGGGCCTGGCTGAACTGAAATAAGGGAAAGAAAAACACTGCATGAGAGAAAAGGAATTACAGTAGTTTGCACACACAGTACCTTCGAGTCAACGCCTTGCTTTTACCAAGTCCAACAAAAACGATCTAAAAGGAATCTGCAGTATGAAAACTGGTGTGAAAATCTGTTTTTGTGACGTAAAAACATTACAAACCGCAACGCTAAGTACAGATTAATTTTGGATTCCACACATTATGGGAAATGAAAACACAATGCCACCGAGTGTCTGAGAACCGAAGTAGCAAGTCCCTCCTCTCTTAGACAGCAGAGCTGAAATAGGGCATCTGGCGACCCCTAGTGGACAAAGGCGCGAACTTACATTGTCATCCACAGCGTAAGTGTTGATGAAGTGAGCCAGCAGGTTACAGCACCACAAGAAAATGACCTCCCCAAGAACATGGGGGACCAGCCCGCTGCAAACACAAAGACGAAAGACACGTACATCATACACTGATTCACACAGACTTTAAGAATACATCTTTACTCCATAAAACATGGCAATGAGATATGCAGCTCCAGAGCACAAAGGCTCCAAGCGAGCAGGCACACTTTCTGCTATTGATATTAATTACAACAATTGCTTTTGACTAATCAAAATAAGTTAAAAAAATACCATAAAATATTAAAGATAACTGCTGCAATGTGCAACTGTGCTGAATACGTATGAAAAATCAATGAAGTTTTGAGCACGGAATAATTGTTGTTTCTTTGAAGGTAAGAAGGCCCCGGGATGATTTATCACAGCTAATAGATTGATCGCCTATCGGATGAAACTGGACTTACACAAAGAATCCCGACACGCCCTCCTCTTGAAAGATCTTCATAATGGAGCTGAACAGACCGCTGAGAGCAAGGAAGCCAGGCACAAAAGAGCGAAAAGCATTCATTTAAAAAACCTCCTTCGGAGAAAAATCAAATATCTTTTAAAACAGAGTGATCTGTGGGACTCACCTGTACTTTACCTCTCTTCCCACAAACTGAGCCATGCACCGCACTGAAATGACTGACAAAGCAAAGCCTTCATTAAAACCCAGGACAGCAATGTGGTGGTGATGACTAATGTCTCTTACTGCACACCCTGCGCTTAACTGAGAAATACCACAAGTCTCGTGGATTTAAAGGCTGTTACCTGTTACCTGTGCCATACCTGATTCTTCAGCCAGGTTTGCCACAGGAGCAGCTTGTGAGGACAGACTAATCCAATTTTAAATGGATGTCCTATACTTTCTCACATTAAAAGTGTTTAAAGTCACGTGAAACAGTGCAACGCAGGAGAAACCTACAGTACAAACAAGATTCCAATTGCAAGAAGAGAAGATTGGCAGTTTATTCCTTCACTGCTCCCCCTCCAAGTTCTGTGCATTCGAGTGGCCTATTTGCTGATCAGGGCTGCTTTTAGCAGGGCTGTTAAAAAGTACCATGCCTCTAGCAAAAGTGATATGAAGATTTAAACAGTAATTTATGGGCACCTAAACAAGTCACTTTGACTTGGGACACATTTTATTTGTAATTGCATGCATTACAGGACAGCTCTGTATGTATTTTATTGCTTGAACAATACAAATGAAAGAGTCAATCCACTCGATAATGGCATAAGGTGATTTGATAAACTGATCATTATCAGATCATATTGTATACTTTAAAAATGTTTTCCCTCCTGTTAGGAGTTGTGACCTCCTGTAAGGTGTTTAAAGACAGGAATATTTGGAAACCTGAATTAATGAGTATTAACCTTCTCTCAAGAGCCTCCACTGGCACACAAGGGCTGGATTACTCATACAGTTAGTAGAGAAAAAGAGACCAAAACAAGACCACAAAATCCTTCTTACCGTGGAATGGATGGGTAGCAATCCGCGACAGACACTGGACCACCATCTCGTGTGAGGTCTGGAAGCACAAGAGAAAAACAGTCTTGTGCTCAAGCCCACTTTATCTTGCACAACATCGCCCTACCCTGGCAAGCAAGGAAACTGCTTCCTTTAAGCACCAAGCACTGAACCAAGGCAACCTGCTCACAACTCAGCACAGCAAACCTAGTCTGCTCACTTACGTACAAGAGTGAAGTGACAAACTGCCAGAATTTCAGAGAGAGCAATCTTAGAGGCGTTAATTCTTAGGTCTGTGCTAGGAAAAAGAATCAAAGATGTCGCCATAAATGATAGATAAAACGGCATTTTACAGATAGGTCACTAGCGTATTGCTGCACACTAAAATGCATTACTGTACTATAAAAATTTAGAACAGGGGTGTAGCTGAGGTTTTCTTCAAGGGTTTAAAAATAGTGCATAGTTTAACAAGGCCTGATTACTGATTTGCCTGATAGGGGTATCTGGGGCACTGCAGGATGTCACAACACCCCCATTGCTGAAGACTGGCATTAGTTTTGGATGGGATATTCTCTTTAAAGAAATTTGCACATGGCAGGTAAGTCCTGGCAGAACAATTTTGAGAAGATGAAAACTGGAAACTCCCCCCACCCCAGCAAGATTCTCTTCATTTTTTATGTAAGCACAGGAAGCAACATTTACAGAGACGATCGCCCATTGCAACTCGGATTACTGATTCGCCCTTCTGAGGTATCTGGAGCGCCTCAGGCTGTCACGTGACCCCCATTGCTGGAGACTGCTCACCTTTTTGACCACTTTCCTGAGGGACGTCTTGATGTCGTCTTTGTTGGACACATGTTCCATGTCTTCTATGGGGATCACCTGCACCGGAGAAGGAAATAAAATGAAACAAAACACCGATAGCTGTCATCAGAACTTTTCTTACTTTTCTCCCGGGCATGGCAGCTCTTTAGGAACTTGTTTGGATAAAACAGTAATTGGTTTTCCACAACAACGCTGTAGTGCACCTGTAGGTCACCTCAACACAGCAACAATCGGCTCTGTCACAAAAGGTTCAATTAAACAATTAAGGATTAATTCAGTAATTAATGTATTGAGAGGACCAAAGTCTTGTATTGACATGGACAGGATGAACCTGGGTTATCAGGTTACTTATCCATGCTGTAACTACTGTATCGTTTTATAAATGTATATTGCTACCCCCTGCCGCCATCCCAAGAACAAACAGCAAAGCAAACCTCCTGGCTCACCTGTTTGACTTTACTGCGGACCACGGTGGATATAGCGCTGGACACAATTCTGGGACACAGGCCACGGAAAAGCCCCCTCTTTCCATCCACCTGGACAATGTGCCTGGCTATGACATTAACACAGAAACTTAAAATACATGCTAGATCACTGCAAAGTGACATCTTGCATTCAGTTGCTTGTCATTCTCAAATCATGGTACATATGTGAGTGCAGCTTGGAAGGACACGTGGCTGTCAGATGTATCAGGCTGCCTGCTGACAGGCCTGACAACAGAGGTTCTCCTCCAGTGTGTGTAGTCCACAAGAGCCTACTCTACAGCACATCAACACACAGACGCCCGCTTCTCCTCTCTGAACTCCTGCAATGATTGCCCCCTCTCCATGCCCTTTTCACTCTGGTTGTGCAAGCATATAGGAAACCTGTCGCACCTGTGGGATCAGATTCCCATCTCTCAGGAAAGAAATGGGGAAGGCAGACCTACCGTAAGAGAAGAATCCTGGAAGATACAGGACTTTCCTCCCAAACAGGTTGGTTCCTAGTTTGGGAGGCTGGGGCTCATGCCCAACCTGAAGAGGAGGCAATGAGAAAGATCGCAATTAAGATGAAGTGCATGACTTCATATCACCATAAGATTTTCTCTTTTTTGTTTTCTTTTTATTTTTTAAACACTTAGGTCAGGGCAGTGTGCTCTGGATTGCTGTGCATTATTTTCCCTGCTAACTCGCCAGTTCATGAAAAGATGCCTGGGGAACAGCAACATTTTAATTATGTTTTAAAACACAAAATCGAAATAAAACAACAAAATCAACAAAGAAAAAATCATACACACTGTCATCGGTTCTAAGATAAGAAAAGGTATCTTACCACATTTCTGCACTGCTAAAACCACAATCTAGCCACATTTCTTTTCAGAAGAAATATAACTACGAAAATAACACAGGATCGTAACACACAAAAATTATGAATTAGAAAAAAAACAACAAATTGCAGATAGTGCAGACTATTACTTTCAATGGCAAAAATAAAGAACACACCAGTACTGTAATCACACAATAACCAATCTTAGTATCTTTAAATTACAGTTTACGTTACCTGTGATAATGGTATCATTGCATGCACATAACACCTGGCTATGTATTTAGAGGCTTATAAAAAAGGTTCCAGATGGTATATGTCAACTACAGTACACTGAGGTTAATAAAATAGCCCGTCATAACAACTTGTCTAATCAAAGAGCCATTGTTTTAATTATTATTAGAAGTTACTGGGACAGTTGTACTTTGAAGAAGACACACTGCAGTTCTTCACAGGCTTAAAACTAACCATTACCATCTGTTGTTTAGTACAGGATTAACCAACCTGGATTTTACAGACAGGCAGCCTTAAATAACTGAAGGACAGAGAAAACCGGTTACACCTCCTTATTAGCAAAATAATTAATCCAACTGAACTATTCAATCTATCTGGAAAAGAAACAACCATATAATTTGGCTCTCCAGGACCGAGGTAAATCTCCCAGATTATACTGTAGAGCAGGACTGTCCTAACTTGCTCTTGAGAAGCTGCAGTCAGAAAGGATTTATAGGGTCACTGTAACTTCACTGATTTCTAAACACTTAGAAAATGCAGGGGATTTGATGAATTAAGCCATTTACAGGTTATGTGAAATGAAAACACCAACGCCCTGTAGCTCTCAAGGACTACAGCTGGTCATTCTGGACTGCGGAAACTGCAAACTCACATGTTCCAGGTCTTTACTGTTTGATGGCTTCAGGGTGATCTGTAAATCATGCTGGACTGTTGCTCTCCAGGACCAAGGTTGGCAGCCCCTGCTATAATCTTAATGATGAGTCTTAATTCAGCTTCATACTGCCAGGGTGGGGGGGGTTTGCTGTTGCCCAGATATTTTGTGGATTGAAAAGTGACCCTTACATTTAGCTTTTATGAACATTTCTACCAGCTATGGACCTCAGGCCCCATTAAATCACTAGAGCCTGCATGACTGTCATATAGGAACTGAGAGCATGACACAGAGGTGAACAAATCCACCTCATTTTGTTCTTCCACCTCTGCTCTTGTTGACTTTTGGCTAATCATCATTCATTCATTCATTAGACCATCATATCATATATCATAATCATGTATTAATTGCTTTCTAAAGTTCGTCAGCCTTTTGTTGATTTACAGACCCAGAACACTTGCTGGATTGTGGAGCTCCATGAAGATCAGGGAAACTGAAAGGAAATCTCTTCTCTTTATCGCCCGTTCAATTTATGACCGAGAACGCTGACAAATAACATCTGTATGTAATCTCCGCAAGAAGACGAGAAACAGCAACTAGCGTAGGCGGGCGGGCGTGACACATTCCTGGGTTATTATAAAATAAACAGTATCCAGAAGGGCTGTGGATTAAGATTCAATGTACAGATTTGGGTAGATCTCCAACCGAAGCGCAGCCGTTTATAAATTAGCGACAAAACAGAACTACGACACGAACGTAATCGACTCCCTGTTGTACTTGGGTGTCAGCGTGAACTGCATGTTCACTACGTTAGAAACAAGCTGACGGCGTGACATTTCAAAACGTCGTAGACAGAAATCAAAACGTTATTTATGAACACCAGGCAGTTAACTACAATTCCGTGACAGCCACAGACGGAGCACAGTACTCGATCCTGCATTTCTACAACTTCTTGTGAAGATCAGCAGACCCGGTTTTCGGTGCTGTGGACTGGAAAGCGCTAATGGCACAAATCGTTTTCACGTTTCGTACACTACGTGAGCGCTGCGACTCCCCTCCCGGTGGCTAAGAGCTCATCCACACCAGCTCGGTTGCGCGATATCTCTCGCTCCGACTGCGGCACAATGTAGGGTCCCTTCCGCCTTCTGACCATGGTATCCCAATGCTCCCTAAACTGACACCCCCATTTCTCCGACATCCGACATTCTGATTTACGAGATTCAATTGCACACCATGACACCACAAAAAAAAAAAAAAACAACACAATACACATCCGAAACGTATCCCGCCGTACCTGAATGAGGAGCTTGACATATAGTAGCGGGTGAGTGATCGCCGTCACCCCGGCCCCCAGCAACACGATCGCCGTGTCTATCTCGGCTGGGGTGCCGCCGATGCCCGCAGCGCTCCCTCCCCGGTCGGGCCGGGGGTCCCTCCGCACTCCCCCGGCGCCGGTCAAGTTCTCAGGGGTCACCATCTCCAGTGGACGCCGAGACGAATCGCCACGACCGGGCTGTCTTGGGGAAAGGGGTGGGGAGAAAAACAAACCCATGTCACGTGATCGCCAGATGAGGCGAAAGGAGGGGACTCGACGGTCGATCACGTGATCGCTGCTCTTCAGCCTTACTACAGGCAGATCTGCAACCTGCACAACGCATGTGCCAGAAATAACTGCTAGATGGCGCTGTGTTACTGCACCTAGTTTTGCTGCCACAGACGGTGAGTGGTTTCGCCAAAATATCTAAAACTGTAGAGAAACCTAAGAGCCGTCCGGTTACGGTGGAGTAGATGTCAGCATTGGAATGGTATTTTCTTAAATATTGCAGGCTGTTCTGAGACGTCGACGGAAACTCAACAAACTAAGAAATAATTATTTCAGCTTTGTTTAGCTTCCGGTTTTGGAAGTGGCATTTAATTCAATTCATGCTACAAACGTTTTAATTTTTGCCCAAGTGAAAGATTTGAGCTTAACCGCAGCAAAGACGTTTAATGTTTGCCCTTCTTCTTTAAGTGTATGATTAATTCTTAATTACAACCCACGGTGATTTTTAGTAAGCATGCAAGTAGTAATATAATTTTGTTATTAGTTTAACATTTATTCTAAAGTATTTATTTTACTGAATTTGCTTCAAAGCTTCTCACTGCATCATTGTAATGTTGGGAAGCGAAAGTCTTACATAACCTTAAAATAAACAATGAGGACCCCATAGGTGTGCTCAAAGGTTAAATAAAGCCGTGACAGCGCTTAGAAAAGGAGGCTAAAAACTAAAGAAAGTTATCTTAACTAGATTTGTGAATACTAATCAATATGCAGAGTTACTGCAATAGATATGCTTAAGTAGTTCAAGTAGGTACTGTAGCTGCGTCAGCATGCGTAGGCCGCAGAGGAACACGTAAAAGCTTGATTAAAATGAAACAACGTTTCGGCTGTGGAGCCTTCTTCGGGTGTGAGATCACACTTGCATACATATGCCTATGCAAGTGTGTTATTTTAAACAAGTAAACCCCCACGCACAGAGCGCCAATGATCATATTATTACTTTTCAATTGTCGAACCAAGACCTTCCTATTCAGTATTTTTATAAAACAAAAAACAGAATTAAAGCTAGTTTGACCTTCCCCACTCTCCGTTCCCCATCAGTAGTCAGCACTGACCCTCCCTCTCGTCGTCTTCCTCTTTTCTCGGTTGGGAAGTTATCTGCTGATAAGAGACTCGCAGGGGTTTTCAACACAGTTCTTCACCGCTCTAGCTGCTGGTACAGGGCACCTGCGCAGACCCAGAACGTGGATCTACAGTATATACTAGATTCCATACTAGAGCCAGCTTCAGAGTTTTACTTGCCGGTACTGTAACGTTGTCTGTACGTGTAATAATTCATATACCCTGGGTTGGCCGGTTTCAAAGCTGACGATGGAGAAGACCTGGAACGTTAGCGTCATTGATATGGTCTCCAAATTTGAAGGTGGAAGGTGCGTGATATTTTCGTGTTCAATTTCTTTTTAGAGTTTCTGCTTAAACGTCAGCCTGGAGAGGGTCTGCCCTTCTCACCTTACAAGTGCGCAATGGAAGTTGTGTGAGTACCACTGGCACAGATTTTCTCTCTGCTTTCCCGTGATTTGTATGTGGTGCAGTACTTGCTTACGTTAATGACACATGGACAGTCTTTTACAGCACTCGTTGTATAGCATCGTAGTAAATGACTAAAAACTTGTCTTTCTAAAATAAAGCTGTTTTTTTTTAAACAAAGCTTGTGCACTTACAGTATGCACTGGCCCCGGTGATACTCTTGAAAAATCATTTGATGAACGCAGAGCAGGAGGTGTGTATCAATTTCTGCAAAGTTTTAGGAGAACCCTAATTGCAGTTTCCACCTGAGGCTGAATGCTTGTATTTTACACTTGGAAGCAAATAAATAGACTGCACCTTTTTTTGTTGTTTAGTCTTGTGAATCGCTCATTTATATAGCCTGTCAGGCGTGATTTTATTGACCAGCCATTATGAAAATTGTGCTCATGCAGTATAATACAACATAAAGAATAACATATGAAGACCTAGAAGTGCAGAAAAAGGAGTAGCAAAAACTAGATATACTGAATTAGCACAAGTGTGAGCCCTACTAATAACAATACACCATTAGATTTTTAATCTATTAATCTTCAGAAAGTCACTTATTCCCGGTAAGAAGACTTGCTAACATGCAGCAGTGATTACAATATGGATAAGTTGCCAGACGTTTTGCTAGATATAGAATGTAAAAGTAATTTTAACAAGTGTTTTCCCTTAGCCAATATAGAAGTTAAACATTTTTTAAAAGATCTTCCAGGATTTAAACACTGATATTCAGTTTTTCTGTCTAACACTTTGCAAGGGAAAAGTCAATAAGTAAGGATGACTCACAAGCGAGATCTCAACAGAGGTGGTAATAGGACTCTTTAATTTCTGAGGTTAATGTTTATAAATATAGAAAAAAAAACCTAGAGGAAAATATGCACCATCTGTTTAAATTCGAGCATCCCGCTAGTGATTAATTTAAGCAAGTGCTTATTTACAGTAGGAGTAAACACAGTACATGATTCTCAAGTTCCTACTGTTTTGTGTTCTTAACTTCTGAATGACTTTGCACATATAAAACAGGGCTGTTATGATGGACCTTGACAAACTTTGTTTCATAATGGGGTCTCTGCAAGATCTAGTGAACAGCCTTCAAGACATCATCTGCAAACTGTGCAATAAAAATAATGAAACTGCTCACTTTCTAAACCATTTGTTTTTCGTTTGTATTTTGAAACAAGAAGATTTTTTGCTCAGTTGATTTCAAACGTTAGTCATGAATTTTGCTCTGCTGGAGCCATCTTGGTTCCAGGAACTAAGATGAGTGCAATGATTCTCAATAAGAGGAGTAGTTGGCATTGAACTGGCCCCAGTCTATCCCTAATTCCAGCACAGAGGACCTCTGTTTTGATTTCCATGAGCCGTTTAGAAGAAAGCTGAAGTAAAACCCGTCTGTACGCAGACTGAAACCATGGGGGATTGAGGTGAAACAAAGTTTCAGTTCACTGTGTGCTAGAAACACACTTAACACACTAGAACTGTGCGTGCAAAAGCTAGCTGGTGTTTACAAAGTTCCTGCCACTTCCCAAGACAACTAACAGGAAACAAATTTACCTTTTGATAAAAAAAAGTTGCGAAGATTAAAGACAGCTGCTCTTTATTGCAGTTCTCTTTTATTAGTAGTAATAAATATCTCTTATATCAGTCTGTTATGCATGGTGACAACCCTCCATGGAGGCTTCTGCATTAGCTTTCATTTTCTGTCAAAACAAGCCCTCATTTTTCCTCCCTTTCTAATCTCTTTTCGTCTCCGTCATTTTTCATCTTGCATCCATTTTACAGAAGCCTGCATTTTTCCTGGGAATCACTCGCTTCTAAAGTGAAGAGTAAGTCACCAAGAGCATACATGGGTCCAGAGATGAGGCAAGAAATGTGGCCCCTGCAGGATTGAGTTGGCATAAGTGACTCCTTTACAATATACGCCAATTTGTAAGACCTCCGGGTAGAGTAGCTATTTTAGAGTGGCCCTGCTGAACTTGGATAGCCCAGAGAAGTTCTCATGAAAAAGAGGCGTGTGAGAATCTAGCTGCAGGTACCCCGTGGAAAGGGGATGACAGCGTGGTTTCAAAATTGCCCTCCTGAGCAGCATGTGACGTGGTGGTTTGTGCAGCTGCCTCACAGCTCCTGGGTCCTGGGTTCGATACCGGGTATGATACCACACTGTGTGGAGTCTGCATGCTCTCCAGAGGTTTGTGTGGATCTTCCTCTGGTACCTTAGTTTGTGTCCCACCTCCCTGAGACATGCTGGCCAGATTTTATTGTCTACTTCAACTTGTCCCTTCCTCTGCGGTTCTACAATGGATTGGATGTGTAGAAATCTCCTGGAGTTTTTTCAGGTTAATTTTATTTAAAGGGCAGTTGTGAGCTCCACCCTCCCGCCCTGTGATGGGATTTAGGTTACCACTACCCTGACCAGGACAAGCAGGTTTAAGAGCATGGATAGTTGCTCAAATGAAAAGTGAGGTCAACAGCATTGCCCTAAATCTGTAGTACAGAGGAATCCCACTGGTGATCATCAAAAACTAATCGTCCTAAGCCTGTTGAAGTAGGAAGATAAGATAAAATAAACTTTATTATCCACTAGGGGAAAATTGGTACTGTATGGACACACAGCGCTTCTGTAGATGTCAAAACATCCCGAAACATTAAACATCACACCTATTGCGCGTACATAACCCATGCAAGAAGTACCAAGGGAATACTCTCACAGTGTGAGAATGGGGGTTACCTTAGGTTAGTCACTCTCAGGTGTGGATGGCTGAAATGCTAAGCCACTGTTTTTGTCTTTTTTTTTTGTTTAGTTTTTGTGGAAAAACTACATGCATACGGCAGGCAGCTTCCGCGTATACAGTATGTTAGGTTTTGTTCTAAACTGCAAAACGGAACAGAAGACAAAGTACAGTAGAGATTGAAACGGGCTGTCTTACTTCAGGACAGCCGACAGTGGCACCTCGGAGCAGGCCAGGTCTCCTGGAGCGCCGAGAAGGAAGGGGGAGAGTCTGCCCGCAGGGGACGGCCAGCCGGCGGCGAGCTCCCGACACAGGTGGGGGGGACTGCAGTCTTTCCGCAAACACCTCCCCAGCACGCGCCTGATCCAGAGGAGCGGCCCGCCGGCCCTGGCGGAGGAGACAGCGGAGCAGGGAAAGAGAGTGAGTGCCCTCCTCCCCTTCCATCCAGCCTAGACCCAAAACAGGAAGCAGAAAGCAGACAACTCTATAGAGGGGCACACAGACTCCCCGCAACGCCTCCATGGTTTCTGTGTGCATGTGTGTGTGCGCGAGATGTTACTACGCTCGAGAAAACGTGTAAAATGTGTGAGGACAGCCACTCCTGAGAAAAGGATGTTGTAAAGACTGGTGAGGGGGGGAAGTAACATTTCTTCCTACACCGAATACATCAAATGGCAGCGTCTTCGAAATCTACAAGCCAAACTATTTATCTCAGCCTCTGTGTTGAGTTCATTTTTGTCTTGGATTAAAGAATAGTAAACGGATATGGAACAAGGGTCAAAGGGAAGTCCTTCCAAGTATAGAAACACAAACAGTCGGATAAGTATTGTTTGTCACTTGTTTGTTATCCTAATGACAGGATATTTTTATTCCTTCTGTAAAATTATATGACAGTGTTTTACATATATTTGACTGTGAGGGTTTGAAATATTTCTGTTCTGTTCATTTGTTTTTGGATGCAAGCAATGAAGTTGGGTAGGTAGCATCCTCTGGGCTTTTTGGGCTCAGAGTTTCGGCAGAGGCTCTGTCCTGACCTGTTACAGCTGTCTACTTTCACTGATGAACCTGTTCTCTTCCTGGCAGGAGACCAATGAGGAGAAGCTCTTCAAGATCGCTAAAGAGCTCTTGGAGACTGAGGAGGCTTACGTTAGCCGACTGCATCTGCTAGATCAGGTCGGAGTCGGTAGATGGTATTGGGCTGTTTCTGAAGAGATCTTTACGTATCAGTGGTGCACAGCTCCAACCCAGGTGCTGTGGTTGTAAATATTGTACTTTAGAGTATTTTTGAAACCAAAGAAAAATGTCCTCAAACAACCAGTTCAATAACACACACCAGTTAGCGCCAGAGATGTAAGAGCCCCGTGAAAACAAAAAGGCACAGCGGTCCCTCAGGACCAGCTTTGAAAGCCCAGTTCTATATCGGGGTTCCCAGTTTTTATGGATCGGGCTCTAGAACCCCTGCTGTGATGAACCCCAAAATGTGTTCCAGATTGAGAGACACAACTAATAGAAATCATGGAGTAACTGTTTAGTTTTCTTTTTTAAAAATTCATTCTTTCTGTAATAAAGTAGGACATGGAAATATACAAACAAATTAAGACTTAAAATAGAACAGAGTCTCCAACTTTTCTTGTTTGGTTTGCTATTAGCTAGTCAATTCCCCATATCCTATCTAGTTGCTTCTTTGATGGATAACTGTGTGGATGTCAGCGTTTTAGCTACCTACAAGCCCTTTGTGTAAGAAGCACATCCTATTTCCAGTTTTAAATGTCTTTAATTTCTATTGTGACCCTGCATGCTCTTTACCCACTAAGCTTCACTCTGACCGCTCATGGTGGTAGGAGTGTCGTGGGCTCAAGGGTCTGCTGTCCTGCAGGTGTTCTACGCCGAGCTGCTGAACGAAGCCAGGACCGCCGGCTCCTTCCCCGAAGACGTCGTGAAGCAGATCTTCTCCAACATCTCTTCTATCTACCAGTTCCACGGCCTCTTCCTGCTGCCTGAGCTGCAGAGGCGCATGGACGAGTGGTGAGACAGGGTTTCCTTAATGTCCCGTTTCGCTTCCTTGATCCCCGAGGGGTCAGGCCTCACTCCTTGCGTTCAGCATTTTTCGTTTTTGAAAATATTTTGGCCTCCACTGTTGCTGGGGTTATGCATGTACATTAGATAATAATGGCCTAATTTTTGAGGATGAAAATGAATTATGTTTCAGACACTCCTGTAATGGTCTTTTTACAGTATTGGAAAATAAATTTAGGTCCTTGATTTTCCTCCTGTTTGATTTGTTGGCTTTTGAGGTCAGGTTGCAGCATTCTTCTTGTAATATACGTTTTGGTGATCTATATACAATGGCCAACTGTCCCATCCAGGAGGAAGGTATATACTCTTTATCTAGATGACCATACAGAAATGCTGACCAGCATCATCTCTGGTCAAAGGTAAAAAAAAAAAATAACATTCTGTAGCAATGGTTCATTATATAAGATGTGCTTAACACTTATATAGTGTGCTATGCATTTACATTATTTTTACCTTGTCTGTTTTGATTAGGATCTGTTGAAAATGTCCTGCATTGCAAATTTCCTGATGGCATCCTGTTGTAGTGATCCCCTCTTTGTGTTTATGAGCGCTGGGCTATAAAACTAGATCAGCTCAAATAGCTCCTCTTGTGGGTGGGTTAGAAAGCAATCATTCCATGTGTTTCTACAATTTAGTCATCTGCATCTATACTCCCGATCTGCCTTTCACACCTCATTCAAGGGAAACTGAGGTCTCTCATTATCATGGCCTTTCCTCCTGCAGTGTGAGCTGCGATGCCAATGACTGTGAGTTCTGTGGGTTTGCAGGTGTAAGAATCCCCGGATCGGGGATGTGCTGCAGAAAGTGGCTCCTTTCCTCAAGATGTACGGCCAGTATGTCATGTCCTTCGACAAAGCCATGCACCTCATCAGCACCTGGATGGAGAAGAGCACACGTTTCGAAGAGATCATCCTTGACATACAGGTAGAGTGGCATAAGCAACATCAGTGTGCGACTGCTGCTTACTGATTCACTCCTGCGCGTTTTACAAGGCACAAGCACCCAGTGGTGAAGCCTGACATAACGTGATGGGCATCCTGTGAATGGAACAATAAACAGACGCACCATTCCTAATACTAAAAATATTTTAACTCGGACTCCACCTTTGATTGCAGTTTATTTCAAGTTAGGGTTTTTCCCAAAAAAAACCCCATCATTGCGTTGTTATAATCCGTGATATTTACATCCTATTTACCTTACGTACTCATGGTTTTGGGAGAGTGAACGATCTATATATTTTTATTGTGAATGCCTTCAAAACCCAAAAGGGAGTCAGAGGTATTCAAGTGTTAGTCATATAATGCTCAGATGGAATATGTAGCTCTATAACATTAGCTGAGGGATTGATGGATTACAATTGATAATGATCCATCATCAATCATCATACTGTTAGTAACAGTTAAAGTGTAGGATTTGAAACAGAAATAAATTACACAAACCCCTCTCCTCTTTTTACTTGTCAAATCAAATCACCACTTAACCAGATAAGCTTCCTGAGAACAAACTCTTATTTCTCTTTCTATTTTCAGCTTTGCCCATCTGATATTACAATAAAATTAAAGTACTTGTCATGCAATAATGAGATTATTTTGGTTAATACTGCTAATGTGATAATGATGTTTATAAATAGTGTTGGATTCCACAACCCAGCACAGTGGCACAATAGTTAGAAGTGCTGCCTTGTAGTGTTGGGGCCCTGTTCAGTTCTGGACCTGGGGTGCTATCTGTGTGGAGTGTGCATGTTCCCACATAGCTCCGATTTCCTCCCACAGTCCAAAGACATGCTGCTAGGGGATTTGGCCCTGGTACGCATACAGTATGTCCATTTCTGTGTGTGTCTGCCCTACAGTGGACTGGCGTGCCAACCAGAATGTATCCCACCTTGTGCCCATTGCTTGCAAGAATAAGCTCCAGGTATTGTGTGACTCTGAATTGGAAGAAGCAGTTAGAAAATGGATGGATGGATTCCTACACTGTGGTTGCTCGTCCTGTGCTCTGTCCCTGCAGAAGCGGGAGATCAGCGGGAACCTGGCTCTCCAGCACCACATGCTGGAGCCGGTGCAGAGGGTCCCCCGGTACGAGATGCTGCTCAAGGACTACCTGAAGAAACTGCCCGAGGGGTCGCCGGACAGAGCAGACGCAGAGAGTAAGAGCGGCCATCTGCTCCAGTGGCTAGCCCACCCCGGCCTACACCACTTCATCGTCTTTAACGCTCTCTTCCCTGCTCGGCCCTGATACCAAAGCCAGAGCGTAATCAGTCCTTTCACCATGCAGACTCGCTTTGTGCTGCAATCCAGACAGAAATCTAGGTTTTCCAAGATCCGGGCTTCACGATGGAATTGCGCACCACCCCCAGGCAATTATCAAAATTGGTCTGAACAACTGGATAAAAAAGGCCAATAATGTCGCAATAACGTGTGAGCATATTTTCATTCAGCCATAGGGTGAATCTGCACACATTTATTTTCTATTTTCAGTGCAAACCTCTCCCATAATGAACATTTCTCATAACACATTTACCTCGAATGTATCCAGACTTGGTTTCCAGACTTGGCAGAATTGGTTCAAGCCACAAATTACTGTACAACAGTTGTGTTGCACAGTGGTGTTAAGTAGGTGCAGTAGCATTGATCTAGTGTTGTCAAATATTCAAGCATTGCTCGTAGGATGATGGACAGTTTAGGCAGATTACACACCCTAAACATCTGTAAAACAATGTTATTGGATTATAAGGGACTATTTTGAGGTCTGATCAGCTAAAAGGAAAATACTGCTGTTCACAGCGTACACATCCTCTGTCTCAGATGCTGATTCTAATCCCTGCTTTTCCAGTTTTAATGATCAAGCAGTTTTTTTTATTTTTGTGTTATTTTACACCTCCTCAATACCTAATAAGATGACACTACTTTTCAAAGGATAAATAAAAAGAATTCAGTTTTTTGGCAGTCATGGTGCTACTCCTTCTCCCCTTTTTTTTTCAGAGTCCCTGGAAATCATTTTTGAAGCGGCGAAGCACTCAAACTCTGCTATTGCCGACATGGTAATTCTTGGTCACTCTTGCCTTTCGGAAATGTCTATTAAGTGGTTTCTGGGTCTCTATCCATACTGCGTTCCACCACATGGGATATAATGAAACTTTCTGTGCAGTTAAAAAAAGCCCTTAGCTAATGTATTTGTGTTTTGTTACTATGCAACAGGGTTGAAAGCGGTATTGAGGTTTGCCCATGATCGTTCAGCTGTCGTGATTAAGTGGTTCAGTGCCAGCACCACTTCTCTAACATGATCAGTGTGGTAGGAGAATAAAGTCTGAAGTTTTTACAAGAAAGGAAGACATTTGTTTGTACCCCAACAGAACTGCGGTATCCTGAATTAAATAAAATATTGAAGGTTAGATAAGTTAATATGCAATGCAACCTCTGTATTTTGCATTTTGCATCAGACCCAGTCAGTTCCTAATTCATAGCATTTGCTGCTGTTCTTAGAGTATCAGCTGCTTTTTTTGGAAAAGTGCTGAATATATCAGCAATGCAATTTCTGTCTTTGATTTCTGTCTTGATTTCTTTTTGACAAAAAGATACCTTTGATTTTCTAGACCCTGAAGTCTAGAACTTTATAGTTCTATATTGTGAATGTTAATACAGAAGAAAAATATATTTGAAATCCTTTTTCATGCCGTTATGAACATATAATGATGAAGCAATCTTGTAAAAAAATATTGACACCCAGGATTGCTCAGTTGTGGTTGTAAAAGAACACTGGAGTATCACTGGATGTTACAGCAAAGAACAGCAGAATTTGTTTGTCTTTGTAGGATTTAAAACCTAACTTGCCACAACCTTCATCAGATTAAACAGCTTTCTGTTAATTGACAGTTTTTAGAAAGTAGACTTAAAGACACAAGAAGAATTGGACATAAGACTGGACATAATTGGACATAAGACATAAGACAAAAGGCTACAGATAAGAGGGGGCCTTTCTGCCTAGCTTGCTTATTTACTAGTACAGTAGTTACTTCTGCGGAGGATCTCACCCAGTCATTCTTGAAACATGCAGTGGAATCAGCTTCCCCAATACAGCTTATTCCGGACACCCATCACTGTCAGTTCTAAATGTACACGCTCTTAATTCTTACTTGTATCTCTTAATTTCTACTTGTACCCTTGTTTCAGTATTGATCTGGAAAAGGTGTTTTGGAAAAAGTACTTTTAAGTATTTGAATGCATTTATTCTCTTTGCTCACAAAGGTATTGACATCTTTAAACCTCTGTACGTGACATAGCATTTAGACTGGGAATTCATCTGTTGGTCATTCTGTGATCGATGATTATTAATGGAAAGTGAAGAAAAGGCCATTTTGGGGAAGTCGACAGAAGTTCAACTCTGCCTCCAAAACACCTCAAAAAGGAACTAAGCAGGTTGCAGCTGGGTCAGAAATTGGAAATCAGAGCTTCTGCTTTACGTGTGTGCGCATGTATACGTGTGTGTGAGTGTGCACATGTGTTGATGGGGGTTCTCCGTCTCCTGCTGCAGCTTGAGGGACTGTTCTGTGCCTCATGTCAGCTCTCGACTTAAAAATACAACCCAAGAGGAAAAGGCAGTCCTCTGAATTATATAACTTGTAATGTGACAACTTGCTCAGCACAGACACGCTCCTCTGTCGGTCAGTGTTGTTGGAAGTGGTTGGTACAGTGCCATCCTGTGGAAGGAGCCTGTGACTCTCTCCCCTCTGTGTGTGCGCGCCTGGGGCAGGAGCGCCTGGAGAAGCTGTGGGAGGTGTATGAGATGCTGGGGATGGATGAGGAAATGGTGGACCCCTCCAACAAGCTCCTCCAAGAGGGTCCTGTGCAGAAGATCTCCTTCCGCAGGAACACCTTGAAGGATAGCCACCTCTTCCTGGTGAGAGCTGCACCTTTCCTCCACCATCCAACAACATGGTCTAACACCTGTTAATGTCTCTTTGTATGAATGTAGACAAAAGTCAGGAACCACCTCTGGTCCCTTCTCTAACGTCTTGATTGTGTCTGTGTTCTTGCAGTTTAACAACATGCTCCTCTACTGCGTTCCCAAATTCAGTCTGGGGGATCGCAGGTACATGATTCGGGCGCGGGTGGACATGGATTGCATGCAGGTGACTCGGCTGTTACAGACCACCTCTTCACACTGGCCCACAAAGAGTCAGGGGCCGCTAGGCCTCTAGCGTGTTATTACCACCACCCTACCCTTACCACGAAGTTTTGAAAAAGGAGAAACAAAAATACTGTGCAGATATTATCCCACGCTTAGTCCTTACAGTCTTGTCATTTTTTAGTCTTTACCCAATCGGTAAAGACTCAGAAGTGGTTTGAAGCCTGTACTCTCTGCACAGCTTTAGGAGGAAATGAGACTGTTAGACGGGCACATCTGATGTGTTCACATGCAATGCAATTTATTACTTGACTCACTGCCAGCTTCTCAATGCAAGTCAATACTCTGCGCCGAGGAGAGGAGTGGCACATCTCTCACCCTCACTTCACTACCAGCCATCTGTAGCCACTTGGAGGCCTAGGGAGCCCCAAGGATGACCCTGACAGACTAAACTCAACCATGTGTTTTACAAGTACAAGGGAGGAAAATAAAATGTAGCTGTGGGTTTTAGAATACGCAGTGTGCCTGATGTTACAGAGGGAATGGGCAAAGAGCAACGCTCCAGAGGAGTTTAAATGAGGGAGGGCCCTTCTTTCTGCATACAGCAGTTGTTTTTCTTTTTCACATGTCAGGCAATGCTAAGGGAAAGAGAAGGTGTCCTCACTGTCTCCCCTTCCCTGCACAGGTGAAGGAGCTGAACGATGTGGAGTTCCCTCACTCCTTCCTGGTGTCTGGGAAATTACGCACCCTGGAGTTTCAGGCTAGGTGAGACTGCAGCAGTGTGCCCAAGGCAGCTCTTAGAATCCATTCATTATGGGAGTCAATACAGGAAGGGAGGTCTCTGCCAAATTATGTTCACTTAAATTAATCCTTTTGTTGTGGGTTTTTTAGGGTTGACTTGGAATTCTAGTTAATTTTGATGTTTTTTTATTTTTGGGTTCTGTTTAATGCGCACACACATACACATACAGTCAAATCCACTGTGTTGTAAACTTGTGTTTTACAAGTTTTATCCACTTGATCCCAGTCCTTAAAATGAAAAAAACAGCTAAATGTAATTGTTCCAGTTGTCAATCCCAAGCACTCTATATTTATGAAGTTCATAAGAAACTTTAGAGTTTGCAAAGCCTCAGACTTAATCAGAAAGTCAAGAAAAGTTAAAAAGAGGCTGGTTTCCAGGAAGTGAAAATACTGCTAAAAAGAAGAAGTAGTAATAATCATCCCAATGTGGTTATTGTATAAGGTAATTATTTACAGGAAAGCCAGAAGAGTAGGTTTTAGCCATATCTGGTAGCTTTTCAATACAGGAAGGTTGTTTATCCAGAAGGCTTACTGCGAGATGTCAAGGTGATCTTATATTCTGTGGCCCTCCTGAGTTCACGTCAGATATTTGCAGACCAGATTATGGCTTTTAACATTTCTTTGGACATTCTGTATTTCCACAAGAGCCAAAGAGCACTTGTTTTCATTCACATTTCATTCTAAGTGATCCATGAAAGGTCATATTAGGGAAAAAAGGGGTTTATAAGTGTGTCCCTTCAAAACATTGTATATTTAATTTTTTTATCAACACATTTCTTGTTTGGTGCTGTTTTCTTAAGCTTTTTGTTGTCTTTGCTTTCTGAAAAGTTATTTTTTCCCACATCAGATCTCAAGAAGATATGGAGGCCTGGATTAAGGTACAGTAGTTTCATAGACAATGCAGATTTCTTTCCCAGTTTTCAGGTTGACCAATGCTAATTCTCACATGCCCCTTTATAAAATAAAAGGATTATTCTGCTCACTTACTGTATTTTATGCATTGGCAGATGTTGACCTCGTGCTCTGAAAAAGAGAAGCTTGCCTTAGAGAATGCAAGCAAGCACACAACATGTTTGCATATTTTTAAATGTTATATACATACTTTTTTTTTAAGACGTAGAAAAATAAATTGTGGAAGTGACTTTGTGCTTACGTTGGCATGCTTTTCATATTTATCTTTCTTTGTTCTGTGTATTTTTAAAATGACTTGCAGGATCTTTACAGTTATGCATTCCGTCCAGCTTTGAGAGTCTTTCCAGTGCTGTGTGGTCCTGTGTTGGACTAGTGCTGTGGGATGAAGATCTAACTCTTTACTCTCCATGACCCAGGCTTGTCAGCAGGCCATCGACCAGAACGAGAAGAAAACGGAGAGTTTCAAACATGCCATAAGCAGCCTGAGTCAGGACCTACAGGAACTCACGGTGCGTAGAGCCATTCGTAGTGTTGCTCAAGGAAGAATCTCCCATGTCATTTATGGAGTTTAAAAAAAAGTATGTGCATTTTTACCTCGAAACAAGTTCATGCAGCTTTTGTATGCTGAAAGAAGCAAATAATACACAAACCTGATCATTAATGCAAACACTTTCAGCCTGTCATTTACACACACCTATGGGCTCTCTTCCAGGGTGGGTATTAAATGGGTGTTCCCTTGCCCCCCCCCAGGTGGATAGGCAGGAACTGGGAAAGCGTGCCCCCCAGTGGATCCGAGACAACCTGGTGTCCATGTGCATGCGCTGCAGCGACCCCTTCAATGCCATCATCAGGCGCCGGCACCACTGCCGTGCCTGTGGCTATGTAAGTGCTCGACAGCTCCTCCTAGTGGAAACAAGCCCAAAAACCGTCTTGCGACATCCATCAGTTATTAGAAAACTGCATAGGGAGCACCCTGGAGTAGAGTCACTGCCCCTGCAGACTGAGAAGAGCCAGCTTGGGTGGTTTGGGCATTGGGTGAGGATGCCTCCCATGCACCTCCCGTTGAAGGTGTACTTGCAAGACCCAGTGGGAAGAGACCCCAGGGCAGACGCAGGACACGCTGGAGGGGTGATATCTCATAGCAAATGATGATAATGATGATAATTCCTGGTAAGGGTTGTGGAAACCTGAAGTTTATGGTGGAAGATGGAAGGCACGAGGAACAAAGTGGTACTACACTACAGACAGATCACCAGTCCGTTCACAGACCACACACAGGCAAATGGACAATTGAGAGACTTAAGTCTGGAACTTCTGGGAAGATCACACACTGATAGGCTGAAGAAACTGACCTTTTTAGTCTTGGAGAGAGAAGAATACAAGGGGATGTGATACAAGTAATATTCTTATTATTAAAAATAATTCCTTACACTTGTATAACTTTTCTGGACACTTCACTCAAAGCGCTTTTCAGGCAATGGGAACTCCCCTCCACCACTACCAATGTGCGCACATACAGACATAGTGTACCAGTACGCTCACCATACAACTGACAGTGGGGAGGAGAACACTGCCCTGGGATTTTTAATGACCACAGAGAGTCAGGACCTAGGTTTTATATCTCATCCGAAGCACGGTGCCTTTTTACAGTATAGTGTCCCCATATACTGAGGCATTAGGACCCACACAGACCACAGGGTAAGGGCCCCCTACTGGCCAATGTACAAAATGTACTCAGATTCCATTGCTGAGGTCGACCCGACAGATTTCTTCAGAATGAACTGTGAAACACAGACCAATGCCACTGAGACACCACTGGAAATTACTAGCGATAGGAGACCATGTGGCCCATCTAGCCCATTTGACAGTTGGTTATTAATTGACCCCTGGGTCTCATCCACCCGTCTCTTCAAAGAACCTAGGATACTGGCTTCAAGAACAAGGTAGGGTAGCTTGTTCCATAATCCTTCCCTTTGTAAAAGGAAGTCCCTCCTGTTCTCAGTTTTAACTACACATCCACAATATTCTTGAGGAAAGGGAAAACCATGCGGTAGTACTGTATATCACTGTGGCGCCACAAAGAGCATAGCATGTCACGCCTCTGATACTTCTCTACTTTTCCTGTCGTTCAGCTTTGTAAAGCTCTTAAATGCAGTCTCTACAGGAACAGTTCTTGAGCACGACCAGATGGCAATCAAACTATGAGCAGTAAGGCGGAGGAAAGCTGATAAGCAGAATGATTATATTATAAATTTTGAAGGCAACATTCTTGCAGATGTTCTACACAATACACTGCTATGCACCAGTGTTAGAATCTTAATATACAGTTATATTAAATTACAACTCACGTTATGGGAGTCAACAATTTATTTTAGCCTGCCCTGGTGTTTTTTTTGCTATTGTAATTGCTGCTATTAATTCAGTTTAGTTTGGGTGATCTAAGGTTGTGATTTAGTGCACGTTAAACCACATTGATCAGAATCTTCAAAAACCTGATCATGACAGCTCAAGGTAAACTACATGAGTGCAAAGAATATGCAGTGTTATAGTGGCTAATCCACCCAATTAATTAAATCTAATCTCATTTTCAGGTGTGTCTCATGATTACAGTGATCTGTTTGTTCTACACATCAGTGAATATTAGTCTGTTCTGAATATCATCTGTTATATTAGGATGTCAATATATTTGGGATCTCAGCTATTAGGTGAAAACAAATTGGTCAAAATTTCAGTTGGGGGTCACCATAGAATTATGCTCTCTTTCAACTGTCCCCAGATCTGAACTCAGAAAAAGGATTTAATTGATATAATTAAGTGATCTGTTCATTTATGTATTAAGGAGACAGGAATAAAAAAAGAAGAGATTACTGGCAAAGGTCAGACCCATGTACAATGACATCATGCTGTTCTATGTTGAAGTATTATTTAAGTATTAGAGTGCAGCCAATGTAATGCTGACTCTCTTTGCATTGCATCCTTCTCTGCTGGCCAGGTGGTGTGCTGGAAATGCTCAGACTACAAGGCAGCACTTCTGTATGACGCCAACAGGATGAACCGGGTGTGCAGAGAATGCTACAGCGCCCTGGAAGGCCAGGCTGACAGCAGAGAGAGAGAAGATAAGAAGCGAGGAATACTAGAGGTAAGAAAGGAGCAAAGACTCATTTAAACCTGTGTGTGGGCCAGCTTGCCCCTTTGCCCCATCTCCACTCTGAAGAGAAAAGCTAAGAAACCTGACTGTTGCCTTTGACCCTTAGTCAGAGTGCTGGAAAGGATACAGTGAAGGTGATGCAAATTGGGAACTGGCAGAAATGTTTTTATCTGGACCTGTTTATCATGCAGAGGGGAGATTATGGGATTTAATTTAGCCAGTCATCATCTGGATGAAGTCAGATTTAGCCTGCCATCACCTGGGTGTTTTCACAAAGCATAATAATAATTCCTTACACTTACTGTATATAGCACTCCACTCAAAGCGCTTTACAGGTAATGGGGACTCCCCTTCACCACCACCAATGTGCAGCATCCACCTGGATGATGCGACGGCAGCCATAGTGCGCCAGAACGCCCACCACACATCAGCTATTAGTGGGGAGGAGAACAGAGTAATGAAGCCAATTCATAGATGGGGATTATTAGTAGGCCATGATTGGAAAAGGCCAGAGGGTTTTATGTCTCATCTGAAGGACAGCGCCTTTTTACAGTATAGTGTCCCTGTATAGTGAAGCATTAGGACCCACACAGACCACAGGGTGAGCACCCCCTACTGGCCTCACTAACACCACATCCAGCAGCAACTTTCGTTTTTCCCAGGAGATCTCCTATCCAGGTACTGGCCAGACTCACACCTGCTTAGCTTCAGTAAGTTGGCAATACCTGGGTGATGTCTCAAAGCAGGCAGCCATAATCTGGGTGATATTAGGAATACAATGCTTTCACCTCTGGATTTTTGTCCTTTCCCTCAGAAAGAGGCTGCGGAGGTGTCAGAGCGGAGCCTGATGTGCAGCTTCCTGACGATAATGGACAGGCAGGGGAAGGGCGGGACCAGAGGCTGGTTCGTCATCCCCAGGGATGAGCCTCTGATCCTGTACATGTATGCAGCACCACAGGTATGTGTGAGAAGACATGCACACAAACACATGTGGGACAACATTCCCATTGGTATTATGTCAATTTACATTTCTAAACTGCATTCACAAGAAACTCCTTTTGATTCAAAAGGAGGTAACAATTTATTCTCTCATTTCCAGACCAGGACTGCCCTACTTTCACATTTTATTTTCTGTTCAAATGGTGTTGCTTGAGCATGCATACACACACAGATGCTCCAAGGTTTTGATTGACATAGAGAATTGAATTATTCTTCAGAACCCTTGAAACCCAACAAAACCAGTTATTTTATATAGAACTTTCACCCATCCATTGTTGGCAAATTGTTTATCCCTGGTGAAGGACACAGCAGCCTGGAGCTTATCCTGAACACACAGGGCACAAGGCAGGACTACGGCCTGAATTAGACATCAGTCCATTGCAAGGCTGAGATGATACCCATCTCCCTTCCTTATGAGATCAGGAATCAAACACTGGGGCCTTCTCTTAAAAGACCCAATTAATCTGTTCTGCATGCCTCTCTGAGGTGGGAGGAAACCAGCACACCCCGAGAAAGACCACGCCAACATGAGGATAATGTGCAAACTCTGCACAAATGGACACTTGTGTCAGGAATTGTTCCCAGGAACTGTGAGCCAGCAGTACTGACCACCATCACACCCAACATGCCTAAATACCCAAAGAGAACAGGTGACCCTGTGACAGTCCTCAGAAAACATAATCTCTAGATCTACATTTTGGTACCGGATACCTGCTGCAAAATGAAAAGCCACATAACCAGATCAGATGTGAAAGGAAATGGAACATGCAAATATTGAAGCACCCAAACATACTTATTAGTCATTGTTAGAAAGATCTGAGTTTTTTTGCCCCTTATGGTTAACAGCTTGTGGTTCGGAGTTAGCTCAGCTTTATCATGTTTCTGCTTTGGGTTTTCAAAATGAGACACATTGCAGCTCCTGAATGGCTCAGACAGTAGAGCTTCTCATTCAGATTGCCCAGACATCACTGACTGAAACTGGGACCATGGCATTAACTGCTAATTAGTGTAGTTAAAAATGTGAGAAAGGTTGCAAAGAGGAGGCCATTCGTGTTATCTAGCTTGTTAGCCTCCTACTAATTAATTGACCAGAGGATCTCATCCACCATGTGTTTGATTAAGTCAAGGTAACTGCCTTGTTAGCATGGCTGGGTAAAGTTCCTGATTGCTATAACCCTTTGTGTAAAACACCTCCTGTCCTCAGATTTCAGTGCACTTCCCGTTAGTGTTCACTCATGCCCTGTGGTGTGTGTTGCAGTGTTGATTCTGAAGATGTCTGTCAGGTTGACTTGGTCTGTCTTTGCGGGTTTCTCTGTTTAATTTTTTTTCTTGTTACCTGCATTAAACTATATACACTTGTCTATATCTCATTGTCATCTGCCAGGTGTTCACCTAATTTTAATTGGACGATAATTTTAATTGGAAAATATTTACTAGTTCTCCTGTTCAAAATAATCTGCTAACATGAATAGTTTCCTAACTGTACTAGAACCTAGATCATAAATTATAAAGGGGTTCTTTTTCAGGATCAACATTGAACTATTACTAAGGAGAACAGGAGTCACTTCTCTGCACAAAGGAAGTAATTTGCCCATTATATTAATACTGATACCCTGGACATCCTGAAAAACTGGCTGCATGAAAACCTCAAAATCAATGTCCTGAATGTCCTCCTCACATTTGTAACCTTCCTATTGTTCTTTCCTAAACTGACCTTTCCCAAATTAAAAAAAAAAAGTGCCCTTCCACTGCAGTGTCTGAAATATTCCCTTCCTCTTGTTTCAGGACGTGAAAGCTCAGACCACCATCCCGTTGCTGGGATACCAGGTGAAGGAGCAGTTGCCAGGCAGCAACAAGTGCACCTTCCAGCTCAGCCAATCAAAGCAAGTCTTTACCTTTGTGGCCGAATCAGAGGAACAGAGAGACAGATGGGTCGAGATTATCAACCAAGTGGCCAGTGGTGAGGAGCCCTGGCAAGAGGATGATTAAGCTGCACACCTCCAAAACCATGTGTTGATTGACTCTTATCATATTGTTGGATTGGTAACCTTTACATGACTAACCTGCTCAGAGACCCGATCAAATATGTTTGGCATGAGCGTGGAAATTCTGTCTGTGTGCATTGCCCCTGTGTGGTTGTGTGTCCATGCCCTGCAGTGGACTGGAGTCCCATCCAGAGAGTAGCCCTGCTTTGTGCTTGATTCTCCAGGTTTCCTTACTAGGAGTAAACAGCTTTCTGATGATGGGTGGACAGTTCTATGTGATGTCCCTTTTGGATGGAAAAAAAGTTTGAGTTATGCTGAGTCAGGGCAAATGCTGATTAAAACTTGGCCATGTAATACTTTTTTCATACAATTTGTGAGATTTGTTGCTATGATGTTGAGACCAAAGTCATTATTTCAGGAAAAGAGACTCTGCTTGTTAAATGGGGACAGACATTAAATTGCAAAAACTCCTCAACGCCTTTGTTCATTAGTTGACATCAGCAAGCGAGTTCTAGAGCCTGTGATTGTTTAGTGCATGATTAGCAAATCAGTAAAAACAATAGCAAAAAAATACGCATCCAGAAGCTCCGGGGGCCCTAATAACACAGGGAACTGGAAATGCAGAGATATCAAGTCAACAAAATTGCTTGATTAGACAATATTAAAGATGTATTCCTTGCTCCTGTGGAATCTTGTAAGTTTAGCTGACATGTTTACTGAATCAAATTTGAATGTATCACAGCTGGTACTATTTAATCTTCCCTTTGCAATCACAGGCTTTTTTCAGTGGCTAAAAGTATAGATTGCCCCGGTATCTCTCTGTCGACGGCCTAGATTGCTTAACTAATCAAACTTCTTTCTGTCTGGTCCGTTACTGTATTTATTTCCATGTCCTTCATTATTTGACAGTGAGCTAGCTGAGGGTGATCCCACTTCGGTCCTGAGAGCGCCTGTGTCTTTAAATCGGCAGCACCCAAAGAGCTGCACGAAATTGACAAATTGGTACAATTTAGCCAGTAACAAGTTGATTAAGGCCATTTAAAGCTGCACAGGAATGAAATCCTACAGATACACCCTCCAGGTCTGGAGATGGACTCCCTGAGCAAGATGAGCTGAACAAGCCAGGTGCTCTTAGTTTTACTGGGGTACTTTATCCAAGTGTATTGATAGAGCAGACAGTACATCTCGATCAGTCTCCACCACGGGTACTGTACTGTGACTTTCAGGCATGACAAAATTATATTCTGTGCAGTCTTGAGCTTTGGCCTTTGCAAAAAACATTTCCCCTTTCCAGTTTTCAGCTGAGGCAAAGCGTAAATATATACGTTTGATTTTAAAGAATGAAATAATACTACTTGCCTTACTCAGAACGTAACTTTTGGCAAGAGGAAGAGGGATTCGTATTTTGCAGAACCACTTCTGTTGAGCTGAGACGGAGGCCATCATAAACAAAAAGTGGGTTTCCCTTCCCCTCTCTCTTGGACAAGGTCATTGGACAGCAAAGTTGTATTTGCATCTATAGATTTCTGAGTTATCAGCTTAAACACCCACATTGTATTTTTAACATACTGTGCGGCGGTGCAATGTTTGGTTTTTCTGTGGCATTTAAAAGTAATAAAAAATCATGGTGCTGTGATAGAACTCTAGCCACATCCCTATTCTGCTGGCTTCATGAAATGTCATAAGCATTAAACATGATTAAGTTCCCCCTTACCTAAGACATTAAGATACCTTTCCAAGCTCCATTACAATAAAAAGTATCTAGGTTAGAGTTGCCCAGCCTGTGAAATTTCCTGTCCAACAGTTCCCTAGATCCCAAATGAGTGATGTCCTCTGTATAGTTGCTTTACACATTGCCGTACCGTTTAATTGCACACAACAACCATCTATGTCCTCTTAGTCTCATTTAAAAAGTGATTGCTGACACTTCTAAACTCTAACTGGTGAGGCAGTCCATGCAGTGGCTGTGATGTCAAGGAAAAGGCAGCTTACCTTGTTTTATAATAAACAGCATTTTGTGTTGTGGTTTATGGTCAGTTTAAAAGAAGTGGCATATCGTTAAAAATAAGTCATAAGAATAAGAAATCCTATGTGCACCAGACAAAAATGTACTCTTTAGGAACTGAAGCTAATATGTACAATTTATTTAAACGATTAAATGTTTCAAACAGTCAAACAGGTATGGTAAATGAAAGACTAAGAAAATGGCCATTTTATTGTTCTTTATATTCCAGTAAAAATTCAGACTTCCACTGAGTGGAGTCCAAGTTTGTATCCAATACTCTGTAGAAACCAGAGTCCTGGAGAGCAAAGATGTCTTATCAGGATGCCTGCTTGAAGGCATCATTGGTAAAAATATTTTTTGGCAAGGTCTTTGGCCCATCTGTGCTGGACATAGTGTCCAAGGGAGCCTCTTCTGGTTTTAA